CGGCCTTAGGCGATAGCATGGCAGTAGTAACTTTGCGCAGTAAGTTAATGAATCCTGATAATGAATTCAGGAACAAAATTTACCAACATTCTAAACCAAACCCCCCCCCCCAACCCCCCCCCCTGACCCCCCCCCCCCCCCCCCCCCCGCCCCCCGCCCCCCCCCCCCCACCCCCCCCCCCCCCCCCCCCCCCCCCCCCCCCCGCCCCCCCCCCCCCCCCCCCGCGCGTCACGTTCGTGTCTATCCTGAACATCGCCCGTAAACCCGCACCGAGCCAAGGCCGTAACGACATCTCTTCAATGGAGGAGCGCCGAAAAAGTGCATGAATGAGAGCCCGGTAACTCTAACGAGGATCGCGTCAAGACATTGGACGGAGATTAACCAGGACGATCGGCCCAGATCTCGAGGTATTTCAGTTTCAATGCCCAAGGCTGATTTGACTGAAGTTAGCTGCCCAATGTCCCGTGGGCTTGAACCCCTGGCCGGCCAGAAGCAAGACAGGAGGTTCCAATCCGTTCAAGTGTCCCGGCCATATTGCGACACATCCCGGCCCTAGCCGAGACAATAGCTCGAGATGAAGAATGATGAGGCCATGCTTTGTCCCAAGCTTGGGAGGAATTTGCAGCTCGCGGGAGCTAAGACCAGAGGGCATGCAGCGTAAAGTAATTGGGTGTGAGCGGGTTCCGAGGGACGAGGTGCCCTTTCTGATGCTCCGCCTTCAGATTGTCTACTATTCCAAACAACGGCTCCGGGGAAAAAGAATGCTTCTCAATGCGTCGTCATACTGGACGGGTGAGACATGCAGCCCGTACTCTCGGAACTCGACATGCAAGAGCAAGTGCTGGTGAGCGTCATCTTGCGAGGACTGTCCTTGTTCCCGATGCTGTTGCGTCTCGACAGTTGCGATGGAGACGGTGCCATCTGGCAACTCGATTGCATGCACTCTGTGTGACGCAGCGTCACAATCTTGACGAGACCGGCTTGAGTTTACTGGGGAGCCTCACTGCTAGTTAGCCATAGAACTTGATGCCAGTCTGGTAATTTGGATGTCTTCAGTGTTCTTGGCATCACTGTGATGGCAAAGAGCTGTCCATAGAAAAGGCTTCGTAATGCAGAACCAGCAGTGTGCTGACTAAGCAATAGCCGTCTCAGTGAATTCGGGGGCATGTTTGGACTCAAACTTTCGTGCTTGAAAAGAATTACTCCTGGGGCATTCCTGATGAAGTAGTCAAGTGCGAGTCTTCCGTCATCGGTCCCTAATAAGACCAGCCGAAAAATGGCAATTCGCGCGAGGACTATAAGCTGAGCTCTGAGGTAGAGAATGGTGTGAGCTGCACACTCTCGGCGGATAATGCAAATTTGCCGACGGGTAAAAATTCGATTTCGCCGAATGATATTATTGGTACTGCTTCCCCGTGGAGAGACGGGGGCGGCTGCAGCTACAGGCGGTTCAGCAGCATCTGTCGCGCCATCGGTTGCCAATTCCGCCAAAGCGACTGGCTCTCGTAGGAATTCCACAGTAGCCTAGTGACTTTAAGCCGAAATCGGGGTTTCCCATCCAACTGTCACTGCTCGTTTTTTCTTTCTTTCTAAATCATCAATTCGCCGGGACGTCTGACGGGAAAAACCAAGAAGACTAAAGGTTCACAACCCATTCGGCCAGTCTCTTGTTCCCTTTCCTTGCGTCCAACCACACAGTCACAATGGCCTCCAGATCAAGAATCCAGCCGCTGCTCCGGACAGCGGCACGGAGGCAATCCCTCCTGTCCGCCGGTGGCCGGCACGTTTTGCGGCAAGCCTCGGCCCCGGCCGCCGCCGCCACCGCCGCCGCCACCCGTTGCATTGCGACGACGGCCGTGAGACTGTCCAAGACCGACGGCCTCAAGGAAATCAAGCTCACCTCGGCCGCGTACCCGGACATCAAGCGGGACGCCCGCTTCGCCGAGGTGACCGACGCCCACGTCGCCTACTTTAAGGATCTCCTCGGCGCCTCTGGCGTTATTGACGGCGTCACGGCGGATGCGGCAGACGACATTGCCGCCTTCAACGAGGACTGGCTCCGCAAGTACCGCGGCGAGTCGCGCCTCGTCGTCAAGCCCACCTCCACCGAGGAGGTGAGCAAGATCCTGGCGTACTGCAACGAGCACAAGCTCGCCGTCGTCCCTCAGGGCGGCAACACCGGCCTCGTCGGCGGCTCCGTCCCCGTCTTTGACGAGATCGTCATCAACATGAGCCGCATGAACAAGATCCACTCCTTTGATGATGGCAGCGGCACCCTCGTCGTGGACGCCGGCGTCATTCTCGAGGTCGCCGACTCGTACCTGGCCGAGAGGGGCTACATCTTCCCCCTGGACCTCGGGGCCAAGGGCTCGTGCCACGTCGGCGGCAACGTCGCCACCAACGCGGGAGGTCTCCGCCTGCTGCGGTACGGCAGCCTGCACGGCAATGTCCTGGGCCTCGAGGCCGTGCTGCCGGACGGCACCGTCGTCGACGACCTCTGCACCCTGCGCAAGAACAACACGGGCTACGACCTCAAGCAGCTCTTCATCGGCGGCGAGGGCACCATCGGCATCATCACAAAGGTGTCCATCATCTGCCCGCAGCGCTCCAAGGCCGTCAACGTGGCCTTTTTTGGCCTCGAATCGTACGAAAAGGCCCAGCAGGCCTTCAAGGCGGCCAAGGGCCAGCTCGGCGAGATCCTCTCGGCCTTTGAGCTCATGGACGGCCTCAGCCAGGACCTGGTCCACGCGGTGCGCGGCAACAAGCGGCCCCTCGAGGGCGAGCACCCGTTCTATTGCCTCATCGAGACGAGCGGCTCCAACGGCGACCACGACTACGAAAAGCTCGAGGGCTTCCTCGAGGACGTCATGTCCAACGAGATCGTCTCGGACGGCGTGCTCGCGCAGGATCAGACGCAGAGCAAGGCGCTCTGGGGCTGGCGCGAGGGCATCCCCGAGTGCCTCGGCCACTGGGGCGGCACGTACAAGTACGATGTGTCGATCCCGCTCAAGGACCTCTACCTGCTCGTCGACGACACGAAAGCCAAGTTGGAGGAGGCCGGGCTCGTCGGCGACACGGACGACTTCCCCGCCGTGGGTGTCGTGGGGTACGGCCACATGGGCGACTCGAACCTGCACCTCAACGTCGCCGTCAGGCGGTACGACAAGCGCATCGAAAAGATCCTCGAGCCGTTCGTGTATGAGTGGATCCAGGCGCGCAACGGCAGCATCAGCGCCGAGCACGGCCTGGGCGTGGCGAAGAAGAACTTCATCGGCTACAGCCGCAACGAGACCATGGTCGGGCTCATGAAGCAGATCAAGAATCTCTATGACCCGGTAAGTACTTTTGTCTGTCCCCTGCTTCTTTCTCTTCTTCCCTCTTTTTCCCCGCTTGCTGCCTCCTCCGATCTCACGTCCAAATCTCACTCCCCTTGTCCGGTCCTCTCTCACACCGACAACAACGTTGCGTCACTCTACGTCCCCACACCATGACACCCTTCCCAAAGAAATCATCCCCGGGTTCCCTGCCTGGCGCCCGGAGCCCGGAAGGAAGGCTGACGTTGAACCAATTAGAACGGCATCATGAACCCTTACAAATATATCTAAGGAAGCGCCAAGATACGATACCCCCATATCTGGACAGAGTATACAGGAGGGGAGCAGCAAGAAACTGGTAAGCCTGGGATAACCGGACTCATATCCGTTCCGCGTAAGATTCGGTTCCGTGGAAGCGGGCGGAAAGGCTTAGATCTCGTGTGACTGAGTAAGGCAACATCATCACACTCCCTCCCACGCACATCATCCACTCACCCACCCACCCCATTTCCCTCTTGCTCTTCCACCCACTCATCCACACGAGAGATATGTCAAGCAACGAGTTCTGCTTTGTAATATGAGGAAGAGTTGTTTTGTCGTAACGTGACGGCATTTCCAAGTAAAACCCCAACCACATTCGTTGCGTAGGGAAAGACATGCTTCCTAATCCGGACATATCTTGAGATCTGGGTCTCACCTGGGGTGCGGAGAAGGAGCGTTTTAGTAGGATATCACATCATTGTACCGCATAATACCAAAAAGAAAAAGAGACATGGCCAATTCTCGGATTTGTGTCTCGTGGTGGCCTCCCTCTCCTCCGATCCCTCAACATGTCGCCAAGGCGCTCTCATCTCAGATCGCATGTTGAACAAAAATGAGCGGACGAACTGTAGTGACTGTAGACCACCCCCCAGGCTCAGCCCCAAGGCCCCCGCAGCAGTTCTCGTCGCTTTATAGGTAGGATTCTGCAGGTTCCGAGCTCCATTTTCGAGTCAGCGACCCCGCAGCCTTGGATACCGGTGACTCGATCTCTTGGTTCCCGGTTCCAGTAGGCTAGGAAATAAATCCCAAAAGGTAAAAAAAAAACGAACGGGGTGATATGCAGTACCAGGTCGCAGAGCACCAGAAAACGAATCGATTGGCTGCGGTACGTCCCAGCCCTCCGATCCTGAAAACGAGGTCGACTGCAAACCCCCCAATGACATGGTGTCGTCACCGAGTCCCAGTCCGGTGGTCGCGGTGTGATCGTCAGAGTCCGTCTCTGGGGTGTTCGTGTCTGCGTGGGCTCTGGGAGGAGTGCTTGGTAAACTAGTAAACCCGACTGCAATACCCCTGTCCACTTGTCTCTCGGCGGCCCCCTGGACCGACCGGGCTTTCCGTCGCCGTTTGGCGGACAGGTGCCCTGGCGGCCCTGGCACGAATCTCACTTGCTGCGCTCCCATTTGCTGCTTTACTTTGACGCGGCACTTCGAGCGGCCGCACCGACGTCAGCCCCATCACAGCCAATCCCGTTGCGAGGATCCGCTGCTCCGCCGGTGGGCCCTCCGAGCCGAACCCCTGTCTGTTCGGTCTGCTACGGCATGCAGCCCTACGGGGCCATGCTTGGAACGTGCACTCGCCCGCGGGGATGCTCAACTCAGACAAAGGTAATACTGGGGATGGAGGGAGAGACGTTCATCAAGTTTGTTTACACTTTGATTAGCATCGATCGATAGTCTCTGCTTCAGTGTCATGGACAGGGTGCAACGATCCCTTCCGAATGGCCGAGGCATCTCGGAGCATCTCATACATGCGAATGCACACAATCGGTGCTAATCGCGCTCACTTTCCTCTTACAGCCTGTCTCGCCCACTGATTTGCGTTCGTGGGCTTTGCAAAAAGGAATGCCTAGATATCGATCAGATTCCACTCGTGTAAGGGGAAAGGAGCAAAGATGGATGATGGCCTCAAATTTGACCTACTGCGCATCGCATCTCGGCTGCAACTCGCCCGGCGCAATCTACCCGCACCATGCCTGAGACTACGACAAGACGGACTGTCTGCATAGTTGATCGTCTCGGGGCCGCCTGACTGCATGCCGTAGCCGCAGCCGTCTAATTCGTCCCGGGGCGACCCAAACCTTTGTGATTCCCGCGCCCTTGGACCGTCTCATACGTTGTCGCGGTCCACCCTCGGCAGTAAGGCTGCATCACACCATCAACTGGCTCCCGCGAGGGGGTCTTGTGAAGTAAGTGTATGGTCTACTTGGGGTCCCACAGCCCATCCGGCAGTGGCCAACGTAAGAAGCTCCTGATCCGCGCCCTCTTCTCTGATGGGGGCCGTTTGATGCCTGCTCCCCCCTTGCGGCTCCCTGATGTGATATATATCAACCGTCCAGTACTTATCCTTCCCTGCTGGACTTGACGAGAGGCAATCCCAGGTTATGGCCATTCTGCTTTTGCACCATCTTTCCCATCGAATGTCCGTGTTGTCAAGATGGTAGGAGTCCGCGGCAAGTACAAGGGGTGCGAGACATGCAGGGCTCGCAGAGTCAAGGTAAGCACTTTAAAGGCGCTTCGACAGGAGAACGCCCCCAGGGCTGACGTGTCAACGGTTAGTGCGACAACGAACGACCACACTGCCGGAAATGTATCGACAGCGGCCGCGAGTGTGCTGGCTACGAACGAGAAATGGTCTTCATCACCGCGACCATAGACGACGCCGGCCGCTGCTCGTCACATCCGCCGCGCCAGGTGCAGCCGTCATCTTCGAGGAGGACCGAGAGGAGCCAAAACGTGGGAGACGAGGTTCCCCGCTTGGTACCGACAGAGCCCTTGATGCCGGCGTGGGATGATTTGGTCTCCGTATCCGACAACGGCATCGTGTACTCGATACAGATCGCGGCGTTGCATACCAGGTTTCACAATATCATGAAGGGACCTGAGGGGCAGAGCCAAGTGAAATTCCGGATGGCCCTACCACCATACTCGCCCGTTGACATGGAGACGTGGGACAATGGGTGTGACATGGACCTGAACGCGCAGAACATGGCCAGTCTGCTGCCATCCGGGAACGACAACGGAGTCCCGGAAGGCATCTGCGTATTTTTGTTCGAGGTCAGAGGCTATTTGGTCTTTTCGGAAGAGCATATGCTAACTGTGCTTGCAGCAAAACCCAGCATTCCTGGTAACCAACGGCACTACTTCTTGGAGTGTTCCGCAAGAGCATATGGACGTCGTTAAAAAACTTGGCCCGGGACACTTTCGCCAATTCCCGGCCCACCACTATTTTGTCAGAGTGTATAGGTGTAACGCTGTAAGAAGCGCGCCATGATGCTTGCAGATGACCTCAAGACTGACCCATTCACAAGATCGTACTCGCTCTTTTACACCGAAAGACGACATTTTTGTCTTCGTTTGAATGGTGCACCATACCATGGCAGCAGCACCCCAAGACGTTTCTTGACAGGCTCTTTGACATAATTGCCGGCTTGCCTGGCATATTCTCCCGAGTCGACCAAACGATACCCTTTGCTGCAACGTTGCAACGCCGGCTAAAGGCCCAGGAATTGCTGGAGAGCTGCCTGCAAATCGAACGGAGGCTGGAGGAGTGGGAGTCGTACGCCCGCGCACCCACGGCCGAGCACCCTTACGCGTACTGGATAGAAGAGCCGGACGATCCAGACGTACAGCAGCTACCATTTGCAGACAACTTTGCCTTCAAGGATGGTGTGTCGTCTGTCATGTTTCTGTATCACTGGATGACGCTACTGCTCCTTCACCGCTGCATCGAGTGCCTGCACCATACCATCTTCCAGCCCGTCATCGAGGACTTTCCCAACATGTACCCTGACCTGCCTCCGAATCTGCAGATCAACCTGGCCAGGTATCAACAGCGGCGGGAGTTTGCGTCAAGAATCTGCAGGGCATTGGACTTTGCGCTATCGACCACCGTTCAGCCGGACATGCTGGTTGCTCCGCTAGCCGTGGCCGTGGAGTATTATCGCGAGATCAACGCGTCTTCAAGGGACGGCGAACTGGAGATCATGTGGTGCGAGAACTTCAAGCTGCGCTTAATCTCCAAGGGCCACGACATCGCCAACGTCCTACAGAGCAGATCGTGGGCCGATATTGCTAGGTTTTGAGTGGGCTGGCTATTTACTCCGCCTACCTAGTGATTGACAACGAGAGCAATGGACTTGGAAAACTGGTGATGGGGAGGTACGGATTGGCGCAGGCGCATTGCATTTTTAGAGAGCACAGAGGTTAAGAGCGCTGGTTGTTCGACCCTGCTTCTGATCTGGAGTATGAGTGAACTGCCATGGGCAGACTCGTGTCTGACAATTATATCGTTAATCTTGTGAAGGGGGTGCTAAAAGGTGTGTAGAAGATTTTGGTGGCCGGCGAAGTTGGAAATGTACAAAGCGCAACACTGCTTTTCAAGTCCCAGATGCGATTCGGACAGCAGTGGTAGAACATCCGTAGTCAATTGCAACCTTGAACTGGGTACCTTGAGCTCATGTAGAAGAGCCGGCGACATGGATAAGTGCACAGACCGCCCAAGCTTGAGTGGCCATTACCCGGACTTTCCCCGGCTGTGCAGGAGCTCCTGAAGCTTTTCAGCCTTTCCCACGCCAGTAGGCGCCGAAGCTTCGTCAGACCTGCAGCCTGCCTCTCTGACCTTACCTCACTACTCCATCCAGCATCCACCATCCACCACCCACCGACCGCACCTCTTCAATCACGGCGATTGTCCCGCAACATCCAAACAAATCGCCAATCCGCATACCACACCACATATCCCCGATAATCCGATCCTCAATCAGTCAGTCACCATGGCTTCAGGATATGACAGAGCGTTGTCCGGTAAGGCCCCCCTCCTTCTTGCCCCCCAGCTCCACTGTACCAAGCTAACATGCGCCTGCAAACAGTCTTCAGGTTCGTCACCCTTGCCCCTGCTCAGAAAACAATTCACGACTCCCAACTAACATCATCAGTCCTGATGGACACGTTTTCCAGGTCGAGTACGCTGGCGAAGCTGTCAAGAGAGGTAATGCTGCTTGCCCGCCGCAGTCAAGGGCGGAACCGGCTAAACAGTAGCATAGGAACATGTGCCGTCGGCGTCAAGGGTACAGATGTCGTCGTCCTCGGATGCGAAAAGAGATCAGCGATGAAGCTGCAAGATACCCGAATCACCCCCTCCAAGATCCAGCTCCTCGACACCCATGTCTGCCTGGCGTTCGCTGGCTTGAACGCCGACGCTCGTATCCTCGTAGACAAGGCGCGGTTAGAGGCCCAGTCCCACAGACTGACCGTTGAAGACCCCGCCTCCATCGAGTACATGACCAAGTACGTTGCCGGTGTTCAGCAACGGTACACACAGAGCGGTGGTGTCCGTCCCTTTGGCATCAGCACCTTGATTGTCGGCTTCGACAGCGGCAGCAAGGTCCCCCGCCTGTACCAGACCGAGCCTTCTGGCATCTTCTCCGCATGGTACGAGCGACGACCTCCCATTGTGTGAACGTGGTGTACCTTGCTAACACCTCGCAGGAAAGCCAACGCCATCGGCCGTTCCAGCAAGACCGTTCGCGAGTTCCTCGAGCGCAACTACAAGGAGGATATGGACAGAGAGGCCACCATCCGACTCGCCATCAAGTCTCTTCTCGAGGTTGTTCAGACTGGAGCCAAGAACATTGAGATTGCGTTGATGGCACCGGGCAAGACGATTGAGATGCTCCCCGTGGAGGAGATTGAGAACCATGTCAAGAGCATCGAGCAGGAGAAGCAAGAGGAGGCGGCCAAGAAGAAGACTGGACGTACACCCGGCACCGGGAGCGCGGCTATCCTCACGAGGGGCTCGGGCTCGGGTGACGGTGATGAGTAAGGGAATGATCAGGCGTTGCGGTTCGCGGATAGACGACACTCATGGGGGTATTCCGACCAAATACCAATGTATTACCACCTTTAGACCGTGGAGAATCTACAAAAACGGTGTCCATGAAATCGCTTGCTGCCACACTGATGCTCATAAACCAGCCAACCTCCCATTTTAGCCCAGTTTGTCCGCATCGTCGGTAGGGTCGAATATTGATCGTCCGGCGATTTGGCGGACACGCTCATCCTTGATCATACGGCTGTCTTTGCGCGCGTCCTCGCCCTCGACGGAGATGGCCGCTTTGGGCGTCTTTGCCTCGATCACGAAGTGGTTGTCGCAGTGTGGGCAGTACTCGTCGGCATCTTCGAATTCCTGGGCGTCTTTGCGGAAGCACTTTTTGCATTTCTTGCAGGCAAAGACCATTTCGAGGCTCTGGAGCAGGGGGTGCTTTTCCTGCTCATGGTGACACTCGGCGCAATCGAACCATTTTTTGCCTGGGGACGATCACGTTAGTCAGACGGGATTGACATGGACAGACAGGCACGGCGTACAGCAGGGCGACCGAATCGCGACTTGCGCGTTGAGAATGTGTTTGCTGTGGTGGCATGTTAGCTGCCGGTCAGGGGCTGTGGTTTCTCTGTACGGCTCACCACATGGCGGGTTGACTTCGCGGTACAGAGCAACGGATCTGTTTGCGAGGCGCAGGGGTGTGAGGTATGTTATGGGGGCCGGTGGCGATTCGTGGGCAACTGGTCTGCTGGATCTATCTGCTGTTGTGTCGTGACAGCGAGTCGGCAAGTCGAGGCGACGGGGAGAATCTTCTATCAAAGATTTGGCGGTGCTGATAAATTTGGCGGGGTCTGGATTTGTCGCCCCGGCCTCTTTCCTGGTGCACCTTGCACACCCCGCGAACACGCTATGCTTAGGTTCACTCTGACTGTTTCTCTGGCTGCTGTGGTGGGCCCCCACCAAGACCTGCCGACCTCCCAGCGAAACAAGGTGCCACCCTTGCTTGTCTCGCACGTACCTATTTATTTGCCTCCACTGGCTTGGCTACTTTTGCTTCTGAAACCTTAACGCCGACGCTGAGAGCAGCTTATCTTTCTCCACTGCTGCAGCCTACATCATCCATCTTTGTTCACAACCATCCATTACTTGTCTTCACCTTCAACAACCCACATTCCTGTCACGATGCCACCGAAGAGGAAGGCTCAAGGGGCCGTCGCCGGCAGCTTCAAGGCAGGAAAGGGCTCTGTAGTTTCGACACCTGGAGGCGCCACCCCCAGGAGCATCGCTAGCGACAATGAGTCGTCGGCAGTGGATCCTGTGAGCGAGTCCGAAGACGAGAATCTCGAGAAGAACGTCGACAAATTCTCCGTCGAAGCCTACCTGGATAGGCCGAAAACGAACGGCCACGAATCCATGACTGGACTCTTCAAGAAGAAGCGCGACTTCTCTTTTCTTCAGCTGAAGCCCGATTATCAGAATCGCCCGCTCTGGATCGACCCTGCCAAAGGCCGCATTTTCCTCGAAAGCTTCAACCCGCTGGCCGAGCAAGCGCAGGACTTCCTCATCACCATTGCCGAACCGATCTCGCGACCGTCCTTCGTCCACGAATATGCGCTCACGACACATAGCTTATACGCTGCAGTTTCGGTGGGCCTGTCACCCCAAGATATTATCAACACTCTCGATCGGTTCCTGAAGATGCCTTTGCCCGACAGCATTCGCAAGTTCATTGAAGGCTGTACGCAGAGTTTTGGCAAGGTTAAGCTGGTGCTGAAGAACACCAAATACTTTGTCGAGAGTACGGATCCGGTGATCTTGCAAAAGCTATTGAAAGACTCCGTCATCGGGCCTCTCCGGGTACACGGCACAGAGGAAATCACCACAACTGCGGCCCCTAAACAGGGACCTCTAGTTATTCCAGGCACCGCCAACGCTGCTGGTGTCCGACAGGCAGAAGAGCAAAAGGCCAAGGGACGTGAGGGTGAAGTGAAGGAGGGCGAGGTCTATGCCGCATTGAACGATGACGACGACGATGATCAGGAGATTACGCACGCCTTCGAGATTGGGGACGAAGCAGTCGAGACTGTTCAGAAAAGATGTCTTGAACTGGAGTACCCGGTGTTGGAGGAGTATGATTTCAGACGAGATGAGGCCAACCCGAACCTGGAGATCGACTTGCGCCCGGGTACCCTCATTCGACCTTACCAAGAAAAGAGTCTGAGCAAGATGTTTGGTAACGGTCGAGCCAAGAGTGGTCTCATTGTCCTCCCTTGCGGTGCTGGAAAAACGCTCGTCGGTATTACCGCAGCTTGCACCGTCAAGAAGGGCGTCATTGTCCTCTGCACCAGTTCCATGTCTGTCGTGCAATGGCGAAACGAGTTCCTAAAGTGGTCCAACATCAAGCCAGAGGATATCGAAGCATTCACGTCAGACAACAAGGGCAGAATCTTCCCGGGTAATACCGGTATCATTGTGACTACATATTCCATGGTAACTCAGACCAGAGAGCGTTCTCACGAGGCCAAGAAGATGATGGACTTCCTGCAGACGCGAGAGTGGGGTCTGATGCTTTTGGACGAGGTCCACGTCGTCCCCGCCAACATCTTTAGAAAGGTTACGTCGTCCATCAAGACGCATTCGAAGCTTGGCTTGACCGCCACACTCCTTCGTGAGGACGACAAGATTTCGGATCTAAACTTTTTGATTGGACCCAAGTTATACGAGGCAAACTGGATGGAGCTCAGTGAGCAAGGCCACATAGCCAAGGTCCAATGTGCTGAGGTCTGGTGCCCCATGACTACCGAATTCTACGACGAATACTTGAAAGCATCAGCTAGGAAGCGAGCTCTGCTTTACATCATGAACCCGCGCAAGTTCCAGGCCGCCCAGTATCTCATCAACTACCACGAGTCTCGAGGTGACAAGATTATTGTCTTTTCGGACAACGTCTATGCCCTGAAGACGTATGCCGAGAAGCTGGAGAAGGCCTACATTTTCGGAGGTACTGGTCAGGCAGAACGAATGAACATTCTGCAGAACTTCCAGCACAATCCTCAGGTCAACACTCTATTCTTATCAAAGATTGGCGACACGTCACTCGATCTTCCTGAGGCTACCTGCCTCATTCAGATCTCGTCCCACTACGGTTCTCGTCGTCAAGAAGCGCAACGACTTGGTCGTATCCTGCGGGCCAAGAGGAGAAACGACGAGGGTTTCAATGCATTCTTCTATTCCTTGGTGTCCAAGGATACTCAGGAGATGTACTATTCTTCAAAGAGACAGGCATTTCTGGTTGACCAGGGATATGCCTTCAAGGTCATCACGCAGCTCGCCAACATTGAGAAGACGCCGGGGCTTGCGTACGCCGCGGCGAGCGAGAGAAGAGAGCTGTTGCAAAAGGTCCTCATCGAGAACGAAGCCGGCGGCGAAGATGAAGTCATTGATGACTTGTTCCACAGCGGCACGATGGGTCGCGCGCCGGCGAGGGGCAAGAAGAAGGCCGCCGCGAGGAGGACGGCTGGTCTGTTGGGCGACCTGTCGGGTGGACAGGACATGGCCTACATGGAGCAAAACAAGAGGGTCAAACTGAAGAAGGCCAAGGGAGAGAGCAGTGCCTTCTTCAAGAAGATCCAGAGAGAAAAGGCCAAGCGATAGATTGCATCACGAAGGGTTACGGCGTCTGGCACGGTGGGGTGGGACCTTTCTTGGGTTTTTGGGACAGGCAAACGGCGAATTTGCTTCATTGTAATATAAGCACACACGCCTTCGAGGCTCGTGGCGCGGGGGGAAGATCATGTCAATCTGTACATGATACAACAATACTCGATACTGAGGAATGGCCGATGCTGGTCTTATGTGTGCTACCGTGACGGCTTGCAGGCCATGAGGTTATCTACACTACTTTACAGACACTTTCTAACCAGGGATGATGTTGATGAAATGTCGGTCTATAATAGCAGTCGGGTCTTGACCTGCCATTAACGAGCTAGCAAGTGGCGACACATCATTCATAGGATTGCGTTAGCCGAGTGACATTTTTTGCCCGAACGTTCAAAGGATCAAAAGAGTTCGTCAGACTAAATAACTGCTAGTGGCAAACAAGAGCCCAGAGGCAACAAGCAAACCTAGGTTGGTTGTGACGGTTGATATTTCGTCAAACAAGATTGGACTATCATGGGTGCACAGCTATTTTTGGCGAGTTTCATTCCCGGGTATCTTTGGGGTGTCAAGGTGTAAGTCCAGTTGCGGCTGGATTGGGAGAAAGCAAGGCGAACCGGGTGCGAGTCGAGTCGCCATGATGCCGGCCCCCTATTACTGTTTGTAGACACAAGCAAGGGGGTGGTTGTTTGGGTGATGAAAGTACCTTATGGTAGCAACAACACCTTGTCTGGTTTGGATTCTAGACCCATCTACGGATACGAATAGGGTCTTTCAGCCAGAACCTACCAAGTCCTTCACGTGTACCGCAGGGACGAATGAATCAGAGGCGGATGGGTGTGATCTTGGAAGACAGCGGGTTGACTCGGGTTGCTGCGTTTGCCATCATCTTGCTTTCCCTATCTGGCATATCTGGGCATTGTTCCGCGCGGCTGGGGTATTCATACTGGAGGGGAGACTTGGCGTCCGGGTTGGGAGATGAGCGTCCCGTGTACCGTAGCCATCTCACAAATCGCATGCAGAACTTGCTACGCCGGACGTGGTGCACATCTCGTGGCGGCCGCATTGTTGGCGACGTGGCGGTGAAGCAGCAGAGGAGGGTGGTGGTGGAAACAGCCGGCGACGGAGTCATGTCTAGGTGGTGAGGGAGAGAAATTACTGGCATCTCGGAGAGTGCTTGGCAAATAGCAATGGCTCTCAGTTCTCTCCTCGGTGTATGTTGTGCTAGGTCTGGACCCGGCCGATGTGACGGACGGAAGAAGCGACCGGCAGTCCGCGAGCCAGGGTTATGATTGACGACAGAAAGCCGCACTAGAGGTGCATTGCCTTTCTACGAATTCTTAATCGCCTTGGGATAAGCCAGTGTGGTCAGGCTGTTGGTCACGGATTCCTTCTGGGGCGAATTTTTCTACAAAGTAACGAACGGGATGTACGGGACATACGGAATGTACGGGACCGTCCCCCACGCGAGCATCCGTCGACTATCAGTTGGGCTGTGCGGACGACTGAAAGGCCCCCGTTGTAAGAGATGTGTTGCGCCGAAGAAAGAAAAGAAGAATCAATGGGCATCTGGATGAGGGATCTGCCATTGGGGACGCCGACGGGTTTCAGAGACCGCCGTGGCTTGTAATCGGCACCTGCTTAACGAACATTACCATAACCATGGGCAGCGACAGGTGTTTCTGGTAAGGGCTCGATGCTCCCTAGCGGGGGACCACTCGCCAGGAGCCTGGTCGGGTGGAAGGTCCTATCGGCCGGGATGTCTTGTTCGCAACAGAGCGCCACCCCGTTTCAATGTATAGGGGTAGAGAGGTATAATTCGACGGTGGTATTGTGACCTCGGGGAAATGGGTATGGCGCGTGTCCGGGAGCTTAGCTAGTTTCTCGCTGATTGCGAGGCGGTCGTAAACATGCCAGACGCTTGCTTGTTCGATGGTAAACCTCCGGATCTGCGGCGACGTTGCGGGTAACGGACGGATTTGACTCTATGCATCTGCAACGCGCGGATATGGCCAGTGGAGGGACGCCAATAAGCATTGTGGCGGATGCTGCTTCTTGAGTCTGTCGTAGCAGTACCAGTGCTATACCTATATATCAAACATTTCGACATGTCTTGGCTGGTCCTTTGGGTGATGTATTGGGCATGTGTTCACATGTTGGTCTTGTGTTGACTGCTGATGAGAAGGTGACCAGTCAGGAACACCAAGGATGAGCATCCTGGGAGAAAACCATGAGAGGTAGCAAAAGAGTGCATAGAGAGATGTGCTGGCACAAAATGACGTACTAGAGCCATGCAGTGCACTACAGGCCGGCCTGAGAGGGAGGGTAGGACGTGGTGCCCCTGTCGCGACGTAGCTGGTGTCGTTGCTGCATTGGGCGTGGAAAGCAAGCTGCTTGGACAGACAGCTGAGGTGCTGCAGACCCACCCGCGAATTAAAGTTACTTGGCACTCCGCCAGCTTGGTTAGGGGATTTTGTTCTGGCAGTGTCTTGGAATGGCACGCTACGAAACAGATCTCACGAGTTGCAACCAATCTCACCTTGAGTTACCTTTGGGATGGATGGTAGGCTAAGTGCTAGCTGCCATGTTTAGTCCTGGGAATTTGAATATTCCAGACTCAAGCGGGCGGACACCGATGCTGGGTGTCGCCAAAAGATAGCAGCACATGAATGATGTGCGAAGATGATTGGCAATCATTCCGGCAAGTTTTCGAGATGTTGCTGCAGCCATCTGCTGTTACCGGGGGGCATCGGCGCGATCAGCCATGCAGCGGTCGAGAGGGAATGGACATGGCAAAGTCGTGCAGGCAGTGCGAGGTGATCAGCTCCGATAGTCCTGACGTGAGGTGGCTGCAGCTGCATCCGCGGTGCTCCCGGGATGCTCCAAGGTGAGGTGCGGTGAGGCGAGGTGCTGCCCGTTCCAATCTCGATTCTCTTGGGAAGGAGCCACGGCTCCCTCCTCCCAAGCTCCATGCATCTCGTTCTCGTCTGCATTGGCAACGGTGCCTCTGACAATGTATCTTTCCTGTTCCATCCACAGCGGGGCTGTACATACTGCCAGGAAAAGCTTAGCTCGGGGTGGCCTCCAGGCACCGCAAGGCAAGGGTCTGCATCGCCGTCAGGCCGTCGAGTTGGACACCATGAAAGTGCTGACGGGACGGCTAGGCGTCTCCAGTTCCACGGCAAGGATAAGAGTGGACTTTTCAGACTGTGGATGCAGCTGGATGCACCGCGACTGGATTACTGACCACAAGGACCTCACCGCGGTCAACTGTCAACTCCACACCTCACACTCCAGGGCAGCGTCCAGAGCTTACCCCCCCCCTTGACACGCCCGCAACGGGCTCCCTTTCTGATTTCAAAAAAAATAACAGCGAGGAAAATTTGGATTGACGCCTTCGTTTCGTCCAGGCCCGTGGGGGGAGCACAAATCTCTACCTAGCTAGTGTCTAATCCATTCGTCGTTTCTTTCCCATTTCCTGCTCTCGCCTTTGTCATACGAACAGTCACCAGCAGCTCAGGTTGCTTCTCGAGTTCTTCCTTGTGAAGAGCCAAGAGTTGTGCCCCTCGAGTGGTAGTGGTGCTCCCTGGCCCATTGGCGTCGGCATCTGCAATCTACTGAGCCCGTCTGATCAAGGCCATACAGAGGTACCCTACACCATACCTGCCCGCCTACGGATAATTGCAGAGGTCGATACTTCGACTCTTCTTTCCCCATCCTGTTTTCCTTGCGCCCTCCTCCAACCAAACCTTCCTGCCCTACAACGTTTTACAGACGACCGGACCTGATGTCACACGTACTCGTACTACGCCCGGCTACTACTACCCCATCCACGTTCCGCCGTACCAATTGACCGTCATGAATTCCAGCTTAGCCGTCCAATCCTCTACACCAGGACGGTTAGACTAGAAAGCTTCACAGCCACAGCCACAGCCAAGGCCTGGCCCATCCGCCCATTCTCACTGCACCGTCTCTCTTATACCTACTGCCCCCGAGGCCGATGTCTCGTCTGCTCTGGTTCTGAGCCGGAGGGGAATCTCCTCCATTGCGTCAACAATACCAACGCTGTCACTTTCGCGATCCGAGAGAAATGCTCGAAACCGCGCGCGGCTGGCTGCTCGCCCAGCTCCGGGCAGCCAAGCCTTCTTTCATATCCAAGAAGCCTCATTTCAACTTCATCTCGGCTCACTGTAAGTTCACCATCCCAACTACCGTCGCGTTCGACCTTGCGCAGCGCACAGCACTAATCTGCGCACCGTGCTCGCACGTTAGACTTTTGGATTTGCAGTCTCACCATACTTGGCTCGATCCTCATCTTTGCCACGGCCGGCGGTCAGTTGGCCTACATTGATGCCCTCTACTTTGCCAGTGGCGCCAACACACAAGCCGGTCTCAACACGGTCGACGTCAACCTACTCAACACCTTTCAGCAAATATGTCTCTACTTCTTTACCATGACCTCGAACCCCATCACCATTCACTCTTCCGTTGTGTTCCTCCGACTGTACTGGTTCGAGAAGCGATTCCAGGGACTCGTCCGCGATGCTCGCCAACAACGGAGAAACACGATTTCTAAATCAAAGTCCAGTGCAAGGGACGACCTGAACCAAGCCGAGAGAGGCCGCTTGAACGTGCGCAATATCAAGGTCATGCACACGAATGGTCATCGCTCGAGAATGACCAATGATGGCATTCTGCTCGACATGAAGGAGGACGAAGACGGCCGCATCTCGCCGGGGAGCAACGGTTTTGTTCCGGTACCCAACACCCCAGCCCATGACTCTGGAGAGCAGTCGCCAGCCAGAGCACCCGAAGCCCAAGAAGAGCTCGGAACGGACATCACCCAAGGTCGAATCACGTTTGCCCAGCGTGTCCTCCGAAGCGACGGCACGGAACCGGAGGTCAAGCTCCCATCTCCACACTCGCCCGCACATTTGGCCATCCTGGAGCGCCAACGGAATGGGCCTGAGGAGACGCTTCGGATTCCGAACCCAAGAGACGCAGAGAAGGGCATGAAGCCGAAGCGAGTCGAAGACGATACGGCACCCGAGCCCGAAGACGAGGGAGACGGCAGTGTTCCGCGTATCCACGTCAGCAACGGTGGAGCGACCAAGATGTCGGATGACATGGGTAACAACGTCCACCGCCCACAAACGATCAAAATTGAGGAACCCGAGCGTCCCAGGGAAACCGAGAGAACGGTCAAGGACGAGATCGCGGAAGAAGCCGAGGCGATTGGTAGAACCATCTTTCCCTTCTCATTTCGCAAGCCCAAGAAGTTCTTCAAGGGTGGCAGCGACGACGAAGGCACCTCCGAAAACCCTGTTGCAAGGGTCAGAAGCAAGACCTTCGACACCATCAGGACGGCATTGACCCGCGACAAGGTCGAGGACATGCCGTACCTGAGTTTCACGCCGACAATGGGACGCAACTCGGCGTTCCCGGGCTTGACGATTGAACAACGCGAGGAATTGGGTGGCATCGAATACCGGTCTTTGAGGACACTAGCTGTCATATTGATCTGCTACTTCTGGGGCTTCTCGCTCTTCGCCATCACCTGCTTACTTCCCTGGATTTACTCCAGCTCCAATTCCAAGTATGCTGCCATTGTGGAAAACTCCGGTGTCAGCAAGGCCTGGTGGGGTATCTTTACGGCAAATTCGGCCTTTAACGACTTGGGACTTACCCTCACCCCAGACAGCATGAACTCGTTCAACGACGCAACCTTTATTCTGTTGATCATGTCTTTCCTGATCATTATTGGCAACACGGGTTTCCCCATTATGCTGCGAGTTGTCATTTGGATCATGTCCAAAATTGTGCCGAAACGTACGGGACTTTGGGAGGAACTACGCTTCTTGCTGGACCACCCGCGTCGTTGCTTCACTCTGCTCTTCCCAGCAGGCGCCACTTGGTGGCTGTTCATCATTCTCATCGGCCTTAATGTCCTTGACCTGTTGTTCTTTGTCCTACTGGATGTAAGTTTATTTACTCCTCATAGCCATACTGCGCTGACAATGGCTGTAGCTTAACGATAACGCCGTCAGCGGCTTGCCGGTGCACGTGCGCATCGTGGATGGTATCTTCCAGGCTGCATCGACCAGAACTGCAGGTTTCACGGTTGTCAATATTTCGCTCTTACATCCTGCGGTGCAAGTGTCATACTTGATCATGATGTACATCTCCGTATTCCCAATCGCCATCTCGATCCGTCGCACCAACGTGTACGAAGAAAAATCTTTGGGCGTTTACCACACCCATGACGAGGACATGGAAGGCACCAACGAAAATAGCGCCTGGTCATACGTCGGTACCCATTTGCGGCGCCAACTTTCTTTCGACTTGTGGTATGTCTTCCTGGGACTCTTCATCCTAGCCATCACCGAAGGCAAAAAGATCCAAAACAAGGATTTCGACGTCTACTCGGTTCTGTTCGAAATTGTAAGCGCGTACGGCACAGTCGGGTTGAGTCTGGGTTATCCAAACGTCAACGCCTCCCTCTGCTCTCAATTCAGTACCGGAGGCAAGCTTATCATGATTGCTATGCAAATCCGTGGCCGCCATCGTGGTCTACCCTACGGGTTGGATCGTGCTGTTATTTTGCCCAGCGAATCTCGGTTCGAAAAAGAGGCAGCCGAGGCGCAGCCGGTTCTGGTTCGGTCTGCTACTGCCGCATCAACAGGAACTGCGCTTAGCGCAACGAGGTCCAATCTGAGATCGAGAAGGATGAGCACGAACAGGGGTCAAGGAAATATCTTTACTCAATTCCTTCACCCTGGCCCGATGATCCCACACGAAGACAGCCTCACCAATCTTTCTAGAAGGAGTAGGTCGTTTGGAGTCGACGAACATCCCCCGATGGGCGAGGATATGAGGAGGCGCAATACAGAGCCCGTCGATGACGAGACCACGGAAACCGATAGCGACGTGAACACAGCAGCTCCACGAAGAGCGGTAACCACACCCGCACGCTAGAGGCTGCCGCAATGGAGGACCGCGAATTAGCCTACTTGTGAGAAACGAAAAGGGGGCATACATTGCACGGAGTTTGTACTATGGAGTTACCAGGGCGGATACTTGTTTTTCATTGGTGCGGTGATCAGTCGTTTCTATAAAACCAAGGCGGACTAGATGGCTCAGGCCGCGGACAGACTTTTGATATTGGCGTTTGTTTTCACTGTACATTCTTATAATACTGTACACTTATGACGATTGATGAACAACCACTGCATATTTGGACTTTGCTACAGCTGCTACTGGGCACATCACCATGCTCACGTAATGTGCACCCTCCAACGGCCGATCTACTAGATCTTTCAATTCTCCCAACTGTCACTCAGCCCCTGAATCACTTGAGCCGATGTTCGAACTCCCATCAGCGAGCCTGGTGATCATGGTTATTCTGTTCATGTACACAACTCTACACAGGCCAATATTGTACGGCTCGCCCATTTTCTTATCGTACATTACACCCACTGTGTAGCCTCTTCCCGCCCCAACTGCGTCCGTCCTCTTCAGTCCGTAGCTTGTCCGTCTCTTTTGAAACAAGCAGGAGCTCGAAAAGAACGGAAAGTCTTCCCCTCTCTCCATCTTTAAAACCTAGAACCTTGCCTGCCCTTGCTGCGCGTACCGTACCTCTCCTTCTTCCACGCAAACACGAGGTGATCGACGTTGCCCATGTCGTGCTTGGGCTTGCGGAGGTACGTGAGGCGGGCGCGGCGCGCGCGCTTGGGCCGGCGCCAGACAATGTCGATGCCGATGACGGTGGGCGAGTAGATTTTGTACCACATCTCGACGCCAACCTTCATGAGCTGGCCGCGGAGGAGGATGCCCGTGTCGACGCCGCGGCGGCGGATGGACATGCAGACCCCCGAGAAGGGCTCGCCCGATTTGGTGGTGACCATGAGGACGTCGCCTACTTTTGCGGCGTCCGGGCGGGCCGGGTCGAAGAGGCGGGTGCGGGCGCCGGTCGGGTCGAGGGTTGTGCGCTGGGCGGCATCGAGGGAGGGCATGGGGTTCTTGAAGGTTTGGCGGATTGACGGAGGGGACGGGTATACTGCAAAGGTTGGCTTGTCGCGGGGACCGTCTGTTGAGAGTATTTATTAGCTTCTAGGCGACTGAGGGATGTCATGGTGTTGCAGGTGGGCTGAGCTCACAGTAGGACGGCTTCACTGAGGGCGTCGCCGGTGAGGGTGTCGTTGATGGAGGCTCGGGGGTGGCAGCGGTAGCCATGGACCGGGCGAGGAGTCTCTGGTGCCGCGTCTGGCGGAGGGCCATCTTCAAGCAGCCCATCGGCCGCAAGAGACTGGTGGCGTTCATGTTGACGGGGGCTTGTCGTGGGACGATGCAGCTACGTCTGCTGGGGCGACAACATGTAGAGCTTCGTAGGAGGTAAAGGTTCAAAAAGTTGAAGATCGAGGTACGAATTGCGAGCTGTGATTGGCTCGGTGCATCAATGATGCGGAGCCGCGGGCCCCCGGGAACTTGCGATCCAAAATTTCGGGTGGCACCCTGCGTCGATGCAGGCCATTTCGAGTAGCTCCCTTTTCGCCGAGGACGGTCAAGGGTTGTGCAGAAAGGGAAATCTCGACGAACACATACACCACACACATCGCCATCATGTCGAGGATATTAATGGGAAGGGCCCTCAGGGGTGCCAAGGCGTCGGTATGGGATCAGCCGGCGTGCATGGCACAGCAGCAGCAGCAGCGGTCCTTTGGCCAGACGCCTGCCCGTCAAAGTACGTCTCATGATAAATCTCACATTGGTTCTTGAGGGTGGAAAATGTATTTGGCTGACAGCTCCTTTCTTCTCAGATCCCCAAGTCCTCTTCGACAAGACCACCACACCCGGCCTCGGCCCGATCCTCGAGGAGATCCAGACCAACATCATCCTCCCCTACCACCTGCCCATCCACCAGCGCAAGCGCGTCTTCTCCGAGAAGCTCAAGCACCGCCTCAAGAACGACCCCGTGTACCTCGAGATCGACGGCCTCGAGCACCGCTTCAACCACATCAACGAGGAGGCCCTCCCCCCTTCGCGCGACATCACCTGGAAGGCCCTGCGCGCCATGGAGACCCCGCAGGACTGGAACAATTTCGGCCGCCTGCTTTCAGGCATGCGCACCGCGGGGCGCCACTACAGCCAGACGGACTTTGCAAAGATGATTCGCATCGCGGGGCAGCAGGGCCAGATCTACACCATCATCGAGGCGGCGAGGCAGGTCCGCAAGACGGGGATGAAGCTGGACAACTCGGAAAAGGTCAACGAGGTGCTGCATTTTGTGCAGATGCGCGCCGTCGAGAGCGGGTGGGACAAGGACAAGACGCAGCAGGCGCTGCGGTGGACCGAGATTGTTCTCGAGATGCTCGAGGACAAGGGCCACGCGCCCAACGCCCGCAAGCTCAGGAAGAGACAGCTGTCGCAGCAGGAAGCCGGTGACGCGGTAACGCAGGAGAGGTTCCCCCTCTACAACGACCCGCAGATCCTGGGCGCCGCGCTGCACTTGTCGGCGGTGCTGGCCGTCAAGCACAACGACAGCAAAGATGTTGACGGCAAGGTCGGCGCCCTGGCGAGGAAGCTCATCGAGCGGTGGCCCGCGGGTAAGGGCTTGCTGCAGCTGCACCCGGAGGAGGCGTACGCCGACCGCGTGGACGGCGTCGCGTACCTCGTGCACAGCCGGACGCAGTACCTCTCCTACGCGAGCCCGATCCTGCACGGCCTGTTCCTGGCCGCTCGTGTGGTGGAGAAGCCGCTCGCGGACAGGCTCAACGCCATCGCCGCGGCGCTGGGGCCCGAAGTGAAGGATGTCGCCGAGAACCAGACCTTCCCTGCCGAGCGTGGGCTCAAGACTTACAACGCCCTCTTTGGATCCGAGTAGGATGTTGACTTCTGGAATATATTGATGTGCTGGGATAGACGTGTGATAATAGCAAGCCAGGGGAAGGCAACGGGAGGGAGAGGTTGAGAAGCGAAGGAAGGGGAAGAGAAATCAGAGGCTCCAAAAAGGGGCTATGTACAGCTGATATGTAAAATTATCTATGTATACAAGCATCAAGACCAAAACAAGGTCCGCTCTAACAAACCCACCACGCCTTTACGGCAGAACAATGTACTTTTCCAAATGCTTGGGTATCGCGCCCAGCAGCTTCTTCTCAGAAAGCCACTTGCGCGAGAACAGCCGGTCGGCGTAGCGGTACGCGCCGTCGCACAGGATCGTTACGACCGTATTCCCCTTGCCGAGCTTCTCCGCCACCTCCTTGGCCGCGACGACGTTGAGCGCCGAGCTGGCGCCCAGGTACAGCCCCTCCTCGTCGAGGCACCTGTACACCATTTCGATGCTCTTTTCGTCGGCAATGGTCAGCGAGCCGTCGACGAGGTCGATATCGGGCTTCAAGTTGTCCGTGATGCGGCCCTGGCCGATGCCCTCGGTGATGCTGGACCCGCTGCGCTCGACGAGCTGCCCGCCGGAGGACACGTACGAGTGCAGCACGCTGCCGGGCGGGTCGGCGAGGAAGGATTTCACGCGGCCGCCGCTCACGTCTTTGAGGTACCGCGTCGTCCCCGCCAGCGTGCCGGCGGTGCCCGTGGCGCAGGTGAAGGCGTCGATTTTTCCGGCCGTCTGCTCCCAGATCTCGGGGCCGGTCGTCTCAATGTGCGCGCGGCGGTTCGCCGTGTTGTCGAACTGGTTCGTCCAGACGGCGTTGTCGAGCGCCTCGGCGTGGCGTTTGGCCTGGTGGTTGTAGTTTTCGGGGTTCTCGAACGCGACGGCGGGGACGGGGTAGACTTCGGCGCCGAGGAGCCGGAGCAGGTCGATCTTGCCCTGGGACTGGGTGTTTGGCATGTAGATGACGAGCTTGTAGCCTCGGGAGCGGCAGACGTGGGCGAGGCCGATGCCCGTGTTTCCTGCGGTGCCCTCCACGACGGTGCCGCCCGGTTTCAAGAGGCCGCGCTCCTCTGCGTCTTTGACGACGTAGAGGGCTGCGCGGTCCTTGACGGAGCCGCCCGGGTTCATAAACTCTGCTTTGCCGAGGACTTCGCAGCCGGTTTCGGAAGAAAGGCGATTCAGGCGGATGAGGGGGGTGTTGCCGATTGCTAAAGGAAACTCCCGAGTCAGCCGTGTTTATTTAGGGACCTTTTTTTTTGTCTTTCCTCGCGAGGATCTGGATAGGGTGGGAAACATACCGCCGGTGAGGCCCTTGACGACGCCTTGCGCGCGGGAAAGGTTGAGGGAGTAGGCGGTAGGCGGGTCGATGGCGCGGGCGGCCGTCGTCGCGAAGCGACGCACGGCGATGCGGCTCATGGTGGGGTAGGACTGGGAAGCTACAAGTTTCCTCAAGCAATGGCCCCGTCGCGGATGTGTAGCGGGAAGAGCTCGGGGAACTGAGTGAAATGGCAGATCAGAGGTGTTGAAGAAACGGGCTCCGGCATTCGGCTTTCTAAGACTGTAGAGAGACCCAGCCTCCGTAGTGGGGTTTCTTCAATTGGGTTCAGCTTAGACAATCACGTCAGAGCCGCTAGCGGCCGTGCTTGTGGGGCGCACGGGTGACGGAACCGGAGCTGTGACCGGCAGTCGGCGGCCGTCGCGGCGGCCGAGCCGAACGAGCTCAGTCAATACGCCGGCTTCTCAAGATGTTGATAGTCACGGCTGCAACGTAGGGATCCGGGTTGACGAGTAGTACAGGAAAGTGGTACCTCATTAAAAATTCATCAAGGAGTCAATAGCCATCCTTTTCACCTGTAGCAGGGAGGTCATTCTCGCATAGCTAACCCTCAGGAATAGTGCCTGCCCAAATCGCCGATGCACTCATCACGGCCGCATATCGCATTACCAGCCAAACTTCCCCCACAACCATGGGCCAATTCCATATCATGCGTGATCATCAAGCCGTCTCACGTACGGCGATGGGAAAAGCCCTTTGGCGCCCATATACACCCCAAAGAACCAATCCCCATTCACATCCTCAATCTCCCGAATCTCAGCCCCCTTGGGAAACAATAGCTCGTCCTCGGCCTTGGGATACCAAGCCCACGTCGCTATCGCCCTCATCCCGACACCCCCGTCTGCCGGGAACCCCTGAGCGAGGCCATCCCCCATCGGCGCATCCGCCGCAACGTCCCTGGTGACGAAGCGTTCCCGCGTCTGCCCGCCCTCGTGCCACCACCACTTCTGTGGGGCCTGCTCGTCGCTGCCCTCTGGTTGCGTGATGCGGAGATTACGGCCTCCTACGAGATCGGATAGTATGTGCCGCAGTTGTCCGCCCGGTCCGTCGCGGAAGCCGACTACGATCATGCGATGACCGTTGAGACACCGGCGCCAACCCACGTGTCCGTTCTCTGGGCTTATTTGGTCACGTGCTTCAAGGTTGGCGTAGCAGTTTGTGCAAATATCATAGTCGCCCGGTAGCGTGTCAGGCTCGATGGAGCTGGTACAAGTGAAGCAGTGATATCGGCTGTGACTAGGAGATATAGGGTCCTGGCAGACGTCGCAGTGTGTCGTAAATGTCAGGGGCTTGAAGGGGCCGATGTTATGAATATTAGGTCCCGTCAGCACAACGGCTGAGTGAGGCGGCTGGGGCGACCTGGGGCTGGCCGGTGGTGTATGCGACGACTGAGGCTGATAAGTTAGAGGTAGAAGGGGGTGCGTGCACGATCGCCCCTGGTTCACGCAATTGTTGCAGAACCCCCAGTCGCCGAAATTGCAAATATCGCAGCGCCAGAAGCACTCGTTTGCCCAGGTCAGACATCGAGCGCAAAAGTTGCCGCTCTCCAACCGCTTCATCGGGTCATCGGTCGTGAGGGTTCGTCTTCCCTCCGCTCCACCCGGGATGATCTTCGGCTGAAGGTAACGATTTGCCGTCAGCATGTGAGGTGTGGGAATATCCTCGCGTGCCGTGTGCCGAGCCTTCTCCCACTTGGCCCACGCTCCGTACCCGAAGCCAAACCAGTGCAAGCAGCCTTTGCCTGACCTATAACAGTCGATGCAGATATTCCAATTACCGCTGGCGCAGACCCCGCAGTTGTAATGTAGCTCGTACTCGATGTGCTGTTTTGCGCAGCGGGCACACGTGATTGAGGGTTCAGGGTAAAGCTGCGAGCGTGTACGTTGATGGCCGGGGTTTGTTGGACTGCCGATTCCCAAACCCAAGCCAAGCCCTACCGGGCCTGAAGTGACCTGGCTGATGATGGACAAGTCCGCTGGCCGGTTCGGCCGCTGCAGGCGAGGCGACAGCGGCTCTATGGGCGGAGACGCGGCAAAGTTGGAAGGCACTGCCGCAGAAGAATTTGTCATGCGGTTGGCAAAGGTAAGCTCGCGCGGTGCTGGCGAGGTGGTAGTCGGAGACTGCATCGTGGTAGGTACCGACGGTGTACTCGAGCTTCTCGCCTCGGTGAAAACGGTTCTCGGGGCGACCGCTTCACCAAAGTTTGTCCGTGATGAGAGGTCGGTCTGCGATCGAGTGGCTACACGGTTCTCGGACTGCGTCGCTGGGAGGGGTGTGGTTGCGCTACGACCGCCGCTCGAGGTTCGCCTCCGTCTCCGCCCCTCCTCTGGACGAACTTCAAGATGGAGCGCGCTTTGTGAGAGCGGCGGCCGGCTGCGATCTTCGGGAAATCCAGTCGCACTGGTTGACCTTGAATGCGGCCGTTGCCTGCTACTCGGTCTACTGCTGTCCGATGCACTTGACCTGATCTCCTGCACGCGATCTGGAGAGTGTCTGGATTGCCCGCTCGTATCCCTCCTCCTTGTTCCTTCGGCCCTCGTGCGTTCTCGCTCTCGTTGCCTTCGTCTGTAAGCCTCTGTAATCTTTCGACTCAGCTCGTCGTTCTGGCTCAGATCGATATTGTCCAGATCAAGTCCATCCAACAGACCCTCTTCTTGGATTTGTCTAGCAAAATCCTCAATCTCCTTCTGAACGTCGCGCTCGCTCAAGTCGCTCGAGCTGATCAACGATCGCAGGGACGACTGGTGCTCGATTTGCCGACGCCTCATGTCGGATGACTCTTGAGCACGGTGTCTCGACTCACTCCTCTGGCGTCTCCTTTGCTCGCCCGACCTCGAGTCCGGTTGCAGTTGATCCCCATTAAGCCTCCCTTCGTCGTCTCGCGGTCTCCGACTGCCCTCGTGTCTGTGGGTGTGACGGCTGTCTCGACTATGATCTCGGCTGCGTCTGGTTCTGCCATCGGCAGAGCTGCTATCTTCTCTCCGCCGTCGATGTCGAGGTCCCGAGGAAGAGTCAACCCCAGCGTCTCTGAGACTCATCTCCCGCACATTTTCCAGCAACCTCCTCTCTTCCTCCTCTGCGCGCCTCTCCTCCGGCGTTCTCTCAGGAATCTTGACTTCCGGCAGCACCTGGTCACCCCGCTTGTACTTCTTCACCATTTCCACCACGTCGGATTCAGATCTCCTTCTGTCTGGATTCGCGGCAACAAACATGTCGAGGAGAGTTGCAACGGTGGCATTGTGCCTCGTGTCGCGAACCGGCGCACGACATGACGGGCAGGTGAAGATGTTTGTCCCTGGTGTGGGCGGGGTCGGCGAGTTCTCGCCTTGTTGCGCCTGGAACGAGAACCAGTCCTTCAAGCAAGCACCGCAGTATGTGTGTAGACAGTCGAGAAGAGTCAGAGGCTGGTAGAGGAGTTCGGTGCAGATCTAGAGGAAGCCAAGAGGAAAAGTCGGTCAGCGCACATAGATTTCTAGAGTCCTGCAAGTTCCAGGTTGGGATTAACAAAAAAAAAACCTGCCCCTCTCCTAGGGAGGCGCTACAGGCGTTGGATCAGACGAGATAGCGGACGACTTACAGAGCACGTCAACTCCCTCTCCAGGTCGAGTGCGGGCTTTGGGGAATCCATGCAGGAACTGTCGCTCCGCGCGATCCCTGGAATGCCGGACACAAAGACAATGTCATGAGGAGGTTTGTCCAGCGGGATCGGAAGGGGACATGTCGGTTTAAGACTGGCTGTCAGGCAGCATGGGCGGCGGGGCCGAAGGCTAGGCGCGCTGTGGCCGCTGGTGCAGAAGCACCTCACAGGCTCACAAGCTCAGGAAAAGGTGTGGAAGGGTGTTGAAATGGTCAGAAACCGCCCTATGAGGTGACCCGACGGATGGATGCTACGGCCGCCCGCTGCCCAACTTGGGTGTTAACCCCACGTCAGTTCCCGCCCGCCGACCCCTACCCCTGCCCCTAGCTCCAAGAGCATCCCAACTACTGCGTGGAGCCAATACGCTGAGATCATTGTAACAACCCCTCCGCTGCCTTTGGGGACGGGCTAGCCCCTGTAAGCTCCTGGGAGTACGAACTCAATGGCGACCAACTCTCTGGATTTTTCAAACCCATGGTCGACATAGCGTATTCTAAGCCATGCATATGAGCTGCTTCTGGGGCTTGGTGAGTCTTCAGGAGAACCAGTCGGCTTACTAGGCTTACTTGGCTTGTGGGGTTTTAGTGTCTCTTACGTAGGGGATTCCGGGACTAAAGTGTCATGCAGAAAGCGAGTGCCTCACGAGAGACTCTCGAAAACAGACTGTCATCCTCTTTCCTGCCGAGGAGCACAGCCAAGCAAAGTTGGCGCTGGGCTGACTGTGCTCTTACATGGTCTTATTCATGCCGAGCAGCTTGCCGGGTTTTCCCAATCATACACACCCTTTCATTCGCCCAAGCCCATGGTTGCACAACATTAAGTCTTTTTCAGTCTCGGCTATTTCGCATACACTAGTCGTTGACAGACGTGACGTCTCAAGAGTGAGTCCACTCGGCCTTCTTCTTCTCGGCAAATGCCTTCATGCCAATCTTCTGGTCGTTGCTGCCGAACAAGCTGTGGAAGACTCTCCTTTCAAACTCGACACCATCCCTCAGAGGCAGATCCTGGCTCTTATTCACAACCTCCTTGCACGCGTTGATGGACACCCTCGAGTAACCGGCAATGGTTTCGGCCGTCTTCAGCGTCTCCTCCATGAGGATCTCGTACGAAGGGAATGCCTTGGCCGCAAGACCCCACTTCTCGGCATCGGCACCGTTGAAGGACTTGCCCGTCAGGATCAACTCCATGGCTTTGGACTTCCCGATGGCCCGGGTCAGCCTCTGACTGCCTCCAGCACCTGGGATCGTGCCGAGCTTGATTTCGGGCTGGCCAAAGTTGGCATTCTCTGTGCAGTAAAGGATGTCGCACATCATGGACAGCTCACAGCCTCCGCCGAGCGCGTGGCCGGAGACGGCAGCGATGATGGGCTTCTTGATCTCGGTGGTGAGGAGCGACCATGACTCGATGAAGGACTTGGTATATGCTTCGGAAAAGGTGAGAGGGGCCATCTCCTTGATGTCGGCACCGGCGGCAAAGGCCTTTTGGGAGCCGGTCAGGACGATGACAGAAGTTTCGTCCGACGCATTGAAGGCCCTGAGCGCATCATTGAGCTCATGGATGAGGGGAGTGCAGAGGGCATTCAAAGCCTTGGGACGGTTCAACGTCACTAAAGTGGACCGTGGTCAGCATCGTCACAGAGCGATGAATGCAGCTGGAGGAGCAATTACCTTGACCAACACCGGGCTTGGGCTGAGAAACCTGGATGAACTCGTACGACTTGCTGGCGAATCCACGTGTGAGTCTGGGCAGCGTCGGCGCCTGCATTCGCGAGGCGACTGGCCGAAGGCATCTGAGTGAGTTCATGGTGAAGCAGGTGAGAGAGAGCTCGAGGACACTCTCAATTCGAACGGGATGGAATCTTTGATGACCAGAATAAACCGACTCAAGTAATATCAATTTTAATCGAAGTCAGCCTCACAGTTGGTACAAGAGCTCGGGTTTAATTGAAACGAAATGCTAATGGAGCTGTGATGTAGCAGGTAGGTTGAGCTCCAGCTACAGTAATCCAAGCTCGAGGGATAGCTGGAAAGCATCGGCTCTCTAAAGCCGAGGATACAGTTGGTAGGGGCACAGACACTCGAGGCGCACTGTGACAGCTTCCCCCGCGTCACAGGCTCCATGGTCTTAATCACCCGTAGCAGCGGGATCCCGGCAGATGGGAGACACTGGACCCATCCATGGATCTTCCCACGCTCTGGCTGGTTCCAGTCTGCAGGCTGCGCCACAGGGGCTCATTCGGGGCCATTCTCAGGGGATCCAATCACTGACCTGCGCAATCCAATGACTGGGCCGGATAAGATTCGGGCCAAAAAGCAGACGCGGTGCTGCCAGTCTCATTAGGAAGAAGGGACACTTTGTTGCAAGCCTTACGTGGCTGAACCTATTTCCAGAGATCCCATCAAGCCAAAAACTCGTTCGGACAGATTGCGACAGCGCGCGGCGGCCTCTTCCCACAGCACCATCATCCCAGCCTCGCACCCTCGTTAACGGCTCGATATTCGCGTCAACACACGTGCATATCGTCAGATAAGCACATTGCACGAACACCAAAGCCACGAGTTCATTCGCGCAATCATCGCCCAAGATGGACTCTGTTGAACCGGAACAGACTGCCTTCTCATCGGTCACGGCCCACACCTCCAAGCTGCAAAGAGTACGGCGACGATGAAATCCTCGAAATTGTCAGCGGCATCTTGCTAACACCCTTTGCAGCAATATCAAGCGCTGCTTGATCAGTCAACCCCCTTCGTGCTGTACAGATGGATCGCCACGGGCGTCAGCCTCTTGGGCTTCTTTGCTCGCATCTTCGTGGCGCAAGGCTGGTACATTGTCGCCTACGCCCTCGGAATCTACCTACTCAACCTTTTCCTGGCCTTCTTGCAACCCAAGTTCGACCCCTCCAACGAGGCGATGGACACTGAGATGGAGGATGGTGGTGTGGGCATTCTCCCCACCAAGCAGGACGAGGAGTTCAAGCCCTTCATCCGCCGCCTCCCCGAGTTCAAGTTCTGGTACTGGGCCACCCGCGCCATCGCCATCGCCTTCTTCTGCAGTTGGTGGGAGATCTTCAATGTTCCCGTCTTCTGGCCCGTCTTGGTCATGTACTGGTTCATCCTCTTCTTCCTGACGAGTACGTGCACTCCTTGTCTCCCTGGCATTTACCTTGGCGCAGAGCTGACCCCCTTTCCAGTGCGCAAGCAGATCCAGCACATGATCAAGTACCGCTACGTCCCCTTCACCTTTGGCAAGAAGAACTACGCCAAGAACAGCTCCTAAAGGGGGCACGCAACTTTACGACGCGACGGAATCAGCGGGTTTTACGAGAGACAGACGAGGTTGTCACGCTCATCGAGGCGGGGCAAATGTAAGAGTCTAGTCACGCAGAAAATTAGACAGTACGTGAGGATGAATACACATTTTGATGCAGTCTGGATGGCGACGATAGGAGAGGCAAACTGTATGTACCTATAGAAAGGGAGGCCACGGGTATGAGTGCTTGATGGTTGCGACGGCGAACTATACGGGGCGCATCAGGAGGTGGTCCTACTGCACAGTCGGGAGCCATTGCCCCGTTGATGAGTGACGGTTTTGCTTTGAAATCATTCATCTCATACTACGTATTGTAATAGAGAGGACAAACTTTGTCTCTGATTCTTCATCCATGTCACGGCGCCAAGGAATTGTTTTTTTTTTTTTTTTTGGTTTCCATTGATGTCAAGCTTCCAGGTTGACAGCTTGGGGGTGCTGTGTCTTCATCTGATAGAGCTGATAAGGCTCGAGGCCCGGGCGTTGGCTGGCGCAACTACCCCGAACTCCAGCCTCGTGGAACTTTTCCGGGCCAAATGTACCTTCTTGGTCAACACGACCGCGCCCACAGCTCCGCGCCGACAACCTTTGGAATCATCCTCTTTTCCTCGTCAATCCAACTCAAACCTCAATTGTGACGGAGATACCGAGCCAGCAAACACTCCTGGTCAGCCACAATGTCGTCCTCCGCGCCTCGTGGCGGCGAGCGCATGATCCATCAGGATTTCATTGCCAGAATCCGATACTCCAACGCCCTACCGCCGCCGCCCAATCCTCCCAAGCTCCTCGACATCCCGAACACCGGTCTGGCTAGCGGCCAGTACACAACACCCGGGTTTGCGTCGCGTCTGGCGAGAGAACAACCGCTCAACATTGAAGTCGATGCGGAGCTCGGCATGCCCTTGGACTTGGTGGGCATGCCGGGCATCTTTGACGGAGACGAGAGCTGTAAGCGCGGCCGCGTTGCGCCCAAGGCGAGCCCAGTACTGACGTTGATGCAGCTATCCAAGCCTCGTCGCACCCGCCTCCCGTGCATCCCCACGATAGAGCCCTCCTCAGACCACTCTCCACCCTTGGCCGAGCCAAGAACAACGCCGATGCATCCGTCTCCTTCCTGAGAAGAACAGAATACATCTCCTCCGTAGCACCCAGAAAGGCCGGTGTTGCGGCGGGAGCATTCATCAACCCAAAGATCAAACGCGCAGAAAAGCGTCGCTCCCCCGAGCCGGACAAAGACTCACCAGCCGCCATCAGACGCAAGATTGAAAAGAGCTTCGAGAGTGCTGAGCGGTTCCTCAGCAACCCAACCCGTCATCGCCATCCGAGCAAACCCAACGTTCATCTCACGCAGTCTCTGCCGCTGCTGCCCGACCACGACGCCTTCCCCGACTCTGGCGCCTACGTCACCGTCAAGCTCCTCACGAACCCCGTGGCGAGTGCTAACAAGTACGATAGTCGCCTGCTTAGCGGTCTGCTCCGCCCACTGGACAGGAGCCCCGAGGAGAACGAGGCCTTCCAGGCTGCGGTCGAGGCTCACGAACGCGATCCCGCACGCCACCCGAAGCCCGCCAACCTGATGGACTACAGCTTCTTCCTTCCCAAAACCAAGACCACGGGCGACAACTTCCGAGCCAAGTTTGACCCAGAGAATCCCGATCGCGATGATGATTCGCTCTACACGTACCAGAGCGGCTCCAACCCGTGTTTCCAGTTCTCCCGCCTGCGCGCTTACGAAACGACAAAGGAGATTGAGCTCGATCACAACACAAAGTACAGCGAAGAGGTTATTCTCGCCTTTAATGACGAGCCCTCTGTCGGCAAGCAGAAGGCGGCCTACTACTACCCAGTCATTCAACGCACGACCATTCGTCCTCAGCGCGCCAAGAATATTGCGCGTACTTTGAGTCAGGTGGACGACGAGACGCAGGTTGTGAACGAGGTGGAGATTTCCATCACCGACCCCAAGGGGCCTCCTCTCGAGAACATGAAGCGATACAAGGAGAAGCCCATCGGGTATGTCGAAGAGGCCGAGCCCGCTGATGAGACTCGCGCGCCTGGCACCCCGTCGGACAGGGATGCCGATGGCGATGCTGACGGGGATGAGGAAGATGAAGATTGAGGGGCGGCATGACTACCTTAGTAAGGGGGGCCCGCGGTTCAATTTGGCGCTGTAACATCAGTTCTTTTCGCAGACCATTTGGCGTTGGGTGTGAAAAACAAAAATAGGGCAGCCGTGGTGGTGGCCATCTACATTTTAGGCTGTCCCAATGATAAGATACTCTCACGCGATTAATCAGAGAATGAATGCGTTGAACCATCTGTGTCATGACTTTGAATTAGGTTTATGTAGGATCTTTTCTCATCCAGTGACTTTTATGAGATGCAGCGGCGGGTTAGGTATCTTTCCTGGCTCGTTCCCGCCCGTCGTATAATTTCTGGTTGTTTTGAGGCAAATCTCGAAAGGAAAAGGAAACGATGCAGTAAACTAGACATGAGAAGAAAAACATCCAATGTGGTATAGGAACAGGCGTTCTAAGAAAAAAACAACACGCCGCAAACAATACTTCATGTTTCCTTCCCCCTCCCCTCCGTTCCCGTTTCATAGCGTAAAGGTTACCCGGAGAACTCCTTTTCTTTTTTTTTTTTCCCAGAGAAGAAGAGAAAAATTACAACATGGAATGATCCCACGGCGATGTAAACCTGCTAGGCTATGAATTCAGTGAAAAGATTTTTTTACGCCGGCGGCTCTGGGACGGTTTCGACGGCGAAGCCAATGGTGTTTCTCTTGTCGTCAATGACGCGACCGTACCTAAGACGAAGAGGGTTAGCAAATTGGTGCATCGTTATATGGATGTGTGCGTGTGTGTGTTACTCACTCTAGGAGGAGGCGGAAGAACCAAACCTCCATATCCTCCTTGCGAAGCACCTTGTTCGCCCAGTCGCGGCTGCTGAGCGCCATACGCTCAGCCTCATTGTGCCCCAGTGCGCCGTCGCCAAAGAAGCGGACGCTCTCGAGCCAGTCGTCGCCCTGCATGCTCATGGGGATGTAGTGCGCCCAGGGGCGTAGCCACTCAAAGTGCCACTCGCGGAAGATGGCGAGCTTGAAGACGAGGGAGCGCGACTGCAAAAATGCGTAAAAACGCCCGGAAAAGGCGTTGCCATCCATGTCAAGGAGATACTTGTACTTCCAGGCATCCTGCTGCTCGGCGTGGCCCTGGATCTTGAAGAATTCCTTTTCGGCGTCGCAATCACCTGGGTCGCACTGCCCGACGTGCGAGAAGAAGACGTCGACGATCTCGCGGTAGTCGCCGCGGGGCACCTCCTTCACCTCCCACTGCGGATTCTGCTCGTCGCCGCGGTTAGCGTAGATTTTGGCCTGGTCGGCGGCGTTGAGCTTCTGCACGAGGTGCTGGCGGTGCTGGCGGCGCCAGCCGCCATTACGGGAGAAGCCACCCGTGGTGGAACCGCGCCAGTAGAGGCGGTCCTCCTTCTTCTCCCAGGACATGTCCTTTGACTCGTCGTAGGCGACCTTTTTATACCAGTACCAGGGCGAGGGGTAGAGGATGTCATTGTAGGACGAGATCTTTGACTGGGAGAAGATGGGGAAGAGGTCGTGGACAATGTTGTAGGCGTTGGGGCGGTCGAAGAAGCCGTAATTCGAACTCAAGGAGGGCGAGAGGCAAATGTCTGACATGGCGGTGATGTTGTAGACGAAGCCGAGCTCGCTGACGCCGTACTTGCTCCTGTCGTCAGACATTTCGTCGTCCTCGAGGCCACGCGAGGGGCTGTCGGGCGGGCAGGACATGCGGGAGTGCGTCCAGGTAGGCTGGTGGGCAAAGACATTGAAGCGAGTGCGCTTATACTCCTCGATGATATTGCCTTCGCTGAGCCCCGCCGCGCGCTTCGTAAAGGCGTTTTCCGGGTTGAGGACCGCATTCGCCTTGGGCATATTGACGTCCTTGGCGCGGCTGACGAGGCGTGCGAGGTCCTCGTGGGGGACGACCACGCGCGGCTCGTCGTGAATGTTGAAGGCGATGTCCATGCTGGGCAGGTGCTGGATGAACTTCTTCATCATGCCAGAGGTGGCATCGCGCTGCCAGTCTGAGCCGCCCTGGATGTGCTTGATCTTGTGGTCCCGAATCAGGAGACCGATCAGCTTGTTGTCGAACCCCAGCGCCTCTCGTGCCCGCTCCCGTATCGTCGCCGGCTTTAGTCCCCAGAAGGGCGTGAGCATCTCGTGTATCATGTCGAACTCGTCAATTAGCTGCACGCCGCTCGCCTTTGCGAACTCGAACCACTTGTCAAAGTTGGGGGGCGGTGGAATGCCGTAGCGGCGCCTGTACTCCTCGACGGCGCCCTCGAGCGTCTTGGACTGGCGCTTCAGCATCTCAGAAAACTCCTTCTCGGCGCTCGTCATGAGGTGCCACATGGGGTGCGAGCCGGTGCCGCCAGCGGACTTGGGTCGTCTGTCGGGAGGGGCCGCGGCGGCGGCAGCATCGTCACGGAGTGTCTGTTGATCTTGCGGGCGCGGAGGGGGCTTCTGGGAGCCTGTGACGGGGGCTATCGGTCGCGGTTCGGACGGGAGGGTGAATACTGTGTATGCGCATATCAACAGGAAGACGAAGAGGATGACGACCGTCCATTGGCGACGGCGCATGGTTGGTTGCTGGCTGTCAGCCTGCCCCTTTTGTGGCGGCGGGCTGCGTCGCTTGTCTCGATCCTTGGTCGGGTGCTTTGGGGGGGAGGGCCAGTTTTCGCAGGTCACCCTTTTGCGTCGATGAGGTTGAGGGAAGAAACACGGAATGGATTCAGGGCCTCATTGCAGGAGTAAGCATAGATTCCCAACGAAGAGAATTGACTGGCAGGGCTCGTAATGTGTCGTGGATAAAGGAAAAGTGCCCTAGTGGCTAGGTTGGTGGTATTGGTGGTGGTGTTGTTTGGTGGTGCATGTGCTCACCCATTGGATGCAAGTGCCAGGGCAGACTTTCGGCCTGGGCCCGGCGGACGCTAAGGTACTTTACCTAAGAATGAAAGTCTGTGGTTGACGAGCCCCTAAAAGTCGCCTGAAAAGGACATGGCTTAGAACCTTGGAAAGTTGCAGCGCGTGCGTGGACCTATTCTTACCTTGAGTGGTGGCGCCGTGCCGAGGTGACAGGGGTCATAATTGGACATGCTTGGGACAGGGAAGGAGCTTAGTTCAGGATCGCCTCGAGATTGTGGGGGCTAGGCCTCTGAGAGATTGAGCCTCCTTCCAGCCCCGACTTTTGGGAAGCTTGGTGGCAGGTGGGTATGATGGACTATTTTCATGACGCTTCCATGACTGCTAGGTGGACTCATGGTACTGCCTTGGGTATGCAAGACAATTTAGAGCAAGGCGACGAGCTGTGAGATACCAAGGTACCTCAAGTTGACAGCGCTACGACTATGTCAGGTCCCTTGCACCGTCAGGTACCTGCGACTCGGAATGCCCCCCTGAAAAGTATAAGTTACAAGAACCAGCTTTCCGGAATTTCGCCCGCGACTAGCGCAATTCTTAGTCGGACTGAGACACAATAATTGGAATGGAGACAAAGACGCTTTGCTCACTTTTCGCAGAGATATGGTCGGGTTGTGGGGGACACTGGAGGGAAGTCATTGACCCGCTCGATTCTTTGAGCCACCTTTGTGTGACCCTGTGGATCTCCAAGATTCTTCTTGGCCAAAACATCATTTCATCCAGAAACGTTGAAGGCGTTCAAAGACACATGTCTCTGCGCGGCGCCCACGCCACTTTTCTTTCTTTTCCCGACCGGCAGTGGTCGGCAATAAGGGAGCATGTAGCTTACCTTGGGGAAATCACCTCAGTTGCCGATATGAATCCCCAATAGTTGGATTGTATCGGTAAAGTGGATTCGCCTCAATTGTAATGCATTTCAGGCGTCAGGTCGTCAAGTTCCAGACTTGGTCAACTCTTTTCTTTTCTGGAAAGACTGCAGAAACTACCTATGCAGAAGTACTCGGCGAACGGGAAGAACGGGAAGGATGCAGGAAATAAAAGCGCTGCTTTGGGGAAGACGAGCTGATGCGTGCAGCCAGAGATCGCCGCCTTCGTCTACATTCTCTACACATATCCTGACCGACTCTGAATTTCTTTGCCATAGTCTCCATCGGGCAAAAGCCGAGTTTGTAGTAGTTATAAAAAAAAAAAAAAAACAAAGACCCCATGAATCGAGTCGGTATGCCAGCCGGCCGTCTAGACCGAGACTCACGAGAGGCAGGTCAAAAAAACAATGCACGACATACCTGCATCGCATCAACAACCCATCACGTGGAGGGCCTGGAGGGCCTGAATGCTACGGCCGATACCGCAAAACCGCCAGAAGCGGAGTCCAAATGCCCTCGAAATATCACAAATATGCACGACATACTTGCATTGCATCGTCTCGCCATCACGTGGTGGTCGCAGAATTGGCCCGGGGCCAATGTTGCCGTTTTGGGTAGTAAGATAAGGCATGAGACGAATCGTGCATGAGGGCCTCCCCGAGGTTGAGACTGTGACCTTGGGATGAATATCCAGACAGGTAGGTTATGGCGGCAGTGCTCATTGCCGAGGCTGAAGTGACACGCCAGATCTCTCGTCTGAGACGAATACTCAAGATCTCCAATTACAAGACGCCCTCCTTACCTTGGTGGTTCGGTGTAGATGAGAAGTTACATCGCAAAGACCAACTTCACCCTCCTCTCCTCTGGCACCTTTTCCATGTCGTTCATCGGCCTCGGGAGGACATCCGACCCGCTCGCGCCGATGCAGTACCTCTCCCTCGGAGAATTCATCTCCTCAAAATTCTCGAGGGCATCCTGTTGGCCCCGATCCATTCCGCCTCCATCAGGCACCCGTATACTGCGAGTTCCCCTTGGCTTGGGAGAGAGATGACGACGCCGATAGAGACGTTGGCAGCTCCGGATCAATGCCAAAGGAGGGTAACGGGGGGCTCGTGCTGTCGAGGTTGGCCAAGAAAGCTTGTGTGGTCGGGTTCTCCAAGGCCGTGATGTCGGTGTTGTTGCTATCGAGAATGGTGACTCTGCATCGAGTTTCCATAGAGGCGAACTCTTGGAACGTTGAGTACCGATAGTCTGACCCGCGGTACTACTTTTTCTCCTTTTGATCCATCATAATAAGGGCGTCCAGCCACAGCATCGTCGTCGCGGCGAAGGTGGCACCCGTCACACAATGCGGCAGCGTCACTCGAGATTCTGCCCAGCCGCGCTTCCCCCCCGGCCTGCGAATGGACATTGGCAACTGCAGAATTAATTCCGGCGTGGCGAGTGGGAAGAGTGCCAGTATTCGGATGTACGACGTCTAGGTAACGATAAGGATGGCCTGGTCCGGGAGGTAGCTCACGAGATGCGTCAGTGAGTCCTAGCCGGCAGACGGGCAGTCGACGTCGCCGGCCCCTTCGCACACGTGGCCGTCGATGTTGTCCGTCGGCGTCAGTATTATGGGGAAGACGTCTGTACAATTTTTTATCAATGTACACCAACGAACCGCCCTCATCCACCAGTCGTTGGGGGAAGTCAGGACGGCAGCCGTCGCAGGTGCCATGATCACCGCCAGGACGTAGCACATGATGAGGAAGGAAACGAACAAGACCTTTTTCGACGGTCAAGAAGCGGTCCCTCATCATGGCCGTCAACTCGTCCGACCACAGGAACTTGGATGAGCTGAAGTTGTTGCCGGCAAAGAAGACCGCTAGCGGCGTTCCCTGACTGAGCGTCACCTCTCGGCGGATAAAGGTTAAGATCATGGTCGTGAGCGAGCCGATGATCATGATTTTGAGAAACTTGGCAGCGAACTGGATCAGCAGGTTGGCCGAGTTGTCCCACTCGCGGTTCGGCATGAGGTCTGCCCCGAGCCTGAATTCGTGGTGAATGAGATGGTTCATGATGGCGGTGGCGACCAGAGGCTGGACGTGGACCACGACGGCGAGGAGGGCCATGGGCCGGTTCTCAAGGATGACGAGCTTCGTTTGGTTGTGGATCGAGTCGTGCACATTGTAGAATAGACGGTATAGTGAGCGGAAACTCCATGCTTTGAGCGTATTTTGAAGGACAGCTCTGAAGCTGAACGTTCATTCGTACACTTCGTATGAAGTCCTTTGGTCGTCAAGTCTAGCCTAGGTCAGTATTTCTAGTATGTGTGACAGCGAAGGCGTCGCGAAACCACTCTGAAGCACAACTCTGGTCTGGCCCGATGTGGCATTGAGTATACGGGGTTCAAGTCACCTCTCTGTATCTTTGAAATCTTGCGTGTCATTAGGGTCTAGGGATAATCGTCGACGTTCGTGCAGACTGCCCTCTTGTGGCCGAATGAGGGAGACGAGAGGCTCTCTCCTTTCTCCAGGCAAACAGACTCCAAACATCTTCAGACTTTCACTTTGCATGACAATTAATTGATAATGGCATTTGATATCGCATAGCCACGTGGCGAGCTCGGATACTCGGGTTCATTCACCAATTGCCCTCCAACACCGCAGCCTTCTCAGCTCGCAACGAAATGGGAAGTTTTACGCTGCCAACAGGGGTGCAATGCAGCGGTCGATGACAGTGAGTTCGTTCGAGATCCGCTTTCGGGACGGCCTGAAGCTGTCATGTCGCGATGCTGCTGTTGCGTGTCAGACTGTAGAATCCAGCTGTTGAACGCCCAACCCCCTTTGGGATTATGGCTTGGTAAGGCTGAGGATCTAAATCCTTGTGTGAATATTCAGTTCCGAGTAGGTCGATGGCTTCGGCTCAATGCATACGTAAGAAGTTGCAACTCTCCTTTTCCCCCTCTCATTCTGGGTGCGTCGACCAATGTCGTTGAAACCAGCTGAAGTGAGGGCGTAGTGGCTTTACAACGCCTAGGAGTAAGCTTGTTGTACCGCAGGCGCAGGGACCCGCATTGGGCCCGGACGCATGCCGGATCTCGCTGAGGTAATCAGCCCAAACCCCCACGCCTGCGGCCTGCCTGACCCCAGCTGCCCAGATCTGTAGATGCTCGGCGCGTGGTCATCGACTTCTCCACCCATCTGAGTGGATGACGGCGATCCGGTGAACGCGGCGCATGATTGCTTGTCTCTCTCCTACTCATCCCCCCCCCAAGGCCAGTAACATTGCTTTGGATTGCTTTGCGTACACGTGCGCCCTCGTGATACGAACATCTTGAAGAGCTCCGGAGAGTGTACGGCTCAAGCCTTGTTCAACTGGCCCCAACAAGCCGGCGCGTTCGGGAACTTTGAATGGGAGGGGGCGGACACTGACGGGAAATCTTAACGACGAACCGACACTCTTAGCTTCGGCGGCCTTCCACGCAGTTTGTTCTTCCGACAACACACTACACTTGCGCTTCTCTTTCCAAACAGGAGACGGACGACGAATTCGAGAACGAATACCCGGAGCTCGACGGAATTGGACGGCACCGATCCAGAGCTGACTCAGGGTCGCCATCACATCTCTCTTCTCCGCCGCTACTCTCGACGGGAAGACGAAAAGGACAAGATGGAGCGCATCAGGGAACTGCTGGGGAAGCACAACAAGCCGGACCGCCAAGACTATGAGCCCCTGGATGAGGAAGGCCGGGAACTTGTCGGCCCTACCATGGAAGACCCGGAGGAGGTGCCGTTCTCATGGATAGAGTATATCATGTTCGCCTGGTTGGGCATGGCGATGCTATGGGCATGGTACGTGAACATTGCCCCCTCCTTGCCTCAAGCCTCTTGTGATGTTTAGAGTACGCTTGCTAACACATTCCATCGCCAGGAACATGTTCCTCGCAGCCGCGCCCTACTTCCAAGTCCGCTTCCAATCCGATGTCTGGATCTCCCAAAACTTCCAATCCGCCATCCTCACCGTCTCCACGCTCACCAACCTCACCGCGATGCTGATCCTCACGAACATTCAATACACCGCCTCCTACCCCTTCCGCATCAACCTCGCCCTCATACTCAACTGCGTAATCTTCTCCTTCCTCACAGCCTCCACCTCTATCGCCCTCAACGCCTCCCCCGGTGCATACCTCGCCTTCATCCTCATCATGGTCGCCTCGAGCTCCTGGGCTACGGGGCTAATCCAGAACGGCGCCTTCGCCTTCGCCGCCTCCTTTGGTCGCCCAGAGTACATGCAGGCCCTGATGGCCGGCCAGGGCGTAGCGGGAGTCCTCCCACCCATCGCGCAGGTCATCACCGTCCTCGTGGTGCCCGACAAGGACGGAAGCGGGTCCACAGACGCAGAGGGCGACGTCAAATCCTCGAGCTCCTCGGCTTTCGTCTACTTCCTCGCCGCCGTCGTCGTCTCCGTCTCGGCGCTGCTGGCCTTCATCCCCCTCGTCCGCAGGCACAACCACATCATCGAGGCCCGCATGGTCAACACCATGGCCGAGTCCCTGACTTCGGTCGAGGAGGCCGAGCGCGCCGCCCGCAAGGTCGTCTCCCCACTCCGCCTCCTTAGAAAGCTGCACTGGCTCGCCGGCGCCATCTTCTTGTGCTTCTCCGTCGCAATGTTCTTCCCCGTCTTCACGGGAAAGATCGTCTCGGTGCGGTACCCCGGCGACGAAAAGTCCCCCACGGGCGTCCTCTTCCGCCCTGCGGCCTTTATCCCGCTCGCCTTCTTCGCCTGGAACCTGGGCGACCTGTCCGGCCGCATGGCCACCATCCTCCCCTTCTCCCTGCGCCACCGGCCCGCGGCGCTTTTCGGCGTCAGCCTCGCCCGCATCGGGTTCCTGCCGCTGTACCTGCTGTGCAACATTGGCGGCCGCGGCGCCGTCATCAAAAGCGACTTCTTCTACCTCGTCGTCGTGCAGTTCTTTTTTGGTCTGACCAACGGGTGGCTGGGCTCGAGCTGCATGATGGCCGCGGGCGAGTGGGTCGAGGACGGCGAGCGGGAGGCGACGGGCGGGTTCATGGGCTTGTGCCTCGTTGCTGGGTTGACAACGGGTAGTCTCCTGAGCTTCACGGCCGGCGGCATTTAGGGGTGAGGAAGGGTATCTGCATGTGTATGGCGTAAGGGTCCATTTTTTCCTTTCATTGGCATACGGTATTGGTCTCGAGGCGGCGTTTTAGGATATATGGCATGAGAATGGGATATGAGAATAACCATAAATACAGTCGATAATAGTTGACCATGGACGAATAAATTTCTAGGACATCTCTTGAAGAAAAGACAATGCTAGTTAAGAGAAACGGGTCGAAACTGATCGGGTCAGGAGAGCCCGGGAAGAGGTGTTTTAAAAATTACATTACGCTCTGATTCGCTACGTATACACTACTGTACAACTGCTTCGACGTCAAGTCAGCCCTGGAGGGCGCAGTTCACCATCTTTCCGCGGCCGGTGTACCAGCCCTCGTCGATCAAGGCGCGCTCCTTGTCTTGCCATTCTTTGAACTTCCAAGAAACGTTCTTTTTATCAAGATCGGCAAGTTTGGCTTCAAAGGAATCCGCAACCACAGTCTCGCCCGGGCCGTCTTTCTCGACGCGGTATCGCATGTAGAGAGAGCAGTCTCGCAGCGTCATGGCGATGCTAAAGCCCTCGTCATCCTTGCTCGCGTTCAAAGGTCCGCGGGGATCCTTCTGAGTCTGGTGCTTCTTCAGCAAGGTGAGGATAGACGTCTTCTCCAGCAGGCCGTACAGGGTGGCGGCGTGCTTATTGTCTCCAGAGATGCTGTACTGGAACAAGCTAGCGAGAGCTTTCTGACGCACTTCCTCTTTCCCCTTGGGCGCCACTCGCTGGGGATCCAGCCAGAGGGGACACGGGTAGTAGCGCGGGCCGCTGCCCGCGTCCTTGGAATCGGTGAACTTCTTGGCCGCGAGGGCGCAGCACCGACAGGTATTGGCCGTCTTTGGCGCAGATGGCGACTGGGCCAGCCACTTTGGCTTGAATTCGACGACGCGCTCGTCGCTGCTCCGCGCGCGCATGCTTTCGATCAAGCACGCCGTTGCTTGATTCATGACTTTGTTATCTCGGAACTTGGCTGGTCGCTGTTTCGCTCCTGCCGGTGCTTTGTTCAACGCATCTAGTACATTCTGCATGTGTTTGACAGCATCTTTCGGGAGGAATGCAAACTTCATGTCCGCCAGCATATCCGCACGGTAGGTGAAGAGAGGAGCAATGGTGTTCCAGAAATACTCCCACTGCTCCAGTGGCGGATAGAATGGCTTATCGCCATCCTTGGGTTGCTTGGGCACTCTCAAGAGGTATTCTAAGTGATATCAGCACTACTAGTACAGGACGGGGCATGAATGAGACATCTGAACCCACTTGTCAATAGGTCGTCCTCAGTTCTGTCTTTCTTGTCCTGCCTCGCATGCTTGGCATATAAGAACGGGATGAATAGAACGTTAGCGGCGCCCTCGCCGACATAAATAGCGTGTGTCCAGGGACTAATGTGAACATCATTGCCCGTGACAATCACCCCCATATTGAAGACCTTGCCCGACGCTGGGCTATGCTCAGGAGGGACATCTCGGGAAGATATATCTGCAGTTGGCCTTATATTGGCCTTTGTGGGTGGGATCAAGAGTTTGACCATGATGAGGAAAGCGGAGTGAAGTGCGGGCTGTGGCCGAGGTGGAAGGTCTGACGTAGGCAGTGAGTGTAGACTCTTTTATACGGATGAAAGGCTGAAGATGGCGAGATATTATTGGTGACCGGCTGGAGCGAGGCTGATAAGGCGTCCGGATGGCTTCACAAGGCTCGCGTACTAATTGATGATGTTTTTGTGACAAGAGGAGAGACTCTCATGGCAAGTTGCAAAGAGGTACTGTGGAAGGAATGTGTCTTTTCCCGGCTGAACTAAGATGGCTTACTGCCGCAACGGGTGGCAGCAATTGGTCTAGCGAGGCTTGCGAGGGTAGTTTCCCCGGAGTGGTGGTGTCTCACGCCAACAACCCTCTCGCTCCCGCCTCCGCTCTTGCCTGATCTGGCTCTGTGCCTTTGCAGATACAACACGGTCAGTCAACCTTGGAGAGCACGTGAGACAGACTGGGAGGGCGTTCCAGAGCGGACGGAACCCGAGAGTTGTGAGTACGTCGTCAGCCGACTCGTGGTTGTCTGGTTAGCGTTGCCGAAGTCGAGTATCGAAAGAGCGCGCACCGTTGCCCGCGATCTATAATCCCCCTTGGTAAGAAGACCGATTTTCGATGAGGGAGCGATGGCGACGAGGCTCCATCTGGTGCTTGTTGCTCTGTGCTGCAACGGGCTCTCCCTTTTGTGTTTTTGCGCCTTTGTCGTGTCCTTTGAAAGCCAGCGGTATCCCGGGATGACGACAGACTTTCCACTTCGGGAGTGGAGCAAAAAGTTGGCCAAGTTGGCGCTGGGCAAGTTGTGAGTTCCTACTTTTGTTGACGCTATTGGTAAGAAAGCAACGGCAGCAGACAGGCAACTTCCCTGGGGCGGGAGAGGCTGACGGGGTAGCCAATGATTCCTCCCACCGCAAGTCGCGGCTCGTCTGTCATATTTGGACTTTGCGAGAGCGTTGGACAGGAAGCTACCGCAGGGCCACCAGTGAGTGTTACATAAGTTTTTTACCCCAGAATCTTGTGAGACGTTGAATTGCTCTTCATGTGCTGGTTGCAGATGGAGCCCAGAATTCCAGAGGGTCCAGACGGTTAGCAAGAACTCCTCATCCAATGCCTGGTGCGGCGCGCGCGTCAAACCCACATGCTTGACGTGAGTGCGGCTTGCCCCCATGCAGGGAAGGAAAAAGGAAGAGTGCAGATTGGGTGCGGCATTGGCGACGCGCGATTCTTCGGCCGGACTGAGCCGGAGGAGGACCGAAAATTGGCCTGTGCAGCGCGTGAATGGGCAGGCTCGCGGCTCTCGCCCGCTCGTGTCAGGGCCAACCCCGCCCGGCGGCAGACCTTTAAAAGTTCAAAGAGCCCAGAGCTCATGGCGTCGTATTCTCCCTGGCCGGCGTCGTCCGTTGGCTACTTTCCTCCGAAGAGCGGATCATTACGGAGAAACATTCAAGGGACTGGGGCTGGAGGAGTGATAGTCCGTGGAGAAAGTAGGAGGGGAAGGTGTAAGAGAGAAACAGGCGGTGGAAGGAGAAGCAAAGGAAGCCGAAGCACTGGGCAAGCCGCAAGACCACATCTGTCAGCCAAGATTAGTTCACGGCGGGGACGGGGCCGCAGACCGGCAAAACGGACAGGATGATGGACCCGAGAGCGATTCGAGCGTCTTGATGTTATGATCTTCTGCCCCCAGTCAACCCTACCCAGCCCAGTCCGGCCCGGCAACAACGCTTCCATACGAATAATCCATCTGTAAAGTGTAAACCGAGGTGCATCATAATAATGGATGCTGATATGACGGGTTACCTATTTGCATGGCTGCAGATGGATTCAACAAGACCATGTCATCTTGTTTGCCGAATCCAGCTTCTGTACACGCGCATCCTCCCAAATGGGACGGGCAGTGGAAGAAGCAACGCCCTGATCTTTGTTGCAATTATTGGCCTGTCTGACTGCCAGGGTACGCTTTCCGCAATAGAGTGCCCTGATGTCGGGCCACATCCACCACATGTCTTTCGATGTCGTCCCATCTTTGCTGACAACCCATCGCTCGTGATCGGCCCCGGGCTGCAACGGACCAAAAATCAGAGACCAAAACGACGCAATGCCACCGTAGAAGCGGGTTTTTACCCCGACCAGAACAGGCCCAAAGGGCTGAAATGACGGCCGGCCCAGATCTCGCTGAAGAGTCTTTGCGACACTCGATCCGGTTCCCCAGACGGTTCGCGCTTGTGGAAACGAGGATACAACTCTAAATCGGCCACTGTCTTTTCGTTCCGGTGGCTTGGTGCGGGATTCGGCTGGCGCATCTCTCGAGTCTCGTGCTGGTCATTCGTGATACCTCGGGGCTTCAGATGGCAGTGTGTACTTTGCCTTGAACGGCTTATGGAGGTTCTCGGGTGACTCGCATTAACCGCTAATCTGCGACCGTCCGGCTCACTTGCAACTTCCACAAGCAAAATGCAAATGAGCCAACCAGTCCAGCGGCACTAGGTGCGCAGTGTGTCCACGAAAAAGCAGGGCGAGGGTGCAGTGAACTCTCGAATCTGGAGAGAGTGTACCCACCGCCTTCCGGTCCCTCCCTTTTTTATTTTAAAAACTTAAGCCGTGGCTTTGGGGGGGCGCCCGTCACACTGCTGGCCGTTGCAGTGGGAGCCCCACGCCATTCAGAGGAAGTCAGTGCCCACCCGACAGCTCAGCGCCCCCCCTTCTCAAGCTGGCACACGCTCCATCCTCCTGGTGGCCCCACCCAGTTGCCCTTTCCCGCACCACACGCGACACTCGCAGGAGCTGGCCCCAGCAAGGAGTCGCATCTGTTGCAGCACCTGGTCACCGCCCAGTTAGAAAACAGCCAAACAGAACGAGAAGAAAGAGAACAGGAAAAAAAAAAAAAAGGCTGTCACAAATTTTGCAGGTGGAAGAAAAATTTCGCGCTAAGGCTGCACCGCACGCACCACTTAGCTCCGAGTATTCCCTCTGCTTCCCGAGCAGCGAAAGAAGGAGAAGGAGATACAGAGTAGCACCCGACCAGCGTCATTCGCCGGAGAACGCACACCTCGCGCACCCGCATTACGGTCTACCGCTACACAGACAGCACCACCAGCTTCCAGGTTAATTTACATCCCGACACCTCCCTCCTTCTTTATCCCTCCGTTCCCGCCCCAAACCATCCAACATTTCTTCCCTGGACTTCATCATATAGTTGCACCTGCTCCTCAACGAGTTCATTCTACTACTGCCTTCGAACCCGCCATCGACGCAGACCTTTCGTCATCGAACCCGAAGCACATCACTAGACATCACCAACTCATCGGCCTCTCCCTATCGACTCCCGGCCGAACGGCCTGCATCGCTTTGCCCTTCGATGGTTGGCCGCAGTTAAAGCCATTTCAACATGGCCTTCAACTTCAACTGGTCGCCGCTCACGGCCGACGCCGATTTCTACCAGCGCGCCAGAGAAATGCTCACCACCGCCCTGAATAAATCCCCGAAGCCTCCGATTATCGTCGATGACATCCTCGTTACCGAGTTCAACTTGGGCTCCGTGCCCCCGGAATTGGAAATACTAGAGATCGGCGATATTGCAGAGGATAGATTTCGTGGCATATTCAAGATGTGCTACTCGGGCGACGCCTTCTTGACTCTGAAAACGAGGGTTCAGGTATGCCGGTTTTTTTTTTGGTTCCCTCTTCGTCACCTCGCCATCCCGCAGGCGCCTCCCTGCACCCAAACTCCGGAGGCGAAGCTCGGGTTCGCAGCCGCCTGCATTGAGCTCACCACCGCCCGCACCACGACATCACACATACTCACAAGCTCGGAATCATTCCTGTTCCGACGACAATCACAGTGCCCCCGACATTTCTGCGGCGCGATCACGGTTCCATACCATTGTTTGGAATGCCCTGTGGCCTCCGTCAGAGAGCCGAGACAGCACCAAGTGATGCTCCCCTCCGAAAACATCATCATTCCACCAACCACAACCATTTCCACCCTTTCAGATGCTTTGCACTACCGTTAGCTCAATCATCCCGGTGTTTGTTTTTCCCTCACCAAACATTTCTTCACTACCTGCGTGCTTGCATTGATGTCGAAATTACCTGGCCGGGATCCGCGTCCCAGGCTACTACTATCTTTGGCTCCGGCGAAACGAAATGGACGTGCGTCATAGCAATGCTAATATATCAACAAATAGGCAAATCCAATGAACACTTACCTGTCCGCCAAGCCGGGGTTCACATCGCCACAGCCCCTGGCCGCCGCATCGGGTCTCACTATTCCGTTGTCAATAACGCTCTCCGAGATCAAGCTTTCGGCCTTCATTATCTTGGTCTTTTCAAGGCAAAAGGGATTGACCCTGGTCTTCCGCAATGACCCGCTCGAGTCGCTCAAAGTCTCCTCGACCTTTGATTCGATCCAGTTTGTGCGCGATTATTTACAGCGCACCATCGAGGCCAAACTAAGGAATTTGATGATGGATGAGCTTCCCGCCATAATCCACAGGCTGTCACTACGCTTGTGGTGCCCCGATGCGCTGCCAAAGGAAGAGGAGGCACCCAGGGAGGACGCTGAGGAAGCCGAGGTTGACCCACTGGCGAGCCCTCCTCTGGATCCCGTCGATGCGAATGGTAACCTTCTCGACGCCAATGAGGTTTCCTCACTATCTCTCGAGGGTGGCCCGGAGGTCCAGTCGCTCTTCTCGCAGAAGAACCTCTTGAGGCTAGCTGCGCTGAATGATTCCCATCGCACCTTTTCTCTCTTCACGCCGGGCATTCGCGATGTTGTGTTCCGTGCCTGGACTGGACCTGCAGTGTCCGAACCAACCAGCACGCCACCGACAGCAACGCCTAGCTTGTCCAAGACCAACTCCTTCCATGGAACCTCTACCACGTACACTTTCTCTGATACTGGTAGCGCCGCTCACGGCCATCTCCCGTCCAGACCTTCAATGGTGAGCCTCAACTCGGCCACCACTGGTCTATCCCTGGGCGCCGGTATCAGGTCAAAGTCGTACGCTGGTCGCAAGAAGAAGACAAGAGTTGTCAATCTCCGGCGTGCAAAGAGCCAGGCCGGCGAAACTCCCGAGGGCAGTGAGACTTTCTCAGAAATTGCGTCCGACTCTGCTTCCGTGGCTGGTCCCTCAACTGAGCCTCTCATGACCAGCTCCATTGCCGAAGACCTCGAGGACGAGGAAGCCCTGGCAAATCTGGCAGAATCGACCCCTAGCAAGGTTCGTTTCAGCCCTCTGGACAGGACACGGCTGCCCACTCGACCTCCGTTGCAGCCGGACTTCTATACAGCGCCCGAGGATGGCCCTAGTGTGCCTATCAAGCTCGACGGCACTTGCGAATCTGAAGCCGAAAATACACCCCGAGCTCAAACGGAGAAGGCCACCGCGGAGAAGCCGCGCCAAGGTGTGCCGTCTGAGCCGTCATCTATATATGAGCAGGCTTGGATCATGAAGATGGCTGGCGAAATCGCTCGTCGCGTCTATGACGAGAAGAGCCGCCATCCAAACCTCTGGGACGAGCGGGAAGATATCCCGCCACCAGCCTACGAGGCATCAACCTAAATCACCTGCTCATCACAGGTGATTTGTACATAATGTGCAAACCTCACCATACATCCACTTTGCTGGACTGCATCTCCTTTCCGTCTGCTCCATCACTTCCTCCTCGCATGGCGTTAGGGGGAATCTTCATTTTTTTTTCTGGGTTGTGGATGAGAATGGCACAGCTGTTCCTCCTCCATTTTTGCACTTAGTGTTAATGTGTACATACCACATGGCGTTCGACAGGGAAACAAGGGGGGGTACTGGGCATCATACAAAAAAGAATGGAATTGAATCGGAGAAACGGCCTCTCTGATTATTTTGGATTCTCGGGTTGGGATGAAGAAAGAGGCCACCAACCATGCTAGTTTACGCGATGACGCAATGACCAAACAGTTTTCCTTTTGAGAGAAAAGGGCGGCTGTTTTACGCGGAATCAAAAGTCATCGGCATACTACACCCAAACGGCCTGCCTACGACGGGCGGGCAACTTTTACACACATACACACATAACAAACTTGTTTCCTTTGTCATTCTGAATTATTGCGAATCATCCCCACCGAACAACCTCCTCGATGGACCGGATGGGTAGAGCTGGTGTGTACAACACAAGGGAAAGAAGTCTTGCGTTACAGGATTCCTTTTTTGGAAGAGGAGGAAGGCGGTGATGGAAGAAGGAAATATCGTGGATATCATTTTTGTCACTTGCGACTTTTTCGGCCTGGCTCATAGACGAGTTTCATGGCGCTAAGTGCATGTCGATTAGGCATGTCTGAAGAATCAAAAACTCCCATCTACCATGCACACTTGTTCCATCGCTTGCCATCGTGCCACTATCGCTACGAAACTTCATAGTCGAGGTAAGGGACCTCTCCGGTTGCGCTGCTACCCATGTGACATGTATAAGCAGTGCTAGCCAGAGTCTCAGCCTAGATAGCCCTGTCCATCGGTCGGAGCATCGTTCTTTGCCTTCTTCCTCTCAGACACCTCTGCTGTCGGCGATGCTCGCCGCTTCGTGAGCGTGGAATCGGGTGGTGCGGGAGGGCTCAGTATCGCGGACGCGCTCGAAGTGTCATCTGACATTTGCACATCTGGCCCGTCTCTACTCGTTTGCGAATGCCGTGATATCGTTTCTTCTGTGGCGTCGGGCTTTCCCAATGAGGCGAAGTCGTGAACTTGAGTACCGCAATGATACATCTCTTCGAGGCTGCTGTTTGGTGTCAAACGACATTGGGAGCGTGCCGACAAGGGGTAGTGTGAGTGGAAGAGACAGTATGTTCGTCCTAGTCCGGTGTGCACTGCATCATCGCCAGAGCCGCGATCGACCTCAGCGTGAGGCCTTGTCAAAGCTGTGACGCCATCGTGCTGCGTAGGCGTCGAGCCATTCCGAATGTCGTCTCCATCGAGGCGGTAGTCGTCATCATCCATGGCGACATCCATGTCCTTATTGCCACTGGGGTTTGGTGTTCCAAGGCGCGCACTACTTTGACGGCGATCGGGTGAGCTGCCACAGTCCATCTGATCGTCTTCGGCATCTTCGCCGCCGCCTCGCAGCCTGGGCCAACACAGTGCGTGGCAGAGCTCAAAGGGAGGCCAAGATCGCGACCGGATTACAATCATTAACAGCAAGAATCCCATACGCAGTATCAGCCTCGTGTCTTCGCACGGTTCGCCAAGTTTGCGCTCCTAGGCCCTTTTGCAAATGGCTTCCAGCTCTGCCTTGACGCGTCGCAGCTTTTCCTCGTCCCTGGACAAAGCAAGCAGCTGGGTCGCCACGGTCACCTTACGTGCAGGTCTTCTAGCTGCTATACTCGGCGGTTTCTAACCAGCCGTAGCAGCAACAGCAGCGTTCTCTGCCTTGAGCGCGGCCAGCTGCGCCTCCTTCTCCTTGAGGATCTCCAGCTGTTGCTTGGCCATTCCCTTGGCTGTGGTTTCGGCCTCCTTGAGCTTCTTCACCTCGATTTGCTCCGTCTCGAGACTGAACGGCTGACCAGGCTTGTTGACTGCAGGCAGAAGTGCGCTGCGCTCCCACGCCACCTGGACGTTTGAGGTCTTCTCCGGCAAGGCCGGGATCGGTTTGTTCTTGCCTTTGCCTCCCTTTCCCATGGGGTGGCCCTTGGGATGCGTGCCAGAGGTGAGGACCTCGTAGAATGCTTCGTAAGGTTCGTTGAACAACTGTTCATCATAGGCCCAAGCGCGGATCTCTCCATCGTTCTGACGCAGCATCTGCTCCTTCTCCGCGTCGGTTCGTCCGTACGGGTGAAGACGAAGGTTGTGGTACAGCGTCTGAGGTTTCTCTCCTGACTCGGTCGCGTAGTATATTTTGATGGTGATTTCGAATTCTCCCCATCCGGTCTCTTGAATGAGGAACGGCTTGCCCGGCTCGCCGTCGATCACTGTTGCATGATTAGCCGGCGCACGATTGCGACAGGCCACAGTTCATGGACGACTTACTACGCACGTGGTTCGGGATGGACTCGTGTAGCTTGAACTGAACCCTCCGAATCCAGTATGTGATATCGATATCGTCTATGGCCTTGACAAAGACCTCCCATGAGTGGGTGTGGTCTGCCGGAACACCTTCCGGCTTGGGATTGGTTTCGGGGTCGAAAGGGCGGGCAGTCGTGCCGTAGATGAAGGGTCGCTTGATCTGTGTGCCCTTGACGCGCTTGCCGAGGCTGCTGGGCGGCGCCATGATGATGAATTAAAGATAGTCTATTGGCGCGATGCGATGCGTTCTGGTCAATGCCGAATAAGAGTGCGTGAGTAAGGTTGTGAGGGGTGTAGCGGGGAGGAAATGGTTCTAGAAAATGGTTCTCAAGCTAAGACGGCAAGAATAATGGTTCCTGGCATCGGCAGCATTACAACAAAGTTTAAAGTGGGCCATTGACTGAGCCAGTCAATAATGTCCAACTCTCGGGTCAACCCCTGCCGAAAAGAACTGAGTTAGGTATGCTCCTCCCAGAGCAGCACCAACACCTGGTAGTTGAGTGCCTGCAAGGTTCCAAGGTTAGGTTGTCCTTCCAGGTTACCAAAATATGTCCACTGCAGGAACCAGCGGGTTACCAGCCTTTTCAGTGTAGGGCGCCAAACTCGACCGACGAGGGAGAAGAAGCGAGACTTATATACGGCATCGCAGAGCCTGCCGCCCAACTCTTACGAATGCTTCTAGTGAATTATAACAAGTGTGAAATGAAAGAAAAAGAAAAGAAAAGAGGGCCGCAGGTAGAACTCGAGCTCAAAACCTTCAAAAATAGAAGCCAGCCGGGGTCGATCTCCTGACGTGAAGGGTTAAGAATAGGCGGTCCTAACTCGTGCGCCAGAAGAGTCCCCGTCCGATGGTGCTACAGGTGAAGAAAATTTTGCCAATCAAGTCTTGCAGCGTCGCAACTGGCTTATGGTGTCTGTCTCTCCACTGCTTTTGACAAAGGCATCAGCCGGTTGCTTAGGCCCCTTTCGGGAGCAAAAGCTATTCATCCTAACCAGTATTGATGGACCTTCTGATGGTTAATCAGGAGCCCTCATGATGAATGACTAGAAGAACGAGGAACCAGTGTAGCCTAAATTTCGAGAGCATCAAACCTTATCAGTATAAGCAGTCATCTCGGGAACCTCTACCAGGTTGAATAGTAAGAGAGGACCTTCAGCACACACGAAATAGTGGAGGCTGCAGCCACCACCTCGCAGGTTGACCCTCCCTCCCGCCGCGCCAATGGGGGAGCTTGGAGGAGTAGCTGCCCCTCCAACCCAAGTACCTAGGCAGCTGCAACTCTTTACAGAGAGAGGACCCCTGGCAAGTTTTACTGGGGAGCTGGGGAGCTTCCGGGCGGGTGATGATTTCATGACTTTTTGAGCTTTCCATTCGCGTCCGGAACGGCATCGAACCACCTTCGGAAGAAAACTGGCAATGAACTAGCGCCGAACCCGGTCGGCATTTCAATTGACTCCATCACCGTCGATCCGGCTCACTCCTCCTTCGCCTCACTGCACTTGTCACCCCCAACCGGTGCTGGTTCTCATCCAATTGGTTGCTCGGTTCACTTCTATCTCACACATTGTCCCGTCCATCTCACTTTCTCTCATCATGTCAACTTCAGCCGTAGCGAAAAAGCTGGTGGTATGCGGAGGAAACGGCTTCCTCGGGTCTAGGATCTGCAAGTACGCCGTCGCCAGAGGCTGGGATGTCACTTCCATCAGGTATGCATTCTCCTCGTGAACACTTTGATACACGGCGCGGCGACGGCTCTCATCGGTCAGCCTCTAACACGCCCCCCGACAGCCGCTCAGGCGAGCCCAAATGGTCCGCCGTGACCTCATCACCGTCCCCTCCCCAGTGGTCGCACAAAGTCTCCTGGGAGCGCGCCGACATGCTCAGTCCGGTGACCTACGCCCCTCTCCTCAAGGGTGCCGACTTCGTCGTCCACAGCATGGGTATCCTCCTCGAGGCCGACTACAAGGGCGTCGTATCCGGCCAGGAGTCCCCCATCTCGGGCCTGCAAAAGGCCTTCGCCCCCGTCAAAGACCGAGGCGTTGATCCCCTCAAGACCTCCGCCGAGGAAGGCGGGGATCTCAAGCCGCCCAACCCAAAGGACCAATTCTCGTACGAGATCATGAACCGTGACAGCGCCATCGCCCTGGCCAAGCAGGCCAGCGCCGAGGAGGCAAAGGCCTTTGTCTACGTCTCCGCCGCCGGCGGGGCACCCGTCCTCCCCGCGCGGTACATCACCACCAAGCGCGAGGCCGAGAGCACCATCGCCAGCGAGTTCCCGCGGATGCGGGGCATTTTCCCGCGGCCGCCCTTCATGTACGACAGCTCGAGAAAGTTCACACTGCCCCTGGCTGCCATGACCGGCGCGGGTGCCCTGTTCAACAGGCTGACCGGTGGGGTATTGGGCGGGTTCATGGGCGCGAGCGGCGTGAAGCCTCTACCAGTCGAGACCGTCGCGGAAGCAGTAGTGGAAGCACTTGATGATGTCAAGGTTCAGGGCCCGATTGAGGTCCCCGAGCTGGAGGAGTTGGCAACCAAAGGCTGGAGAAAAACCATGCTCTGATGCATGAGAAGTGTATTTGTAATGTGCCATAGACTGTACCATCCCCCCCAATGCAAAGCCTCTTGTGGATTGAAGATCCGTCCTCCAATCCGATCATCTTGTGTTATCCCAAACGCCCGCGCTTAAATCATGGTTCCCCGCTCGAAACTGTCCCTAATCTCTGCAGTGTATTTGTTGTAGAAGCGCGCCAGCTTCTGGTTGAACTGCTTGTTCTTCTCGTTGATATATGTCACGTCGCCATCGTCGCCGTTCTGTGCCATGCGGTCCTTTCTCTTCTTGAGTCTGTTCGCCTCCGCCCTCCTGAGGTCCTCGACAAGTCGATCCACGGCGGCCTTGTCCGGCTTGTTCTGTGCAAATGTGGTTGAGTCGGCTGTCGAGTAAAAGGAACCGTCCTTGTCCACCGCGATAAGCTCTCCGTCCTCGGTCTCGACAATGTCGAGGCCACCCGAAGCAGCGGCGCGCTCGATGGCAGCCATTTTGTCTTTTTCGTACTTCTCCATGTCGGGGGCGATATTCCTCAACTGGCGCTTGTAAACCTTGTTGCTTTCGGCAGTGTAGTCTTGGAAAGCATTGTTGTCGCGGTGCGCCTCCTTCTTCCGCACGTGCTTGTCCCACTTCTCGCTCTCGTCGATCGTCCAGTCCCATGCGCGCTTCCGCTCAAAGTCACCACCTGCATCCTCGATGTCGGCCTTGAGTAGCTTCTGAGACGCGATGGCCTGTTTGCGGTGAATGGCCGTCAGCTGGCTGGGGTCTGTCGCGAGACGTTGTGATTCGAGCGTCGCCTCTTTCAGATTTTGGTCGGATGAGTTCTTGGCGCGGGCTTTGAGGGCCTTGAAGCGCGCCATGCGGTCCTGTGATTTTGTCGCAGCGTCTTCTGTTGCGGGCTGCGATGTTGCTGTCGGCTCTGCTGTCACGGGTGCGGTTTTCGCGGTCGTGCCGGGTTCTGTCGCTTCGGTCTCTTCAGGCGCGGCAGAGTTTGCTGGCGCTACAGTGTTGGTTTCCTCCTCGGCGGCGGTACCGGTATTGGTCTTTCTCTTCTTTGAGGGAGGCATTTCAAATATGTTTCGTGACGTTGAAGGGTTGCTGATCGCAAGATAGACGAGTGTGGGTTAGTTGGGATTCGCGATGTGTGGTTTTGGTGGCTGTAGGTATGGGATGTAAAGTGACGAGAAAGTAGGACATCATTGGGGGACGGCAGGTCCAAGAGCGACTCGACCGACATTTCTCCGAAAAGACGGCCAGCCAGCGCCACAGCCCGTGACCGGAGACCCCACTGTCTTCTCGCTCGTTGGACGCCACAATTTTTTGACCATCTTCCTCCAGAACGAATATCGCAAACAGAAGCTGAACTCGAGACAGCGATGTAAATTTGCTGACTAATTAAGTACGAAAATTTGTTTTCAATAACATATAGTAATGATTTCTTAGTCTTGGCCGAATTGCCTAACAGATGCGAACTTCTATCCCGTCTTCTCCCTCAACACTGGTGGTGTGGCTGGTACCAGAGACAGCTGTGGCTGGAGGTCGGAAGAATAGATCGACCCACCACCGCTCCCCCGCAGGATCCATACGGGTAACGGACTCCTGCAAGAAACACCCGTGGCTGTGCGGCCGGGCCATCCCTGTCGTTGCCCCAACACCCCTGCGCCGAGAGTGCCCTTGCATCTTGCTACCTCGACACGGCCCCCTCTCCATATGCGGCTCCCCAGGATCAGACGACTTTTCTGAGCAACGTCGCGTGCCCGTGAATAGCCTCTGAAAAGCGAACGAAGCTTATCGGAAACTGAATTGCCGCACACCTCAGCCATGCGGCCACTGAGAGCCGCAGGCGCCTCTAGCAGAACCGCGACAACTGCGACAGCTGCCTGCTTTCACACTACAACATCATTGCTGGCTCGCCAGCGGCCGCGGGTCCACGAAAAGAAGAGGCCAGCAGATCCGCAAGTACCGTACTCATGGCAGCCTTTTGAAGTGCCAGATGTGGTCCTCGACCTGGACAGTTGGGACAACCCAATCGCACGGCCGTACAACGCGGATGAAATGTCCGCTCAGCGGAAGAAATGGGAGCAGAACCCCCAGATCGACGCCACGTGGAAACGAATCAAGAATTTCGAAAAAGAACGCCAACATGCTAGCGAAAGGTTCGCCAAGGTCAGCGCCGGCGATCCCTGGCATCAACACTGGCAGGTCACGGATCTCGACATCATGACGGCTGCTCTGAGAGGCCCTCCGAGAGTTCACGAACGCCAAACAGAGGAATGGCCGCATCAGAATGAAGCTCTCGGTGTTCTGAGGTCGGTTGCTTGGAAGAATGGAATTCCGTCAACCACCTTTCAAGACGACAAGAACTTTTTAAGCTGGCTGCTCCAAAGAAGGTCCACCATGACGTCTTCGCCACTGAGGCGACAACGGGACATTCGCTCCTTCATTCGACGACTGCAGGATCTCAAGAATCTCAAGCGCTACCTCCAGTTCCTACTGCAACATGGCGACAAGGGACTCCAGCTCATTCATCAAGCCGACAAAGACATCACTCTCGTATTATCTCAGCTTCTCTCCGACCCGAAGGGAAACCTTCAGTCTCTCGCCGACTTCTTGCCTTTTCTTAACAGCATCTTTGCCCTCCAGGAACATCAGGGTTTGCCTGTTGGCCAGGGTCTCTGCGGTATCTGTCTGATCGTATCTGCCCAGGCATTCCAGCTACCTGCAGTCGCGAGATATCTTAAGCTAGGGCTGAAAGAGGGCCACTGGGTTGGAGAGGGTTCCTCTGCTTCCGATGTGAAGACTGCTGTAGAAGCACTGAATCGGTGCTGGAGCAAGGCAAATCACTCCTCTGTTCTGGACAGTTCCGAAGCGATTCTCCGCCGTCTGCTCGGAACGGATTTGGTGAAACATAGCACAGCTTCTTTCCGTTTCGTTGCGCAGCATCATCTCGAGGACGAAGGACTGCAGCAGCAGTTCTCACAGCTGCTAAGTCGCGCGGGTCTCGCCTCTTCGGTAGCCGACTCATGAGGGTATTAGAGGATCACTCTCATCCCGATCGGAGCCCAGCGCCTGGGCTCTCATGTGGGAGGCAAATATAAAAGGTCTGGGTGTATATTTTGGGAAGATACCCGACTGAGAGGAATCAGGCCAAGATCAAGTGTTGGAAATCGATAATGATATACCAAAATCCCCGTCAGGGTAATTCCACCGTCAAATACCGAATACCCACTGCTGTTATGCATTCACTCAACGGGAACTAAGAAGCGGATTCTTTACGTCTCCTTTGCTCGATATGTTCCTCGATATACGTGGCACTGCTCCTCTTCTAGCTAACCTGCGAATCTGGTTGGCACTTTTTACAACGCCCTTCCCCATTCAGCCCTGCCATGCCTGCAGCCGAAAGCGGGCTCAAATGCCATGTGGCTTGCCAAAGGTTCCAACCAAGAGGAGACTAGCCTTGGGTAAGCTGAACCAGGTCCCGCTAAGCCTGCCATCCCAATGGGTCTCTAGGCCAAGTCACGACAAGCCAAGCTCAAGCGCCTCCCTTTTCCGTCCAACTCCACATCACATTCTCCGCCGTTTTCGTGTCGAGAAAGGGTGCTGATACTCTCCACTATCTCCAATGCGCTATAGCTTCTCCCTGCTTCTACATCACTTTACAGAGGATGACGAATCTGATATTCTTGCAAACATAGCGTTCTGGACGCCGCCTCGCTTACCATGACAACGCCTACGAGCCGTTTCCATTGAACCAAGTTCCAAGGTCGCTAGAAATGTCTCTGTAGGATGGCTCGCTCTAGGAGATGTCTCCGAGACTCGTATTTAGCTAATCGTGACCTGGCGTGGCGCTTCGGACCTCGGACTAGAGGCCCAGCTTTCTCACCCGTCCGGCTCTGGTCTGGAACGGAGCCCCCGCCAGCTCGTCTGGATCCGGCCTGGTCCGGACGCTGCCACTGGTACTGTTCAACAAGCGACATGTTGACAAGCCCGAACTCTGTTTCTCTATCTTTGCCATTCTTGGAGCCCCCCGTTCGTCTCTTTGTTTGAGCTTTCCTTCTCCTTCGTTCCCCAGTAAACCAGCTTTGGCATTGACAATCAATATTCTGTCAAGATTTACTTGCTGTCGCTTTCCTCTTTCCTCTTCCTCCATCCGCCCTTTTAGAATTTCCGTAATTATATTCGGCCCAAAGTAGCCGACTAGACGATCATTGCCCTCCAGTATACTAACAGCCCACTCTATCTCCCCGAGACATACATTATAGTGGGAGGTCTCGATCAACATCCTCTCAACCTGTCGTCTTGCTTCGGTCTCCCCTGCTCGGTCGAACACGCCATGCGCACGACCCGTTCCAACCGACGGTCGAGTATTACCAGAAACCTGGTACACGGACAGACTAAGATCAACATACCGCTGGCGGGAGGATCACGCGGATCACGCAACACAATGGCATTCTCCAGTCCTTTGCTGGCACTTCTCGCCTTTTCCTTGCTCCCGGTGTCAACTCTGGCGCAGCAAAATCCCGTAACCGACTTTTGCCGGCGTTTTGGGCACCAGACTGCCGTTGTCGATAACAAGCTCTTCATCGATGGCGGTCTCATAAATTGGAACCCTCTCTCAACATTTCCCTCCAACTACTCAAGTATGTCATTGCGTGAATCATGGCCGTACCACGATATCCGGTTCTCACTGACAATCCGCTCAGATACATGGCTGCTCTATCAAGATCTATCTTCGTCTACGGCTTCGGGCATGCCCCCGCTCTACGCCAACCTCTCCAAGAATGGATCTATTCCTAACGTAGCCGGCGGTGCCCTTTGGTCTGACAATGTCAACAAACGCCTCTATCTGTTTGGCGGGGAGCGCAATGCGGGAGAGTCCCCCATGCCCTTTAATCTATATGGCTATGATATCCTAAATAACCAATGGGATTCTTTCGGGCCATCCCGCATGGGGGCTTTGATTTCCAAGGTGAGCTACGGTGCGGGAGTGTCTGTCGACACCCGCGGCGAGGCTTATTACTATGGCGGATGGCTGAGTAACGCCTCCGTCTCTGGATGGGGTACCAGTCCACGGGTAGCGACGACTGGCTTGGTGAGATATACCATGGACACCAACAGCTTTTCCAACAGCACTGGGTAAGAAGCGAGACTCTGGCCAACTGAATCTATATGGGAAGCTGACGGCTGTGTAGTCCTGACAATGTACGACGCGCCGAGGGCAGTCTGCATTATATCCCCGCCGGAGACGGCGGAATGCTCATCTACTTTGGGGGTATCCAGGATTTGTCTGCCAACGGCAGTGCCGCGATTGGCCAACCCATGGACCAAATATTCATATACGATGTGCTCAGCAGCAAGTGGTACACGCAGAAAGCTTCAGGCGATATTCCTGGAATGCGGCGACGATTCTGTGCGGGCGTGACTTGGGCGGGAGACCAGTCATCCTACAACATGTAAGCACAGTCTGTCCGCCGTCACCTCCTATGCCGTATCTAACACATAGCCCAGTTACATGTACGGCGGCGCCAATATCCCAGGAGTACTTGGCGCAGGATTCGACGACCTCTACATCCTCTCGATCCCGACCTTTACCTGGATCAAGATGTACCCCATCGGCCGCAACGGGACAGGAGACTACCCCCACCACTCCCTGTCCTGCAACATCGTCCCCGGCCGGGCGCAGATGATCATCTCTGGAGGCACTTTCCCGCTCTCCCAAGACTGCGATTCACCCGGGCAATGGGGAACCCACAACGTGGACCTCGGAAAGCAGAATGCTGGCAAAGTCGTCTGGGATTTATATAAGCCCAACAAGACAACGTACGCTGTACCGGACGAGGTCATTGCTGTTGTAGGCGGCAACGGCAATGGTGGCGCCACAAAGACTGCGCCGGCGGCCGGTTTCGATTACACCGACGTCAGCCTCCTCATCACACTCACGGCCAGTATCCCGAGCCGTACGCCAACAAGAGATGTTGGCAGCTCCGGCGGCTCCACTCCCACAAGAAACCTTTCTACGGGTGCCATTATCGGCATCGCGGTAGGGGCTGCAGTATTGATCGGCGCACTCGCCATGGGATGCTTCTTCTTGGTCCGTAAGCGCCGGTTAGAGCGATTCCACACCGGGGCATCACCGCCGGGACCAAGCCATGTATACCACGTCCAGAGCATGTCGGAAGCGTGGTCGCCACCCGCAGCATCGCCATACTCGCCGCCATATGGCCCGTCTCCCTTCACGCCTCCTCCCCATTCCGCATATCCGCAGTCACCGCATCCAATGTCCGCGCGCACGGTACCGCCGCACATGGGGCCGCCGGTAGAACTGCCCTCAGAGCCGTCCTACACGACGACGACGCCGACGCCGGCGGCCCTGGCGAGGACGACGACCTTGACCAACATCTCGTCGACGGCGTCGTACCCGCCGCAGCAGGCGTACTTCCCCGAGACAACAACGCTGCTGAACCAGCCGCAGTACGACGCCCACGGGAACATGTGGATGCCGCAGGTCAGCATGGTGCAGGTCGCCACCGGGGTGAGCCCGCCGCTGCCCGAGTATACGCCGGCGAGGGGCGACCAAAAGACACCGCAGCCGACGGCGGCCGAGGTGCGACACGAACCACCGCCGCAGGAGCCGCAGGAGCTCAGTGCGGACCCAGATGACCGGGCGGAGATGAGTTCGAGGCAGGAGCACCAGACATACTACAACAGATAGGGTTGTTTCGCAGGCGCGTGGTGTGTTCTTTGGTTAGTTAGCCTAAAACTTGACATATCGGCGACGATACTGGGCAGGGTGGGAAGAGCATGGTTGCTTACAGACTCAAAGAGTCCTCAGTGTTTGCCTTCTTGGTTTGATCAGTTTTGTCCTTTGCTTACCACGATTCCCACTTGAAGTTTGGATACGGAGTTGAGATCACGGTCGGGCTATTTGCACACCGAGCAGCGGAAAGCTTGAGACACCAAGGTCCCAGAACCATCAAGGTTCAGAATGACGAATGTAAGAACGTTGTAAAGTTGGATAGTGTCAGTCCCTTCATCCGTTATTGTGACTGGTACCCTGGATATTGGTAACACTGCATACAACGTCAGCGGCCGCAACGTTCGACGCGTTGTGACCTCTAGCCTTTAGTTTAGATGATCAAAATCACATCAACAGTAGCCAAGGTCGCGTGACTTGTCCGCATGCGGTCTCCTCTGGCCCCCAACACCTACCCATGCATGCCGGTAGCCGCGGGGCTGAACAGTGGCTATTATCCGCGATCATGTCCCCGAGCCCAAGAAGAGTCCAGGCGATATGATGAGCCTGTAGACTGTTGCCCGCCAGTTCTCTCTCTCTCTCTCTCTCTAACTACCTGTGATATTCGCAATCTCTCTTTACTGACACAGTATGCCACATATCCAAGGGACGGTTGCTCGTCACGGCCGATGAAGAAACCTGGTGGTGATTATGAACGTACCGTGAAAGTCTATTCCACGGGGAACCCACCGGCCCCATGGTTCCGTCACTGCAAGCATGCATGGAGCAATACAGATAGCGCCGAGTCGAAAATCCACAACTACGACCATACCCGTGCCTTCGAGGAGATTGTAGCGGTCAACAGGGAAGGGTCCCACAATGCTGTGTAACCACCGTGAGAGGGGAGGCCAGCGGGCGGCCATGTGCTTCGGCGCCGAGAAACGATTTCCGTTGTTACCAACCAGTTCATACTTCTCGTAGACTTTTATCTCACAGGCACACAACGGTCTCTTGACCCTTGCTCTGCGAACCTGGATGGAGGAGCACCCGATATCGCTCTCGCTCGTTGAAGCAGATCGCGAGTGCGATATCGGAAAGCTCGCTATATTTGTGTCTTAGTCGTCCTGCCCGGGGTTGGGATCTTATCCACCAGTTCGGTGAAGTCTGTGCTCTTGAATTTGGTTTATTATTGGTTCGGAACTGTTGGTCGGGACAGTTGGAGCTTGGGATATGAGAGTGAAGGAGATTTGTTCAACAGGGGTGATGGGGATGGATCCTGGGACCCTGCTCCCGGGTTCCGGCCGGACGGGCGGGGTCATCTCACAGGCTCACAGATGAACTTGAATACCTACTTTGTATCCGTGCAAGGACAAAAGGCTCAACTGACTACAGTCGAGCTGGATCTTCCGACCTTGGGCCGCACCCATATATCCATGTTGTTTTCAACCATCACTTTTGGAAAATCCTAAGAGTAGATCCGTGATAGTGACGGGTTATAGAGCAAACTTGGGGCTGGCTGACATTTAGAATTAAGCCGTCCCAGGTAGTCAAAAGATGTGGCGCCGTCAGTGTCGTCACCTATCGGCCGGGAACAAGATAAAGCCTCTTCCTTAGTATGTATTCTACCCTTTAGGAGACGACTCCAAGTGAAGGAAACTTGAGAAGGCATGTCGTCATAACGTTCCGATGGAGCGTTTACTGTACAACTTGACTAGCGCAGATCAGAATCAAAACAAACGAATGGCATATTCCATGAAAGGTAAACCAATGAAGAAAAAAAAAAACACTCCTTCACGCTATCCGAGTCTAGATCTCTCTTCCGAATCCTCCCACCGGCAGCTGCCGCAGCTCTCATTCTTCCGACATGGACACATATTTTCAGTCACAATCCGGAGGAAAATTAGTTGACAGTCCCGCGAGCTACTGTAGTCAAAAGCCCCCCGCCCCTCTATATGATGTAATACCGAGCGAGGAGGAGGACCTGGAAGGGACCTGGGCCAAGCCGCACCGGCGAGAGCGGGGAGTCCAAGACCGTATGTCTCAGTCCCCAATGAGAGTGACAATTAATCGCAGGGTCCAGAGGGGCGAGGCAAAGGCGGCCGACGTCGGGAAGCGCGTTGACTGACTGTGGGTTCCATTGTCGTGCCAGGGACATTGCCCTCTGTCTTTTGTGTAAATGTCTCAACGACCACGGTGCGATCTCTCAGAGGTCGGTGGGGAGGGGAAGGGAGATCAAAGTGAGAATGTCTCAACGGCATGTGGGCAGAGACACCTCCCGTTTGTCCTCTCCTTTTCTCTCTCTTCAACCGCCATCGCCGTCCCTTTGAACCCCTCACGATGCTGACGACGTGCAAAGCTCGAAGGACCGCATTCGGCGGCTCAAGGGGACCGGATGCAGACATAGTCGCTCAACACCAACAGCCAAGACACCTCCTATGCCTATACAGATCCCGGCCGAAGAGAGAAAATCGGGGTACGAAGAGGTTATCCCCCTTTGGCTCTTTAGCTCTTTAGCTCAACGCTAGCTACACTCATGGATGGGCCTTGGCTCTTTCGAACCCAGGCTGAATGTGTCGTTGGCCACCAAACCAACACCACAACCCAAGAAAACGCCTATCCAACCCGATCCCGCCGCCGCCTCTCTGGACTGTAGTGGCTAGCGGTGATCGGATTCCCGTCCCAGAGCCCAACTCGCACCCGCATCGGCCGCCGCCTAGAGCGAGGCACGGATGCCAATTGCCGTGAGCCGCAAGCATAAGACACGCGACGCCACGTCCAGAGGCCTGGAAGCCGTGGCCAATAACCTTACCAAGCGTTTGGAAAAGACTGTAGAGGTTCTCAGTGACACTATGGTAGGCGCGTCAAATCATCCCAATGGTTAGGTAACTCATGTCAAGCTTCAACGAAGCCGTTGAAGTTATGCGAGGGATGTCCTGCCTCTCTCCGTGTTTCTCCCACATTCTCTAAGTCCTCTCGACTCCCTTTATTTCTATAGATATGTCTGGTCTACAAGGCCTAGGCTCGCGAACGGGAACATGCCCTTTCTCATCACCGCACCTGGCTATTGATTTACATGGCGGGGTAAAAGGTAAGTGAAGAAAAAAAACAAAAAACCCTACTAGTCCCTCCCCCCATCACATCTATACCAGCCCTCTTCCGGCGAGTCGGGATTTGACCCATCCAAGAGCCCCATCAGCCACCGAAAGCCACTGCCGCGAGGCGCTTGTGAGAATCTGGCCCGTACGGCCGTCGCGGCGTAGACCGGCGGCTTTGACAAGCGTCGAGGGTGGCTTTTCTTCCAGTAGGTCGTCCGCCGCGGGTGCATGCCGTTCTGCGTGTAGAACGAACGGCAGCGCATATGGGCAAAAAAAGAGAGAAAAGTGATGCTCTCGCAAGGGACGAAAGAGAAAAGCCCAGGTACGCAATGTTATAAGTAAACAACTGGCCCCGGATGCCATTTTGAGATACTTGGATAGACCAGACAGCCTCACCCTCACACACAACAACATCCTCCCATCCCTCACCCTCCTCACCAGGTCTCATCCTCTCTCTCACCCGGTCTCGGTATATCTACAAACATGGCTCGCCGCGCCTCCCTCATCGTGACAGCCCTCCTGGCCGTCTGCGCTTCCGCAGCCCCGGCACCGATGCCCCAGCGCTCGGCAAAGGTCACGGCCGTCAAGAACGTCTTCACTATCGGCAACATGTCCTTCGCCAACAGACTATACTGGGACTTTAGCAAGCTCGCCAACGGCGCCAAGGTGCCCGACGGCCTGCGCGTGAGCGGCTACCCCGTCAGCAACACGCACGTCTTTGTCACGCAGAACGCGTACATCAACGGCGGCTACCTCAACCTCAAGGTCGACGGCGGTCAAAAGGTCAAGCCGTACAAGGCTGGCGAGGTCGTCACGACGGTCCAGAACATCAAGTACGCCTCTGTGCGGACCGTCGCCATCTTTTCCGAGCCTGCTGGTGTCTGCAATGGTAAGTCTTTTTTTTTCTTTCTGCAAAACCTCTTACACTCACTACCAAAGGACTTTAAACGACTAACACATCATTGATAGGTATCTTCTTCTACAAGAACGACCAACAAGAGACGGATATTGAGTGGCTCTCAGACGCCTCGTCCCAGAGCAACGCCGGCAAGCGCCAGGTCTGGTTCGCGAACCAGGCCACGAGCGCCGCCTCGCCAAAGTCGTGGCTCTCGGTCCTGGCCCCGTCGAACCCGACGGCCACGGAGCATGAGTACCGCATCGACTGGCAGCCCGGCGTCGTCCGCTTCTTCGTCGACGGCGTCCAGACCTGGCAGACGACCAAGAGCGTGCCCACGCAGGCCGGCCCTTGGGTCTTCAACAACTGGTCCAACGGCGACAAGGGCTGGAGCGCCGGCCCGCCCGTCTCCGCCGATGCCATCTTCAAGATCAAGGAGATTGACATGTACTACAACACCGCGTAAAAGGCCTGCAACAAGGCTGAAACGGGCTGAGCAGTTGTTGTTGGGGGCAGACTTTGCACCCACCGGATTCGATTTATCACTTCATCGTACATATTTTTGATAACAAAGGGAGGCCAATTCATGGAGGCGAACGGTCTCTTGACAAGGGGTATTGGACATAATGAGGAAGGGAAACGGACAACTTGACGACCAAGATGAAAATAACTAATGAAGGGATATAATAACGAGGAGGGTTTAATTCATGAAGATAATACAATAGTAATGAACATACTATCACAAACACCAGAAAAGTCCGAGTCACTTAAGCGCCACATGGCAATGGATGGGCAATATTGCGAAAAACATCCTGGGCCGCGGGACAGAGAGCTCCTGGGACGGATATCTCATCACCGAGCCGCACCCGAGCAAAGCCCCGGCGACTGGGGCAAGATTTCCGTCCGATGTGCGGAAGCGTGGAGGCGGCAGCAGCAGCAGCAGTAGGTAGGGCCATGGTCTGCCAGAGAGCTCTCCTTCCCGTCTTGCACGGGAAAAGCTACTGTCAAACCTATGAACAATCAGGGCCCCCACGATATGGATGGACCCCGGAAAGCATGGAAAAGGTTAGCGGGTCGAGGATCATCCCATGTGCGGACAGGGGGAAGGGGGGGGGGCTTTGATGCGACGAGCTTCTTGCGGTTGGGTTCGTCCGCTCCGCAAGCCTCCGCTCCCGCCCGCCCGCAAAGCTCCATAGATAAGAACGAACAGCAAGGGTTCCGTTGTTGTAGGTAGGCCATTTTTTTTTTTTTTTTTCTAAATCGTGTGCGAACCAGACATCGTCGTCGCACCCACGCGTGGCCCACGATGCGTCCATGTCGTACTGTGTTTTCTTTGGCCCGAAGACATTCCGAGCCGTTTCGGCCCCAGAACCCGCAGACGGGATAGCTCTTTGAGCAACCGGAGCTTCATGAGGAATGGCTTCGGGCGGGACAGGCTCCACGTTTGGTTTCCCCGTTGGTTTGCGAACTCTGCGTGAGTTCGCCCACGTTTAACAACAACCCCCCCCCCCTCTCTCTTCCTAGCTTGTCCTCATTTACGCGAAGTTCTGGCCACGGAGTTGGAACGGGGGCACATGGGGGGAAGGGGTTTGCTCCGAGATGAGACTTGACAGACGCGAGTGCGGTTCGCGAACCTGTGAGAGGCTCAAATGTGTTATCTTGCATGAGCTTTCCCCCCTACCGAACTTGCCTCGTCAGGATGGCGTCCAAAGGGTTCTGGGTTCCTGTCATGGGAGGTTAGGTCAACCCCACCAGTCCGTGGGGTTTTCTTCTTCTTCTCTCTCTCTTGCAATCCCGAAAGTCTCCGATCCTGTTTTGGGGGTGTGATGAATGGTATGGCATCCAACGGCGTTGCGATGCGTGGGACGAGATGTGGAAGCGATTGGGTCATTTCATTGAGTTGGGTGCGGCGGGTACGCAGAGCTGAAGCCGAGATTTCTTTGTCAATTTCTTTTTTAGCTTTGGCTTCCAAAAACCCTTTCAGCTTGTAAGCGAGGACTTTGCCAGCTTTGCTTGCTAGGCAAACCCGTCAGCACGCGTACGACGACCAATGGCATGGCTTCAAACGCATACTGCCTAGTAGTCTGTGAATTTTAGGCGTCTAGGTACTCCGTAAGGTAGCTCGAAATGGATTGGCCCGTTTTCCACTCTGCTCGGTGTTTAGGCGACCGAGATCCATCAAGGTGAGGAGGGGAGGACGGGCTTGTAAGGCGCGGCGCGGCTGCTCGGCTCACCTTGATGGCGGGCGCTCGTGGGCTGGCACCGGAGCAAGTCACAGATAGTGGCAGACACCGGAGCTGAAGAAGGCCAGGGCAGGCAAGATAGATTGGCCATGGTTCGCATGGGCAGAAGATATCATGTCGTCTTCCGTCTGCCGTCTGCCGCCTGTGACGAAGCTTAAGGGCGGTTGTGAGCGTGGGTTGAAACCTGAGAGCTGATGGCGTGCATGTTGGGAGACTGCCGCCACAGACCAAAGAGGCATGCCGAACGGCACGTCGTTGCGATAAAAAGTTGTGACGTTTGCCAATAGGGAGAATATCTAGGATCCCGGTCCAGCATTATCATCTTCGCCGTAAATCTCGGGATGCGTAGGAGGTAACCCTCCCATGCCAAGCTGGTGGGATATGGTCGTAGACCTCCAAATCATCGACATGGAACAAACTCTCTGGTCGGATGATATGAGCGTGAGCAACACACCCCCACGCGGAGCAGGAGCAGAAAAGGACGACGGATTAAGTGCATGCCGCCGGACGCACGCAGACTTTCTGTCCATGACTAGCATGCAAGAGAAAGTCTCGAGATGCCCGGTCCTTTTGCAGCTTGAGTTCAAATCACAGGCCGACACGCAAACATGCCTCTGGTACACGTCCCAGCCACCTTGGTCGTTCTGGAACCTGACAAAGAGTACGCCCGGTTACATTGTGTGTCTGCGAGTTGCAGGCGACTCAATCAGACACCCGATCATGTCGACGACAGGGCGAAGAGCGACACGACGATTCTGCGCGTTGCCTTACGACACAGCACTCCGAAATGCGTCCGAACACTTTTTCACTCTCGTGTGTGATTGAGCCGGACTGGCCAGCCAACGGTTGGCGGCCACGCCAGTCGTGCAATTGCGATTCATGATGAGGGCCGTAGCGCCGCATGTTATGTCTACTTTGAAAGGCACTGGCATTTCGAAATGTGACGAGATGGCGAGTGGCGATGGCGTGTCATTAGACAAGGTACGGATATGTAGGAACACCATCATTGTCCGTTAGTAGGTAGTTTGAGCGGCAGTTGTGCTCGAACAGCAGCACAACACACCCCGCATTCTTGAGGTGATGCAAAAGCTTCAACACCGACAGGGTAGAACAGATGGATGAGCATCTAGGTATGCTCCCGCCGTTTCAAACTTCCAATGCGATGGCCTGTCCTTCGCCGTTTTGATGTGTCACAGTAACCGTCTTTAGCCCAGCCACCAAGACACGTGTGTTGGGCGCTGGTTCTAGACGGGGGAATCGCCATATAGCGGCCATACGTACCTAGTAAGAACTGGGGAGAATTGCTTAGCCAACGGCGGTCGACGTAGCGTGCATGAGCATACCAACATAGTACCCCTGCGCCTACTCCTATCCCTCCTAAGGGCCAACTACTCCGTATTACGTATCAAGAGCATACCTACCTACAGAGTACCTTGCTGCTTTGCGGACTAGGCGGGAGGGTCGGTCGTCCATCGAGCACTGTTTAGCTTTGCTTGTGTTAATGCAGAGGAGATCGACGACGGCGGCGGCTTTGACGGGTGTGTTTCTCTGGCGGGGAACAATTACGACTGAAGTGGGCGTCCGGTGACTTTCCACGTTGCATACTTTGGGGACTAGTGGGATGCCGCGTTCCATCGGAACTAGAGAAACTGATTTGTCTCTCAAGGTTGAGGTTGACGAATTTCGAATGATGCGATCCTCTCAGGCTGTGACAGATGGGACGAGGAAACTTACGATGACACGATGAATAGTCCTCAACGGTATCCGTACAGACACAGAGCCCCCCGCATGCCTGTAGATTGTAGCAAGCCGCTAGTAGCTCAACCATGCCTTTGCCCCATAGCTCGTGTGTACATTTCCGTACTATGTAGTAGTATCAAACTCACTGCCGTCACAGACTCGTAACTGACCAGTGACTGGGCACCTCGGGGACCGGGGAGCAAGGAGGAGAGGGGTCTTGAGGAAAATTTTCCGTCGGCTGCCCTCTCCGATGCCCGATGGGTTGGGATCTTCGCCATAGAAGCAAGGGAACAAGGCAGATATGTTGCATTGATACTGTGGTACCGTGAACATGAAAACATGAATGGACCATTTCTCTAACCAAACGTGATGGAAACACGTGTTCTGTGACGGTCGGGAAGGACGTCGTTCATGTCAAGTTTCCACCGTCTCAACGTGGATGGAACAGCCGCTGTAGACTTGACTAACAAGGCAAGGTAAGGGGCGGCATAGAAAGGCCCACCACCGCCGTACAAGTCTGTGAAAGCAGAGAGTCCTTGAGTGGTGAAGAGACTTCTGAACAGAAGCCCTTGCAGAGAACGGAGCCGGGATAGAGGGAATCAAGCGGATACCCTTTCGATGGGGCTCCGGGCTGTGTCATCCTTCCAGTTTGCCCACTCATTTTTCTCATGGGGATTAAGTTTTTCTCAAGTCGTTTCTAGTCTGCCAGGGGGTTGCGAGCACTAGGGTCTGGAATCTCTGGAATTTCTGGAATCTGGAAATTTCTGCCCATATCCCCATTTTTCTTTGGTTGTCGTCCCTGCGTCGAGTCTGTCTGTGTCATTGCTATTATGTTGTTGTTACTAGCAAGGGATGATATGTATCTTTGCTACTCTGTAGTCTGTACTCTGTACTCTGTGGAGGTGAAGGAAATAAAAAGGGAGGGAAAAAAAAAAACCGGAGCAAGTTGTTTTGCGGCGGGCGGCGGGCGGCGGCGCGGCTGGCCGGAGAGGTCCCACGGGTCCACGGGCAGGCTCCACGGGTCGCAGGGCGTGGGAAAGGGAGTGCTGAGTACGTGGGACGGACGACAACATCTACCCATACCTGGGAACATGGCACCGGACCGCTTCAAGCTCGCAACGCCGTTCGGGACCATGACGCCTCCAAGGGCCCAAGGGCTAAAATGTGCTCATTGTAATATGTAAGGTGGTTCAATGTGGATATGGGCCATCCGCCGAAAATCAATCCGGCTTGCGGTGACTCCCTCTATTCGTTGAAGTCTCTGAGCCGCTGAGCCTCTCGCACTGGGGCGCGTGGGGCTCGCGGGGATGTTGGTCAGAGGTCTCTACAGTGGTGCCTTAGTAACAGTTGCGCCTTCCGGTGGAGTTTGTTTCGAACTCTGCACGACCTCTTGGTCACCCGAATGTGGCTTTTTTCTTTCTCAGGGCCCATTCGTGGGGAAACGTGCTCAGGGCAGTGGATGAGGTGATGTGAAAACGTATGGATCACGAAATACCGGGGCCGGGGGGATGGACTCGATGGAGGCTTAGGAGGTTCCTCCGTCGCAGCCGCAAAAGCCCACAACAGGGCCGCCGCACGTAGCAGACGTCTGAGTTTCGGCTGCTCTTGCTGCGTGCGTAGCAACCTCGTGGTATTGGATATTCCACTCAACCTCGACCCGACTCAAACGACCGCCGGACTTTAACTCGAGCCGTGGGTTAGTGGCGTAGCCAACATGTTGTGCCCTTTGTAGAAAATTGCAACATATGCTGATCCAGGGGACGTGCCGAAAGTGAGAAAACCGGGGACTGTGTTGCGGCCCTCTCTATCCGTACCTCCGTGCTGTGCTGTATTGCATCATGCTTGTTCTCTTCTCAGAGACAGCCGTGGCATGTGCTCACCACTCTTGGTCTGGACTCACTGGAGACGTGTCCAGTTTCTCAAAAATCAAGGAACGGGAGAAACAGACATGAGGGCGGTGCAGATGCGAGTAGAAAGGCAAGACGAGGAAATACCTCAATGGCCATCCCCGATGTAGAAGCTGACCAAGAACACATTGGCTCTGATCTCGTTAGTGAGTACTGTCGACGTACACGGGCTAGACGGCCATCGAAATCGGTGTACCTATCAGTGAGTTGCCGCTGCAAGGTACCTGAACGCTCGCCGTGTCTTGTTTGGCTGGTCATGCAGACCGAGCTCTCCATAATACGGGGCACGCAACAAGGCATGTTGCATACAGCAGAGCGAGACGACTGGCTGCACCCAAGACGGCGGCGGTCCTTTGGAATTGTACAGTCGCAGTGTTCATGCGGATGGAACCATAAAGCAGAAACCAACAGATCGTGATCGCTTCACTGGCTCAGAAAAAAAGTCTCATTTTCACGGGTTATCCTCTCTGATGGTCTCTAGCGGCGGCTCTGTACCTTTCTTCTCCTGCGTTTTCTCTTCCCGCAGGAAGTTCCGTGTCTCCACGCGCATCAAGTGCTTGTTTCTTTCGTCCAAGGACTTTGGACGGTCCGGCGTGTGATGTACCTCTTGGCTCGATCTGACGTGGACCGGTACATTGCGTGTCTGAGGCAGCCCGCACCGAGGCCGTAGAGGTTTCGAGCGTCCGCTGCATGAGGTGTCCGGACACAGGCAATGTTTCTTGCCTGTTCCCTACATCGATTCCCTTCCATAAGGCGCAATAGTTAGTTTTACGTTGATCCCATCCTGGACTTATTAGCTAACAAGGTGTCGTTATGATGCAAGCTTGGTACTGCAATGAATGTACATGTGCGATATTACAGACGGGCGCAACAAATGAGAAGAATGAGACGCCAAAAAAAAAAATAGGGCTTCGGCACATGAGCAAGGGCTCAAGGCTCAGGGCGGCATGAAAGAGGCACCGCTGCACCAGGACCGATGGGGTGAGCTGATGACAGAATTGCGAAAATGATGCATCGCCATCGGTCGACGACAACTGAGCCCCCCTCGTTCGCGTCAGACCTGGCTCGTGTTAGCTCTCGCATGGCCAGTCACCTGGTCACCCCTCACCTCACGTCGCTCGCACCTTGTCCTCGGCTTCCCATAGGTGAGGTAAATTATAGTACTCGTACCTGGCGAGTTTGCGTCTTGTCATCCTGTGTCCAGCAGGTACTCCGTGCAGAGGTGCAGGGCCGCCCAGTCCCCCTTGATGATCGTCTCAGAGAGGGTCCTGTGGTGCCTGTAGTGCCGGTGCCTGTGGTGTCTTTGAGGGTGCACTCCGTTATGCCCTTCTTGCAGCTGTACCTGACATGCTGACATTCTAGTTTCGATCATGTAATGGTGGAGGGTGCTTGGCCATCAAGCACACCAACGAAGCACGGAAGGTACCGGTAGATTCGTAATTGCAGCCACGAATTCACCATTCACCGTTCACCGCTGCCGCCTGCCGCCCCGTCCGGGATAAGTAAGGCACGTACTAAGGTACTGGTGCAATGCCTTACATAATTCGAGCCCGAGAACGTCGAGAGGGAAGGAATGTACGTAAAGAAAAGTACCGAGGAAAGTACAGTATGAGGTACAAGGCGGCAGAGGCAGATAAACCGCAGGGCAAGGTACCTAGGGACCTTTGGCTTCATCCCCAGACTCTCTCGGCAGCATCGTGCATCAACCTCTGCCTCTCTTTGGGCTTCCCCATATTTGCACTATTAAAAGCCCTGCCTGGTCTAGGTATTGCGGCTTGTGGCTTGCCCTGGTCCGCACATCCCCCTCGTCTCGCCAAGTACCTAGTCTGTCTTGACCACATCCCCACCTCAACAGAGCACCACTCTTTGCGTCCACGCACGCAACACGCTCTTCTGACTTCTCAACTTCTCACACAGTCGCTGACGACAGGGGTCCCGGGTTACTCTTCTTGGAACGAGTGAGCCGCCCGCAGAGGGAACCAGACAGGCTTCCCCCCGTCCAGCGCAGGTCTGCCATCCTCTCCACTCTACGAAGTATACATACATTGTAGTAGAGGCTAGAGGCCCGGCTACCTGTGATGCCATAATCCCCGTGACTATGAGGGGGCGACGGCGATATAAACCTTGGACCCCGATCTAGACTCTCGATCTGAAAAGAAAAGGCAGTTTTTTTTCCCTTCCGCTAGCGAACCCGTTTTCTTAACCACGTCAATAAGTCGGTGAAGAAGAAAAACACAACCGGCGGCTAGACAAGAATTGAAGACGGGGGGTTAATCCAAACAAAAAAAAAATTGCGCAAGAAGACATTTTCCCAAAGGAATTTCACGCCAAATTAGCTCGGGATACGAAAAAAGACACGGCTGCATACCCATTATTACACACAGACTGTCCGTACAGAGAACGACATTTTATTCTCCGGTCTCACACGCTGGAGCCAACCCGCCAGTCCTCGTACAGAGCAGCGACTAGCCAGCGAGAGGCCAGAGCCCATTCCTAGGTTGCTGCCCTTGCTTCCCACCGCTCGGTTGGGACACAGGCATATCAAGACTGGCCGCGCCATACCCTTCCCAGCACGAGAGGGTTCGGTTCATCAGGGTGTCTGGTCTCCGGTTGTCGTTGCTACACCTGTAACCACACACAATTACAGCGCGGTACGGAGTACCGTACACTCTGTGCGTTTTGGGTGGTATTCTCGCTGCTGTCATCGGCAGAGTTGAGACGACGGACGAATCGGCGGCGCTTCATCCAGCTCAAAGGCTGGAGGTCCGTCCGCACCGCGACATCTCCGCTTTCGGCGAGCCCACAGCCCTGCCTGTCCTTGCGTCAATCCGAGGCACCTTGCGTCTTTGCGGCTTGCCTGTACGGATACTTGGGTACCGGGCTGAGAAGTTTACAGAGGGTAGAGAAAAACATATCCATCCTTCAACTTGCAAGGGAGTGACAAGTAATAAGGACGGCAACGGAAAGAGTCACACTTGAGCGGGCTCCATTCATTCAAAAAGAGCCATTGAACACTACTACGCAAGAGTCTAATGAACCACCTGCGCGCCTCCTGCAGCAAGACATATATTTCACGACTCCAGTTGTGCCCGGTTCCAGGCGCCTCACCTGTCACCTTCCTATTCTCTCGACAATCTCGTCTTGACTCAGTAATCACTACGTCAGTTCACTTTCTTTCGTCTCAATCCACTGGATACATACGTCCTACCACCGTCGTCGTCCCTTCTGTCGACTCTCGACTTCTTCGTACCTATACGGGCAACCCACACACCTGCTGCTCGGCTTTCGCCTTGCTGATACACAAATCGCATCCATCTCTCGCAAATTCCCACCCCCGAACGGAAGACGGACAACGGGCCAGTTTGGAGCTAGCCAGCCCTGGTCCCCGCACTCGCTCTCAAGTCTGGCGTCATCGTGCTTCCTACGAGCTGTTTAATTAATTCCCCCAGAGACCCAGACAGCAGCAAGCATTGCACTGCACTGCACTGTACAGCACCTAGCAGAGTACTTCCTAGGCTCCTAGTTCCCAACTGTACCTAGACTTGCAGACCCCGGTCATCCCTGGAGCGAGAACAAACACGCGCTGGTGCAAGTCAAACCCCGGTCTCTCTCTCTCTCTGAGTCTCTCACCCCACCCACTTCGCCGGGTCTCACCAGATACCTACCTAGCACGGTAATAGCAACCGTCAGCGCAGGTACTCTCTCCTCAGTCTCTCCTCAGCCGAGCTAGCCCTCTCGAAAAAACACATCCGGTCAATCCTTCCTGCAAGCTTGCAGCACCACATCAGACCTGCTTGGATTGGCGGCACGCCTCTTTAATCCCCTTGACCTCCCGTCCCATCCTGTCCTATCCCGTCCTCCCCTGGACACACCTCTCTTCTCTCTCTGTCTCTCTGTCTCTCTTCCAGACTTGTCCATTGCATTAAAAACTTCCGACTGGCCTGATAGGTAATAGGGGGGAACACGGGCTCTCTCCAAGTTTTCTTTTGGAGAACTGTGTCAGTCACGGTCACGGCGACGGTCACGGTCACAAACCCGCACCACATCCATCTCCCACGGGCGTCCATCACTTATCAGCTCTCGGCCAAATATACATATCCACTCCCACACCCCCCCAGGCTAACCCGCCGCTATCTTTCAATCCATCAGCAAGACGCCTTAGCTACTGGAAATAAGGCATACCACATCAGGCGTCCCCTGCACACTGCGATAGCTCGAGACCCTTCTTAATCCCCCCAGCACCCGCTCTGACCTGCGGGGGAAGACTAACAACCAGAGAAGAAGAAAAATTCTCTTCAGCGGGCGGACAAGACACACGGAGTCACAGCCCAGACCACCACAGCTCGTTCTACCTACCTACGCTACCACCCTCCTACCTTGTCACCTTGTTCTACGGACAGGTACTCAACCCAGGGCGTCGAATTCGCCACTCCGAACGCGTGAGAGCAGGGTCCAATTTCCTGCATTCCCATACAAAGGCCGCCAGCAGGCAGTCTAGATCCAGATCTCACCGATTGTTGCGAAAAATTTTCACAGCGGCAGAAAAGAAGGGGAATAAGAAAAGCAAGGGCCGGAAATCTTGTTCCATCGTCGGACACTGCTTCACAGCGCCTCTGCCAAACCCGACGGCCGAGACAGGACGGACGTTCGCAACTGCAGTGGCACTACACGCTGTAGGTCGTCAATCTTTCGCTTCTTGGGGGTATAGAACGGCGCTACCCCTCCACCAAACCCGCCATTCCCCGCTTATCTCGTCCCGCCGTCCATCCACCGATACAGGCACCAAAACAGAGGACTCGGTAACCTATTACCTGTGGGAGTGAGCTGCGAGAGTCTGAGCGATAGACTACAAGAAGAACCCCTGCCAACCTCGTCGCATTGTTGGCTTGTTGATTTCTTCTCTCGATCTTCCCTTCCTTGGATCCCTTTCTCAGTCGCACATCCGCCAAGAGAAAGATTTCACAATGCATCACAGCCGCAGAAAGTCGGGCAACACCTCCATGACGGAGAAGACTGTCACGGCTACCGATCCCTCCCGCTACGGCAAGCGTCCGTCGACTCTCACCAGACGCCAAACTCCCCAGAAGTTGGGCAAGAACCCCAGAGACCGGGAACGGGAACGGGAACAGCAAGACTCGTGGGACGACGAACGGGAGAGTTTCCCTCAATTTTGGTGAGTTTGCTACTACCGTCTTTTGTCTATCTTCCGTCTATTCACGTTCCATTCTCATAACTTCCCTCCCGCTCTCCCCCTCCTCAACTTGAACATTCATTTGTGCTTCCTCAGCGCCGCCATGTTCCAGCCTTCCAACCCCGCAATATGCCGTCTGGCAACACCATCATCCAATCTTTGTTGCAGATTGTCATCCCGTTCAGGAGCTCTGCAGTGTCACGACGGACGCCCAACGCGGCGCGTTGCTGTGCTTCCGATGGGTGTCTACGGACCCGATTCCCTTTCAGGCCAATGTTTCCCACGGTGACTGGACAATTTTGCTAACTGATCGCGTGTGGTAGTATGACTTGCGAAAAGCAATTCGTGCCTCAAGACGACAAGTTCCTGTACTGCTCAGAATCGTAAGCTGCCTACCCCAACGAGTCCTAGGACAGATGTACGTTGCAGTGACTCACTAACTATGCGCAGATGCCGCAAGCATGATCAGCAAACCGCATCAACTGGCAGAAGTCACAGCCAACCGCACATGGGCAACTACCCTTTCTACGCCGCATGCAATCCCGAGCCGAGAGACATTGTTCCTCGCGCGTCCCCGTCAAGGCCGAACTCCATGCACTTCTCGCCGCCCACAACACCAGGTGCCACCACTGGCGCGCAATACTCGTCCGCCATCTCCGCGTTGAGGTCGCTCAGCATCCGACCCCCAAGCCCGCCGTCCCCCACATCGTCGCACGCCAGCATATGGCCCTTTACTAAGAGCAGCACCAACAGCCCCAGCACATCGTACAACCGCGGCAGCAACAGCTTCTTCCCGGCCACGTACGACGGAGGTTATGCGGCGAATGGTTACGCCTACAACTACAGCTCCAGCGGCATGGACCGCCCGCTACCGACCCGGAGACCCACTGGGCCGGGCTACTCGAGGCCGAAAAGCATCGAGTTGGTGACGCCCATGGTCGGTCGCTAACCACCGCCAGACGGGGGACTGTGACGGGAGGTTACACCACCGCTCACCTGGTTCAGTCAACCATTACACAACCGCACGGCAGGGACTGACACCTCGTCACCCCACGGGCATGACGGTGTGCGTGCGCGCGGCGGGTTCGATGGGTCTCCCACTCGTACTCGCCTGTATCGCCCCATCCCCAGAGCGCGGGGTTAGCGTCGATTTCGAGCACACGCGGGGGCAACCACGGAGGCAATGAGCCGACAAGGGGAGGTGACCCATCTCAGGCTCTACCAAATTGGCATCCGGATTGTCACCTTTCCGACTCATCCGCACACCTTTCACCAGCCATTTCCTCCTCTTTTGGCCCACGCAAACCAACGCCACGAAAAACGAAGAATGGCGCCTCGGCGGAGAGACTAGCATTCTAAGCTGCGGGGGCTTCATTTGCGCATTCGCCAAGGGTTTTGGACTGCGAAACGCCATGGCTTCGGCGATGTGAGAGATGGGAAATCCGGGCAGGATCATAAAAAAAGTTGGGGGTTGCATTGACACGGTGGCATGGGGCATTAATGGGTATTTGGTAAGGCGATTTGGGGATGGTTAATCCCGTCATGGTTCGCGTTAACCTCGTTTGGTATGCCGTACCCAACACAAACACACACGGAATTCTACGAAATACTCCGTGTTTTGGGTTTGGGAGGGTGATTCTTGACAGGATCTGGTCTTGTTTTCTTTCCATTATCTTTTGTCACAATCTTGTTGGGGCACATCATCATCATCATCATCATCATCATCTCACATGACGGTTCTTCAAAGCCATCTGAGCATACATAGAAGGACAAGCATCTACGGATTCGGGAATAGCTAGCATTAAGGGCATAACGGATCTAGTATTCGGGCGTACGTTTATAGTTCAGCCCAGAGGAGGCTCATGGCGGATACAGTACTCCCCCTCCTCCGAATGGGTCAATATCATATTTGTTTTCAGCAATTAGCATCAGCGTGCCTCGGCGGGGGCCATGGACTATAATCAAATGAACAAAGCAAATGGGTCATTCACTTCGATGGTACTACTGCGTGAGAATTGCTTGAGTCGACTTGGCTGAATGACAATGTGCTGGCGCCGCCGAGTCAATAGCGGAAGGCCCAGGTGGGTGGGAGGAATATCTCGGAGACGGCCAAAAGAAAAATGAACAAAATCCAATCGGCTGATCCACACATGCGAGACCCCTCGGGCTTCACCCTATGCAATGTTGCTCCCCCGGACGTGCCTAGCACGTCGATCACGTTTTATTCTTCACATTTGTGCGGCCTTCCCCGGATCGTGAAGTGGACGGGCGGGGCCTGGCGATGTGCGGCACTGACTCGGGAGGCGAGCGGTGCAAAGTCAGCGGGACGAGTGAGAGATGGAGAGACGCGCACGCGCTCGACGCGAGCTGTGACGACAGTAGGGGAGGGATTCACGGAAAGGCAACTCTGGGAATGCCGTGATAAGAGTGTCTACTTGTTTGTGATTGGGGTGCTCACTTTTTCCCCGCGGGGGGTTAGTTTAGGACTTTTTTTTTGGTAGAGACCTAACTATCCGTACGGATATACAGATGCAACAGCATCTCCATAGTACGTGGCACACACACACACACACACATACACACCCAATGGGCCATGTGTGTATGTTTCGGGTTCTAGACCATCATTGTTGACGAGGTCTTTGCTGTGCCGCTTTTTTTTTTTGGCTGACCGGGTCTAGACTTGTCTCCCTGTGCAAAGTAAAGGATTTTGATTACTTTGGGGTTACACCAAGTGAGGTCAGAGGCCGGAGGATAACGTAGGTAGATAGATGGCTGCTGGCCTCTGTGCCTGACAGGAGGGACGGCCGGGCCGGGGGGGGGGCAATCTCAACCCGCGGGCCTCGACCGAGGTTTTGGACCATTAACTTGATGCGGCACTTTGAATCAAAGGTCTTTTCACGGGTTCCCTATTCCTGCTCAATCATGCCTTTTCTGAATTAGACGTTGGTTCCGTGTACTTTTCGCGGTTCAGCGGGCGCGGAAGAATTACGGCAGTGGACTAGCGGCAGATATAAATGCGCTGAGTGGGGGGGGGGTTTGGATCGTGACCATTGTTCTGTTCGGCGACCCGGTTTGAATGCGATCGATGCTGATTGAGTCGGGACATTTGATGACGTTGACAGGTTTTTATGGGTAGGATTTCGGCAGTGGGGGTTCCCTCTTGAGAGGTTCTAGGAGGTTTCTAAGCAGATGTTGTCACCTTTGGTTAGCAGTTTGTTCACACGATGTTCGATTTTTGGTGATATCGAAGTGAGGCTGTTTCTTCCGAGTCATGTGCTTGAGCAGGTGATGGGACTTTGTCTTGTGAGATGGTGGTGACGGAAGGACGAGGGAAGTATCATAACGGGGGTGAATTGGCGAGCGATGACGGATGGTCTCAGAACGTGTCGAGGTCTCGTGATGAAAGGTGATGAAGGTGATGAAGGCGGAGCTTGGAGGAAGGGTGGGGGAGGACCAGGGCCGGACACTGTCTCGAACCCGAAATACGTGACAACGATGGTGACGAGCGAATGGGCGGCGACGGTACCAGTGATCGGGGGCGGTGAGCTTAACGCAGGTTCCAGTACTCCGTGAAGGTGTGTGATGCCGGATTCCGGGACTAGTATCACGCAAGTCAGGCACGTAATGTAGGTACGGTGCGGCGGAATGTCCTGGTGGAACTTTCCATCAAAGATGGTGAAGAAAGGTGTGCGCATGTAGGTGTGTACACCAGTGGCATGTAAGTGAGTGAGAGGGTGGGTGGGCTGGGGGGCTGGGCAAAAGGTGAGCATGATCGGGTTAGGATACGGGCAAGGTGACCGATGGGAGTGGGTGGTGGATGCGGCGGCTGAAGCGCACTTGACGCCGCGGCCGCGTGAGCGAGCGAGCGAGCGAGCGATGATGGAGGGGCAGGGCGGGGGGAGGGTCTGGTCTTGTGCTCGTAGTGTGATGAGATGGATTAGATTGTATGTGATTGTGTGTGATGACGTGAGGCGCGGGGCACGTCGAGTCGTGTTATGCCTACCGTAGGTATGGGCCTACGGATACGGATACCTAAGGAAGGCACTTATCTGCTGTTGTCGGGGACTTTGCCTAGTCAGCACGATGTTTCTAGCGGATAGGCTAAAGTGGTGGTTTGCTTGGGTGCTGGGCAGATAAGAATGGTTTCTTAATTATAGGTGTGATAGGGACAAACGTGGTTGGTCTTTGTCCGTAACTAGGGGCGGGATGTGGTTAGAGATGCGAGATAGGGTAGTCTCGGTTTATCGTATACTCAGGTCGACTGTAGCGGAGGCTGCATTCCTACTGCCTACTGTGTAGGCAGGATTCTTGGAGGGTTGGAGAGCGGGCCAGCTGCTCGGGCAGTTACCTTGCGATTTGAAATACGCGTTGCAAGGTGTTGCCTTTCAGGAGGGGGGGATCTGGAGAGGAACATGAGAACCGGTTCTCGGGATGTGATGAGCCTGTCGAGGTATGATTGTAGGGTCCCATCTCGGGATCTGGATTTGAGAATGCCACCACGTTGTGGCCTACCACGGCGTATAGTCACTTTTCTCACACCCTTCCTCTTTCGGCCGGCTCTGCAGACTTGCCGCGACTTTGCGAGGTGTTCCTAATGGGAGGGACGATTCGGCGAGGTGGGCAAAATGACAAATGTCGGCGATGCCGGTGTTGTTCGGAGCGGAGTCCGGGTCCCCGGTCTCTCTCGGCGGTCGGGGGTGGACCCACGGTGGGGGTCGCTCCCATGATTCTGGGTGTGACCGTCCGATGCTAGGAAACGACTCTCATCCTTGCTTGAGTGCTACCACCCTACGGATACAGCGATGAATTTTCGGAAAATTATGTTGATGGCGTGCTTCTTCTCGGCGTTTCTGTGATGGGGACTTTCCTGGACGGTTGTGTCGTGCATGACTGCAATGGCAGCTTTCTGATTGGGCCGATCATTGGCCTGCTCCTTTTTCTGGTCAAGGTTCCACGGCAAGAGATGGGCTATCTGCAGGCGCCGATCGTCGCCATGATAGCTCTATGGCAGAGACTGTGGGGGCGGTCTCGGACTAAACTCCGACGCTCTCCGGCCTGCCGCCAATGCTCGATGTGGTCATGACCTTGGACCATATGTCCCTAAATATTCTGAGATCATCTCTTAGCATCGGGAATGGAATGCTGTGCAGCGGTATTACATGCGACTGTACATCTCCGCGATACAGTACAAAAGCTTGACCTCGATTTGTTTCGTTCGTTGTGTTGTGTATTTGGGAGCAGCCGTAGAACCGTCGACGAGCTCGCGTAGATTCGCCGCGTTCATCCAGGGTTTCTACCCCAACCTCTCGTATCCTTCTCTACGTTCTGCACCTGAGGAATGACGACTGAACAGCAAGCTAGTTGTTGTTTTCAATGCAGGCTTCATGGTAAGGTCGAAAACATGGCGCAGGCGCTGGGATACTTATTTGAAGTTCGAGATGGTGATATTTCATCATTCAATGAAGCAACTTCTTCTCAGCTCAGTCCATTAAATCGAAACTAGCACAGACAGCTCTTCAAGGATTAGCAGGCTACTTCTCATTCTCGACCGATCATGCTGCATTTTGTGCCATATGTAGTCTTTCTTGTGGTTCTACCTAAGTCTCACGCTATTAAGCCCGACTCATTCGCTAGAGCTAGACGTTATATAGTCAGGCGTGGCCCCAGTCACCAAGAGTTTGTTGGCCAACCCTTCCATGTAGTCGTACGATGTGTGCTTGACCTTGAGAAGCTTTCAGGTGACGCGGCGAGTCTGACTCGAGCGGACAGCGTGAGCCCATTTTCCTACCTTGCCCCAATTCTTTCTTACTCTCTCGTGTAGTATTCTGTAGCAGTATAATCACCAAGTGCCGCTAGATGATGAATCCCGGAACGGTTCGTATGGAGACCACCGTCGTCCACTCGTTGGCAGTTCAGCACTCTGACTATTCTTTCCCGACTAGTACCTAACAATTGTTAGCACAACATGGTGGTTCTTGAGTCTTGGTTTCGAAGTTGCCAAGTGTAATTAAGTACCTAGTAGGTAGTCAAAGTGAGCCGGGCACCCGCCAGTTACGGCAACATTCCTCTATAGATCCCTCTCCCCTACACACGATCAAGAGGTACACCGTACTCAATTGCCTAGCCTGGGCGGAAAATTCACCCTTTCCATTCTATGAGACGTGCCCATACTCGCTGTTCAAACCCCGCGGAAGCTTACCACAAGTTACCTACTTCATCAAACTTACGTTTTGTCCAGATCTCGGGGTAAATTCTTTGGGTATTCTACTCTGAGCAACTTCATATCTGCGGTTTTGTATGATGAAGAGAACTGATGTTTGAACGTTTAAATGGACTTAACAACTGTGTCGTGCCGTTCATATTTGAAGAGCACTCCTTCACCGGCCGCACACGCCGATTGCCAATGCACCAACTTTCACCTACATCTCATCGTCCGAGTTCTTGGGGCATGTGAGACTGAGTGCCCGGGCTGCCGCTGAACGATAGAAGTCAAACGTAGCAGTAAGTGAGTCAGAAAAGGGTCATCCATTACGGAACTTCCTCATTTCAGTGCGAAATAGTCCACCTATCCGCATGTGATTGAGCTCAACTCAAGGAATGTGGGATTCCTAATCCGACTTTCCATGAGCCCAAATCGACACTCACAAAGGTCTCTCAAGATTGCGGTACCCCATTGACTTGTCGCGTTCATTGGCAACGTTTGCACCGCCAGATCATTGTCTGACATGGGAGATGCCAATTGGTGCCGGGCACTTTGCATCCGGTTTCATGGCAATTTGCCTTCTCGGAGACAGTGCCTTTCATTATGAGCCAAGACATTGAGGTCACGATAATCACTATCAATGTGATGGTTTCAGTTGAGGGGCGTGTCGGTTCTCATATAGCAAGTCCAGTGTACTTAAATCGAAACGAGAAAAATATTGTTGATAATGGATTCCGTCACTATGAATAGGTCTTCATTTCCAAGCAAATCTCATCACCCAAGTCTACCGATTAATCTAATGCTCCTTTTTATGAGGCTCTCCTCCGTCACTCGAGTCCCGAAGGCCTTATCCATCGAGTCCGAACTGTTGGACAATCCCAGCTCGGGCCCAGATGCAGAGTCGATCATGCTTATCTTGGCACGCCTAGCCTGCTTTGAAATGTCTTCCACCCACCTGAGCTTCTCCCTGGTCTCTGCATCCAGCCCATGTGCCGATAGTGATGATTATAGAGGATGCTCGGCCTCGAGTAAGTCAAAAGTCAGATAGACGAGCTGCTTCAACGCCAGCGACCCGGAACGCGTGGCAAACTTTTCCACAAACGCACTCGACAGATTCGCGGCGGCGGCCTGGGAGATGTTGAACAACAGGTCGTCCCTGCCTATTCACACCCGACGTTCTCGTGGGACGGCACGCTGAGCTCTAGATCCGTTCGGCGCATGTCTCTGACCGCGTTGTAGTCGAGGGTTTAGTTCGATATCTCGTCATAGACTTTATATTTGTCTACAGTCTGCGGTGACGAAGATGGTGCGTACGAGAAAGAGTTGAGGTTTCGAATCGAGTATGAGGCGAGTAACTTTTCTTCCAGACTACCATTTGTGACGGTCGAGCGGTAGGGCACACTCAAAGGCAGTAGCATCACCGGCTTGCTTCTTGTTTCCTGGGGTGCCTGTGTTTGCTTTCACCGTGGCGAACGAGACGATCAATACCCTCGAGTCTTGGGAGGACAGAGTGTTCCCGGGCTGCGTTGTAGTCTGAGCTGTGAGCTCGACTGGTTGCCCGCTGCCGTCATCAAAATTGGAAATGTTCATGTTCATCGTCGGCAGCTCGAACTCGATATAAGAAAGCTTTTCGCTGGGGCTCAACAATGCACTCTGCATCGACCAAGGAACTGTAAGAGCGCTGTCCGAGGCGACAGCGTTACCCATGGATTTCACCAAATGGCTTGAGATGTTGCTGCAAGCGCTGCAAACCGCCAACGAATCATAAGTAGTCCAGGTACAGTGTCCCATTGCGCAATCGAAGGAAGGCTGCTGGCTGCTGTGAGAGTTGAGGTTATTGAATCCTGTCCAGATGGGGAAAGCGAGCCGATATCGTACTCAAGGAATATTGGTTCCATTGAGACTATAGTCCACGGTCCTGGCAATTGGATGACCTGGAGAGGGCTGCCGCCGCTGAATCCTGCCTTGCAGACGTCGAGTCTCTTTGTCGTGCCGATGGATGCGATGGTATCGAACTGGGTTAACTCGACTTCTTTTTCGTAGAATTTGACGACAGCCTGGAGCAAGGGTTCGAATTCGAGCAAGACGATGGTTGCCAACGCGCCAAGAGATACCTAGTGCCTTTATATCACGTTTAGCCCAATAGCCACAGCTGGAAGACACCATCTTACCTGTGCTTGATACACCGTAGAAGACGGGCGCTTCCTTGGGGGCCATGTCCTGCTTCCTCAAAACTGTCGTAACTTATCATGTAATCGCCCTTCCGCTTGAACCAGTTCCATTTCTTTTGAAGTAAGCAGGCGCCGATGGCGAACGCAAGAGTAATCCGAGAAACTGTGCCCAATATGGAGATGATTGTGTTGAAGGTGACGAAAAAGGACCATGTCGCCAGTGGCTTTCTCTCATACCTTGATAGAAGGGCAGTGACCGTGAACAAAGCTACAATAATGAGGATGATGGACCGTATCTCCAGTGTGCAGCTGGACTCGCTGATTTAAATCTTGGGGTTTCTAGGTTTCTAGCTTAGCTTTGTTCGAGGTCAGACTCGTAGTTTCGGTTGTAGGCTCGTCGATAGGTTTGGTGCTCGAAGCTGAGGTGAAATTCTCTAGTCCTCGTTGACCTCTTTGCTTCATCGTCGAGCAGAAAACCATCATGTGCATACCACGAAAGCCCCTCAGCAACGTTGCAAACACTTCATTGGCACCTAAATACACAGTCAGTGTGAACAGTGAGCCGTTTTGCCAACCTCAAACCCCATCCATGTGCAAATGCCAGTTGCCTTGTTTGATACGAAGCTGAAATAGCACTATGTACACTCCAAAGGAGGCGAAGGAGCATCGCTATAGCAGAAATGCAAGTATGCAACGCTTCAGAAGCCGACGATTATTGGCATGGCAATGCATTTCTGGCGATACGGTAGACGCTGCCCACTTGCCATGCTTCCACAATGCTACTTAAGGTACCGCGGATGTAATTCGCAACTCCCTGGTGGTTGGTCGCCTGATTTGCCCATCCATCTCCAGTCCTCCAGGCCTTGATTCTATAATGGTGCAGGATGAGCACGACGGGCCTTGCTGGCGAATTGATGATTGCGTTCAGCAAAGAGACAACACGCCTGCATCATCATCCTGTCTGTCTTGTGCTGATTTTGGGACGAAGCAGCTGAAGCAGTCGACTTTCGTGGACAAAATTATGGGAAGCTCTTGAGAAGCAAGAATGTCATGCAAAGAAAGGCAGGTATTTATACCGCGGTACGACGGATGACATCGGCGCCTGAACCTTGGGGCAACCGGTATTGCGCTTGTCTGACCGAATATCAAACTGCAAGCAAGTGTAAGGAAAAAGTTCAAGGTGTAAAAAGGCAAAAGAAAGATTACTGTGACCGCGGCAGGGTTCGAACCTGCGACCTCCTCGGAGTTCAAGTGTTCACATTGTGAACGAGGAATCATAACCACTAGAACACACAGCCGGATATGTTGAAAGATTTGGTTGACAGTGAATACTAGAATCATCAGCTGGCGGTTCACTGTGATGTTGCGATGAATTTTGCGCAAATGACCTTGCTAGGCACAGACAGTGACCCGGTAGCCAGGCAACTACTCTGATAAGACTTTTCCGTTTCACTGGGGAATCACTTTCTTTTAATTCAAAAACTCGGTAGCTCGATGGTTATAATTGGGTTTGGGTCAATGCTGGATTAGACTCGGCCGAAGTACCGACATAACACCTCTGTGGACATTCCCAACGAAGTACTCAGCACAACCTAAGGAAAATGCATTGTGACTTGAAGATGATTTAAATAACGGGACTGGAAAGCGGCACTAGATTGATGATTTCCATTGACTGAATTTGAGCCATGTGCAATGGTTCGAAACCTCACAACAAAAGAACGACTATCCGCCAAAGTTAGGCCGGTACCGCAATCGCAACCCCACCATCCACACAAAATTGAACAGGAGGGGTCAAGCAGTGACGCACCGTGGAACTCTGGGTGAGTGAACTTCTTCAACCACCAGAAAGAGCGCCAACAAAACACCAAAATGACACGGTTCCGCCCCTGTATAGACCTGCACGCTGGGCAGGTGAAGCAAATCGTTGGCGGCACCCTCGACAGCGCGACGGCCGAGCTCAAGACCAACTTCGTGTCGACGCACCCGCCGGCACACTTTGCGCGGCTGTACAGGGACAATGACCTCACCGGGGCCCATGTAATCATGCTGGGGCCCGGCAACACCGAGGCCGCGCGGGAATCGCTCAAGGCGTGGCCCGGCGGGCTGCAGGTCGGGGGAGGCATCAACGACACGAACGCGAGGGAGTGGGTTGACGCCGGCGCAGAGAAGGTCATCATCACGTCGTACCTCTTCCCCGACGGACGGTTTAGCCAGGAGAGGCTAGATGCGGTATTGCAAGCGTTGGGAGGCGACAGGAACAAGCTTGTCATTGACCTCAGCTGCCGGCGGCGCGGTGATGACAGCTGGTTTGTGGCTATGAACAAGTGGCAGACGATCACGGACATGGAGGTCAATCAAGGTATGTTCTAGCGGCACCGCTTGGTGATACGACGTGCGTCTGTGTCTGACTGAAATTTGATGGTTATGTTCAGAGTCCATCAAGCAGCTGGAGCCCTACTGCTCAGAGTTCCTCATCCACGCGGCAGACAACGAGGGTCTGCAAAAGGGCATCGACGAGAAGCTGGTCGAGAGGCTGGCTGAGTGGTGCAGTCTGCCCGTCACGTATGCCGGCGGCGGCAGGAACCTGGAGGACCTGGAGATGGTGAAGAAGCTGAGTAAGGGTAAGGTGGACCTGACGATTGGTAGCGCGCTGGACTGTTTCGGAGGCAACGGGGTCAAGCTCGAGGAGTGCGTTGAGTGGAATAGATCTCAACAGTAAATAAAATAGGAATTGGCAATTCACGTTCGCTGGATCGGGATGAAAGGCGTCACATCCGGCGGGCGGCCGTGCAACTTGGCTGGAGGCGAACGGCGATGTTGTTTCAGCCAGTGCGACGAGCAACGGTGGGGGGACGCACTAGAAGAAGCGAGGACAAAGGAACAAGAAGACTTAATGGACTCATGGAAGTGGTGCAAAACGCGCGATGTCGGCGCAGGCAGACACTAGTCCCCAACGTCTCCTCTCCTCTCTCCTCTTCTCTCGCTCTTGCGTGCCGACAGGACCCGGCGGCGGCGGCGATTCGCGACATAAACTTATTTCAACATGTACGTATATTGCATCGTACATGAGAGAAGGTGCCCTGCACGATGGTGTGCGTCGGCTACTCCTCTCTTGGGGCTGAAGAGGAGGGGGGACCAACAGGGTGCTCCTGGCCCTTGTGGACGGGGTCGGAAGATGAGGAGGAAGGAGGGGGGAGGAGGAGGAGGATAGGAGGATGAGGATACATGGATCGGAGCCCGTCTTCTGGAAACTGGGTCGCATCTGGCAGGACCACCAGGAAGTCAATTGCGCTGCACAATGGGACGGCATTCTCGCAAAGGGGAAAAAAAAAAAAAAAAATAAAGTTTTGTTACGTACGTGGTGGTATAGAGTATAAACTAGTGAATAGTATAAGAGACGTTAGATAGGGAGCTAGTATTAAATGTCAGTGAGCAACAATAAATATACTCAAAAAAAAAAAAAGGCTTCGCGCCGGCGGGGGCGGGGACCAGACGGTGCAGCTCCTAGGAGCAAAGTCCGGGCGGCGGGCGATCTTTTTCGTTTTCTTATACACACATGCAAAGTACTTATAGACTCTGTTTGTATACGAATCGGTGACCAATAAGCAGTTGGCCAAATGGGTCCAGAGGCAACGATAACAACATTGACAACGAGAAAGTACGGAGAGTTGCATGGTCAATCAGTGGCAGAAGCAGGCCGCAAGCACAATAACAAGAGCCTCTCTCCTCGTAACCTAGAGTGACATTGGATGACGAGAAGTCATAACACAGCCCACCCCTGGCGAGCACGGGCAGAGGGGGAACGTCTAAAGCAACAACGAGCTCCATATCGATATCCAGCCGACGGGCTAAAATGTGCAGAGCCCACCAAACCCACCATCTGATGGGATTGTGCGATACGATGCGATGGAGAGAAGCACGACATGCGGGAACCAAGCGTGGACTGTCCAGGTCCAGGGCAAGGCCTCGACTCCTCCGTGGTAAGTACGGATACTCGGGCATTATACCTGGTAGTCACCATGATGACTTGACCTGGACTGCAACAGCTGCAAGAACCCATGTCCTCAGCTGCTGTTGGCCCGGAGAATTCTCATGGTTCGACAACAACATTGACGGGGGGAATCAGACAAGGAGCGTAAGCCTGGTGGTTTCGGGCAATCAGCACACACTATGGTGCTGTGCATAGTACAGTGCTTGCGCGCACAGAAAGAAAAATCAGGTTCTTTTTGGTAACCATACCTCTCCTCTCTCTTGTCCTTCCTTTTCTCGCCAGTGGTCCCCTTCCTTCGCCTCGGATGCTTGCTTTTCTGGCTTGCCTCTGCCTTTCTCCCTGCAGACGCTACAGCGACTGACGATCAAAACTGGATATTTGGTAGATATTTACTTTCCTCCTCTTTACTCCGTAATAGCTAGATAACGCGTCGTCGTCGGCACAGATACAGCGATTGGCCATTACTCGCTCGCGAAAATCATGAATTGCATCGTAAACCGCTGAGCGGCGTCACAGAAAGAGTGGGCACGTGCAGCAGACGCCCGCCCAAAACCACCCCGGTCGTCGGCCGTTCCCCTCTCCCCAGTGGTCCATTTTCCACGCCTGGCTGCGGCTTGCCAGCAACCCCTCGTCCCAACTCCCCCGTCCAAGGTACGTACCCGGTCTTTTATCGACCCCTGCCACGCCAAAAACCACACTAAACACAATGTCGCCAGGAGCAACGTCACCGACAAAGAGCTGCCTTCCTTGTTTGTTTACTTCTTCCCCTCTGCGCACCAATCATCGGGCCCCCGCCTCAACCTCAACTCCTAACGCCCGCTGCCCTTAAACAACACTCGACCACATCGACGCATCACAACACACCGTCCCGTTCACCCTCTTGTTGTTTCTCACCACGACCGCCGTCAGGAACGCTATCCCATTACCTGTTGCTGCACTTTGGCGGCATCGCCTTTTTTGATTTAATTTTTTCGTGTGTGTTGCTGTTGTTTTGCGCTGCCCCCCCTCCTCCCTTCGGCACCCAGCATCCCCAAACTTCGGCTCTGCCCATTCCAGTCATCACCACCCATACCGAAATACCCTTCGATTATGACCCGAACCGGCATCTGACAGCACACATCCCCGAGAGGCAACTGAGGAAAAAAAAAAAAAGTCAGACATTCATTCTAGCAGACGACGTCCTTCTGCTGCGTTTTCCCCTTTGTGTATCTTGCGAACCCGCTCCGAACCTTGCGGCAATTATCCCGGAACGCACCGCAACAGAGTTTGCTCTATCCTGGATTTTCTTTCGAGTAGTGATCGCCATCACCACTTACTGCCATTGTTCCCCCCCAATGCGCTTGCGCAGTCACAACAACATCACACAAAATGGCGTCTTCTGAGGATCCAGTAAGTTCTCACTCGCAGCGTTGCCTAGACATCGCGTCTACCGCGACTAACATTCACCTTCCCTCCAGGTACATCCTTTGCGCATCAGCAAAGGCAGCAGCACTACGGGATCTCCCCCTCCTACCAAAGCAAACACCGGCATCCCTCGCCCCCTTTCCGAGCTCTCTCCTTCAGACCACAGACGGAACTCACCGAGCTGGAAGCAGCCTTCCAAGGTAAGCGGACCGTGTCTGAGACACAATCCCAGTCCAGAATTTCGACTAACAGCTGTCGTATAGAAAATGACCCTCAACACCGATTCCTCTCCATTCCAGTCATCCCCGCTAGAGACCACTACGTCCCCTAGACTGTTTTGGCAGAAGCGCAACCTGGACTCCATCAGCACCGAGAACAGTGGGTTATACGGCGGCGCACGTCACGGCTCGCCTTCGCCAACCCGACGCACCTCTATTGAACGTCTCCAGAGAGCCTCGCGCGTCAAGAACAGTAACATCCTCGCTCTCGAGCAGAAGCAGGAATACGATCCCACAAAAGTCCCTCAGATCGAGCGTCCCCTCGCTAAGCATTCGGGACCCTCGTATGACGGAACAACAACCATTATCAATGGCCTCCGATCCTCTGATTCACTGAACAGAGGCCTCGGTCACCAACGCAACAACAGCAAGTCGAGTATCCCCATCTACAGCCCGGCACCGAGCCCAACAAAGGCTTCCACACCAATGCAAGCCAACCCGTCCAACCCGCCGCGCAGCCCGGGCAAAGACCAAGGATCCCCTATCAAGTCGTCCCTCTCAAGAAGCAACTTCAAGAGCAGCTTTGACCCCGAGACCGGCACTTGGTCGGCAGACAATTCTTTCGACGATCGCGAGCTTCCTTCTGGAAAGTCGCTTCATCGCCACGCCAAGAGCGTCACTTTCGACGCGGCTCCTCCTCAAATCAACGAGTATGAGATGGCCACGCCAGATATCTCTTCCATAGGATCCAACTCGCGCGAGGGCAGCTTCGAGTCCATGGAAGACGAGGATGACGAGGAGGGACACTACCATTTTGGCGATCACGATATCGAGGGCGATAGCTTCGATGCGTCGCTGGAGGACACAGACAAGACTCCTGTCGTCGGCCCTGATGACTGGAGACAATCTACCGAGCGCATGGAAGATCCGTTCGATGGCAGCCCTATGCCAGATGCACCTCCTCCTCGTCTTGGTCACGCGGAACACATTCGATCTGACTCGTCTACCTCGGACCACCGCCCTCTGCCTCCTCTTCCCGGCATAGGCTCACCGGCCCGCGGCTCACCAGCCTTCAGCGACTCTCGGTCTTCCCCCGGCCTGTCTGCAACTGCTGAGAGAATGGTGGGTACCCACCGCAGCTTGCCGCCGCCGCCTCCGGCAGTTGCAAGCAAAAATGAAATCCAGAGCATTGGCAATGGCAAGATGACTCTCGAAGAGAGACTGAAGCTTATGATGCTCTCGGATGATCACAAATCTGCCAATGAGCAGCAGAGGGAGCGAAGACTTCGTCGTGGCGCTCAGCGTGATAAAATCCAGAGCCCATCATCCGATACCGAGACGGCGGACTCTAGCATGATCTCCGCCGATGCAGACGAGGCTGACGATACCATTGGAGATATCTCTGCTCTCGAGGACTACGAGCTGCCCACTCGTATCACCCGCGAATCCATCATGCGTCGCGTCAATGGCGGTGGCAATGAACAGGGAGGCGACTATTTCTCCTCCCCCGCGCCCAGCTCTAGCCCCGAGCGACCCAGTCCTGAGCGTCGTCTGCCCCTGCCTCTCGACCCGGATGTCCCGATTCCTTCAACGGAGGACTCCATTCTGGATGACATCTCTGAGCTTAGCGACGAGGGCAGTGTCATTATTCACAGAGACGAGGCTTCGGATGCCGACACTGAGTCTATCACAGACTTTTATGCGCGGTCTGACATTGACGAGAACGATGCCGATTCTGCCAGTCATTACTCTGACGGACCGGCACGACAGCCCGAAGTCACGCAGGTCAACGAGGACATCCTCACACCTTGTGCTGCTAGTCCCTTCCAGTCATTTGACTTGGCCTCAGAGATAAGACCTTTGGAGCTCAAGTCTGACAAGGCTTTCAGCCCACCCGAGCAAAGAGCTGAGTCTCCGGCTGGCCTCTCAGCGAGGGAGCTGACAACCGAGGCGAAGGCTGACGAGGTTGTCGAGCCTACAAGCGAGCCCCAAGATGAGGCTCGCGTGCAGTCTCAACCCGAACCCGAGGTCGATAGGGAACCATCGCCGGAGATGCAAGTTGATGCACCCGTCGACGTCACCTCTGAGCGCAAGCACAGCCTCCCTGAACTCCGGGGTGAGGGCAGAGACAACGAATTCTCCAAGGGTATGCAGTCGTTCATGCTTCCTCCACCCCCCGAGCCGTCTGCCCAAGAAGTCGAAGAACTTCAGCCACCGCCAAAGATGACAGACTTCCAGGCTGAGATGCAGCGGCCCACGACCCCGAAGCACCTCTCTAAACCTGATTACGACGGCTCCGGCTGGGGCGATCCAGAGGATGAGGAGTATGAAGACGAGCCCGGTACGCCCGAGTCTGTCATTCATCGACCCATGTCCGATTCTGAATCAGAAATCTTCGATGAGCCTCCCTTGGAATCTCCTGCTATCCCCGAGAGACAGGCAACAATCAAAGCCTCGGGATCCAAGCTAAAGACCAGACCCTCCAACACACCCTCTGACATCATTGCCATGAGGGAAGCCCGGCGCCAAGTTAGTCGCGAGGTGCCCGACATTCCAGCCATTCCCGAACGCCACCGCAACAGGCTCTCAAGGGATTTGCAGGGAGAACCCACTATCCACGATGACGAAGAGTTCGTCGACCGCCGCTCGAGCTTCAAGAAGCGCAGCCTCACATTGGATCTTGACTTTGGCCTCAGCCTTGATCAGGATTTCGATCGGGTCATTGAACAACAAAAGGTTGCTTTTTCTCAACAAGTACTTGAATCTCCTAGTATCGCAAGTGGTAGTACCAGCAGACAAGCGTCTAAGCCGACCGCAACCACGAGCAAAGTCATTTCAGCAGAGAAAGTGTTACAGAATGCTAACCAGAAAAACCAGCGCGGTTACCTCATGCGCCAAAACACCAAGGTTGTTACAGCGAGCGACAAGGAGTCTTCTGATATGTGGAAGACTCGATCCGCTGGTAACTCCCCCGTCAAGACAGACCGCCCTCAGTCATGGACCGTCGAACCCTGGAACGGTAGACCCAGGCAGAAGAGCATCAGACGCCGCGCCAACACTAGTGGTCCTGTCCCGCCCATGCCCGGACAGGAGAGCAACGCTCAGATTCTGAACCCCTTGGCCGAGGAAGACCTGAACCCTGAGCTTGCAACCGAGGAAAGCGGCGAGCGCGGTCGCCTCTTTGTCAAGGTTCTTGGAGTCAAGGACCTCGACCTGCCTATGCCCCGAAGTACGTCTCACCCTACCTTGTCTCCACCCCCAGATTACTGACAATATTTAGCCGAGCGAACCTGGTTCAGCTTGACGCTTGACAACGGTGTTCACTGTGTCACGACAGCCTGGCTTGAGCTTGCTCGCAATGCTCCTGTCGGTCAGGAGTTTGAGCTTGTGGTACCCAACGACCTGGAGTTCCAGCTGACCCTCAACGTGAAGCTGGAGAAGCCCGCACCTGCAAAGAAGGTGATCGTGCAGTCTCCTACTAAGGCTAGCAAGCCCAAGACGTCTACCTTTAGCAGGGTGTTTGCGTCCCCCAAGAAGCGCAAGGAGATGGAGATGCGCCAGCGCGAAGAGGAGGAGCGGGTGGCCGCTGAGCAGCAAAAGGCGGCCCAGGCTAGACAGATGAAGGTTGCGCCTACCGCTTGGGACTTGTTGTCTCCGCTTGCGGCTGAGGATGGCAGCTTTGCTCGCTCGTATGTGTGCCTCAAGGAGCATGAGTCACGCTGTTACGGTCGCCCCTACGTCGTCGACGTCGCTTGCTTCAACGAGTGGGCGACTGAAGAGGCTACTTTCGCCTCGAGCGTCAAGAGCAAGCGTGGCAACACTGCTGTTGTTCGCCGTGCTCCCTACAAGATTGGAAAGTTGGAGCTTCAGTTGCTCTTCGTGCCGCGTCCCAAGGGATCCACCGAGGAGGACATGCCCAAGAGCATGAACTCCTGTATCCGAGAGCTTAAGGCTGCTGAAGAGCGCCTTGCCAAGAACTGGGAAGGTCACCTGAGCCAGCAGGGTGGCGACTGCCCTGTAAGTTCCTCATCATATTCGCTTCGTGCCGACCACGTGCTAACCTCACCACAGTACTGGCGTCGAAGATACTTCAAGCTTGTCGGCCAGAAGCTCACGGCCTACCATGAGGCTACCCGTCAACCTCGGGCCACGATCAACCTGGCTAATGCCAAGAGGCTGATTGACGACCGGCGCGCCCTGACGGAACGGGAGACGACCGGCAAGGGCGGCAGACGTCGGCGATCAGCATTTGCTGAGGAAGAAGAAGGATACATGTTCGTTGAGGAGGGCTTCCGCATCCGCTTCAACAACGGCGAGACCATTGACTTCTACGCCGACACTGCTGAAGACAAGCAAGGCTGGTTGTTGGCCCTTACCGACCTCATCGGCACTCGTGGCGACGGCGAGGACGATGTTGGTGGTTCTCGCAAGCAGGGCAAATGGTGCGAGCTCATTCTCAAGAGGGAGGAGGCGCTGCGACGCCGGCAAGAGGGCCGACGGGTGCACTCGCGGACGAAGAGCACATTCAACTAATACCCCTTGTTTTCTTCTTCATGATTTGGCATGACCGGCACGAGTAGGGGACACGAAGTAATGGGGGACACGACATGATCTATGATTCTCTTGGACCTGGAGTTCGTGATCACATAATCATGTGTCTTTGGCCCATTGTTGCGATGGCTTGTGTCTGCTGGAGTGCGTGCGCCCTTGCCTCAATATCTAATAATCTGGCAGACAGGATGGCGTTTGGGCATGGGTTGGATGGCGATGGAGGAAATTCCGGAGATTGAGAGCTTGTTGTTTAGATTCGCACTCGGCTTCTTTTGAGCATCGTTCTAGGAGTCGGGTAGCCCGTTTATTGTACGTATCATGTTGTACTAAAATGGGAGGTTTTATCATTACGTTTGGCTATTGCAATTATATCGTGAGATCAAGGTTTCCTGGATAGTTCCCTACATGATGCCCACGAGAGAGTGAGCACGTTCGCCCTGTTCACCTCGGTGAGGATCAAATGAATGCATCACGTGCGTCGTGATGTGCATAAAGTTGCTGGACCCTTGCTCCATTGATATTCTCGTCAGTGGAGGAGGGAAGCCACAGGGCGCAGCTGGCCGGGGGAGTTTCACCAAGGTATCCATCCGGAATGTGCAGCGGGACGAATTGCAGGTGGGTACGTACCCATCCAAAGCAATGGATTGCTGCTTGCTACCTGAATTGCAGTGGATTGGTAGCAGCAGGCGGGCGGCAGCACCCACTTCATCCTCCCGTTAGGTCGTTAGTTTGGAAGGGCCCGCCAGCAACAGCTCCCAGCTATCTTATTACACCGAATCCTCCCCTTTTGGATCACCACGAGATCGCAGGCTACGTCGCTTTTTCCTACGCAGCATTGCATATCGTCTGCCTCTTTTTTACCGACCCCTTCCCCTCCTACCTCCCGCCACCCGGGTCTTCCAAACCATACATCATCCCCAATGGCGGGCCGCTTTGTGCGAGCGTCGAAATATCGTGGGTGTTTTTTGTCGCATGGCGCCGCGTTGCGCTGGGACGAATTGTTTGCTGACGCCCGATTCTTTCTCGTCCAGGACATGTCTTTGGCAAGCCGACCCGGAAGGAGTTCTGCTACGACAATCTTCATATCAGCCGAAATGCCTGGGACACCAACTTGGTGAAGGTAAGTAAGGGGTGTGCTCCTTTGCTTCTTTTTGCCTTCCTCCCGAGACAATTGACGGGGGGAGGGGGGAGACCGGGGTCGAAAGGAGACAAGAGAGAGGCTGACCAGAAACTCGTTACTTCCAGGCCAACCCCGACTACCTCTCCGTCAATTGGGATGCCGGCGGCGGCGGCGCTTTTGCTGTCATTCCCCTCGGCGAGAAGGGAAAGGTCCCCGACCAGATTCCGCTGTTTCGAGGTCATACCGCCACCGTCTTGGATACCGACTGGTACGCCGAACCCCGCGACCCGCGACCTGCGCGCACCTTTCCTGACGACGGCGAGCGCACGCGACAATAATACTGATGGCCACTTACTAGGAATCCCTTCAACGACCGCGTGATTGCCTCTGGATCTGAGGATGGAAAGGTCTTCCTCTGGCAGGTTCCCGAGAACTTCACCCTCTACACCGACGCTGAGGAACCCGCCGATGTCTCTCCCGTCAGCAAGCTCGCTGGCCACTCGCGGTTCGTCGCCCGCGACCTTCGTTTTCCCCTTGTCCACATATAGTCTCCGACCATGGTGCTGACATGCAGCGTACAGAAAGGTCGGCCAGGTCCAGTTCAACCCTGCCGCAGAAAACATTCTCGCATCCGCATCCGGCGACTTCACGATCAAGCTCTGGGACATCACCACCGGCTCGCCCACCCACACACTGAAGCACAACGACATCGTGCAGAGCCTGTCGTGGAACGCTAGTGGCTCCATGCTGGTGACGACGTCTCGCGACAAGAAGATCCGCGTGTGGGATGTGCGCGCCGAGAAGCCGGTCCACGAGGCCCCCGGCCACCCGGGCGCCAAGAATAGCAGAGCCGTCTGGATGGGCGAGCACAACCGTTTCGCCACGGCTGGTTTTTCGCGCATGAGCGAGCGTCAGCTGGCGCTGTGGGAGCCTGGTCGCAGTGAGCCGATTGGAGGTTTCAGCATGCTGGACTCCATCTCTGGTGTTATTATGCCTTTCTGGGGTCAGTTCTGGAGGCTCACGCCGCGTCAGGGACGATTGCTAAACTCCGGACAGATGACGGATCCAACTGTTTATATCTTGCTGGCAAGGGGTACGTGGTTCGTTGAGCGGGGTATAGTCGTTGTCGTGCTAATCACTGTTGTAGCGACGGCAACATCCGATACTACGAGTACGAGAACGACAAGTTCGAATACCTGAGCGAGTACAAGTCCGCCGAACCCCAGAGAGGCATTGCTTTCGTTCCTCGCCGTGGCATCAACGTAAGCCGACTCCAGGAAGCGCATGCTGAAATATCTGAAAGGCCACCTCTAACGCTGCCTAGGTACACGAGAATGAGGTCATGAGAGCCTACAAGACGGTCAACGACAGCTACATTGAGCCCATCTCCTTCACTGTCCCCAGAAGAGCCGAGACTTTCCAGTCTGACATCTTCCCCCCTGCTACTGGTCTCAAGCCTGCCGTCAGCGCCAAGGATTGGCTCGATGGCAAGACAGGTATCCCATCCAAGATCGACTTGGAGAGCGTGTACGAGGGTACTGCCCCGAAGGAGATCGCTTCCGACTATAAGCCGCCCGTCATCGCCTCGGCCCCTCCGCCAGCTGCAAAGCCTGCGCCAAAGCCCACTCCCGCTCCCGCTCCGGAACCCACTCCAGTGGCACGCTCGCCGCCTCCCTCTATGAAGGACCAGCAGGCTTCCATGTCTAACATGGCCAACAAGTTCAAGGATGATGAGCCTGCTGAGCCTGAGGAAGAGGATGACAACTCAAGCTTTGAGGAGGTACAGAGACCAGCTCAGCGTGCCGCAGCCCCTGCTGTGGCTCCCACCCCCGTCCGTGCCGAGCCGGCCAAGATACCTTCCCCCATCAAGGCCGCCTCTCCTGCTCGAGTCAAGTCACCTCCCGCACAACTCTCGCCCGTTAAGCCTGCATCCGCCAACTCACCTGCATCCTCAACTCACATTGAGTCATCCCTGGATCAGATCAGACAGATGCTCGAGCAGCAAACCAAGCTCATCGGCAAGCAAAATGACAAGATTAGCAAGCTGTCGGATGAAGTGGAGGGGCTGAAGCGCAAGGTCAACGCTGGCGGGTCTCAGGACCAGAGCGAGAGGATCAGACAATTGGAGCTGGAACTTGAAGCTGCGCGGTCTTAGAAATCTCCTCTGATGTCGTGTGACCTAGATCATGTAAAGCCAAGGGGGTCTACAGGGGCGTGAGAGTGCGAGAGAGAGAGAAGGGGTGTGTGCATCTGGGGATCAAGAGATGTGATGAAAACGGGGTTTTTGGGATGGATAGCAAGCAGTGATTGTCACAAGCAGAGTTAGTTTGGTGTTATAAGTACCTATTTTGTTCTCTTCTCCGTGTTTTTTTGGTGCATGGTGTGTGAGCGCTTGGCTGGTGCGTCAGATTACTGCCCAGGTGTAAAGAAGATGGGACACTCTTGGAGGTTTGGTTGGCATGTAATTGACGTGGTATCAGAGGTGATGAACCATAGACAGGCTCTACTGACTACTAATCTGTCCAGGTGATTGTTTCATCTGGTCCATTGGAGGTGAGCTATTCTTGGCACTTGGGGACTAGAAATAGTTCAGGTCACAGGGCGTGTCAGACCAAGGAAGTTTCTTTTTTTTTTTTCCCCTTTACCCCTTCTCGTCATTTGATTTCTCTAGAGATCAAGTGCTGTGCGCATGTGTCTCTTCTTTCATCTCATGTCGTTTAGAGGTGGGAGGTGAAGTCTCATGTAGTCTACACTGTTCAACTGTCCGGGCATTGTCGCATCCAATGCGCAGGACTTGGGTATCCCACCAAGGCTGACGGGAGCTTTGGCCTCTTTGACCCGGTCCCTATGGTTGTACTAGAGGCTACAGCCAATGAGAAGGTACCATCTAGCCACAGACCAGACGAGGCTGAGAAGAGGGACCTCTCAGACCCGCTGAAATTTTCCAGATTGTCAAGATAAGGTAGGCAGGTACTCACTCTTCTCTAGGTAGATTCACGTTTTTTTTCCCTCCCCCAAACAGCGCTGCAATAAGGGCAGCACGACAACGAAACAACGTCAACCCTCTCAATCATAACAAAAAGCTGGGACTCTTCCCCTTGGAATTGATTCCTCTTTCAGAAAGCAGCAGATCGAGAACAACAAGGGCAGAAGAAAGTTCGGTCTCTCCATCCACAGTCGGGAAAAAAAGAGGGAAAAAAAAAGCAAACATGGCTTCGGTCCTCGGAAAACGCAAGGCGCCCTCCTCATCCGTTTCCAAGACGAGCAAGCCGATTGCGACGGCGTCAAAGAAGACTGCTGCTTCACCAGCACTGAAGAAGAAGAAGAGCACCGAGGGCATCGAGAGACCCACCGCCGCCGTGACGAAGAAGACCTCGGCCCTACAGACGAAAGCGAAAAAGGGTAAAAAGGCACCACGGGTCGAAGAGGAGGAACAGGAAGAAGAGGAGGACACGTCCATGTTGGATGCGCAAGAGATTTTTAGGCGGCACTTTGAGGCTCAGTTCAAACCGGTCGAGGCCGCGGGGGCACCGAAGCGGAAGAAGAGCAGCAAGGCTAAGGCTGGTCCCGGGGGAGACGAGGATGATGACGAGCACAGTGGAAGCGCAAGCGGGAGCGGAAGTGACGAGGAGGCGGTTGACGGCGGGGAAGACGTCTTTGAGGACGAGGGTGCCGACGGAGAGGAGGGAGAGGGGGAGGAGTGGAGTGGTCTTTCTGGCGACGAAGGTACGTCGGTCGCATCGCTGGATGCGAAACCCAAATGCCATGATAGAGACCGTTTGCTAACAAGAGTTTCAACAGAAGGCGAATACGATGACGACAGTGACATTCCCTACGACGACGTCGAAGAGAACCCCGTCATCGAGGTCGTGGACCACACGAAATCCAATACCCAGCCCATCGCCAGCATGAGCAAGCGCGAACTCAAGGCCTTTATGGTATGCCGCGTCTCCCTCTACTTCCCTCTCTCCCCTCGCACAAAGCCAAGCCAAACCAAGGGAAAACCCCCTCTCGCTAACAATGGAACAAAAAAAAGTCCTCCAAACCCCCCTCTCAAACCGACCCAAGCCCCTCAACCTCCCAACCCCCCACCGACCCAGACGACGAAAACGACAAGTCCATGCTCGCAAACGACCTGGCCCTTCAACGCCTCCTCTCCGAATCCCACCTCCTCGCCCGGCACGCCGTCACCCCCTTCTCCAACCCGACCTCGGCGTCAAAGACCTTTTCCGAAGGCAAACTCCGCCAGCGCCAGACGGACCTGCGCACGCAGTCCCTCGCCGGCGCGCAGGGCGTCGCGGGCGTCAAGTCCATCTTTGCGCAAGAAAAGATGCCCATGGCGTTCCGAAAGGGCATCGCCGCCAACGCCGCCGCGCGGGAGGAGAAGCGCAGACGGACGGCGAGGGAGAATGGTATCGTGCTGGAGAGGGAGGCGCCCAAGAAGACGGCGGGGAAGCAGAGCGGCGGCGGCGGACGGTTTGGGCAGAGGGGCCTGGACGGGCTTGATGTCGGGAGGATGAGGGGCGCCGAGCTGAGGTTGAGTGAAAGGGATGTTCAGAATATCGAGGGAGGTGGTGGTGGTGGTGGTGGTGGTGGTGGTGGAGGACGCGGTGGACGTGGAGGTCGTGGTGGAAGGGGCGGGAGAAGTGGTGGTGGTGGAAGGGGCTCGCGGAGGTAGGTAGATTCTCATACTACGCCGCAAGAGTACAAAGCCTTTGCGTCTACGAGATGGGCATTGTAGGAAATCTTGGCAGCGACTCATATTTGAATTAGACAGAGCGTCATGCAAAACATTAATGTCTACGGAGTATGCTCTGCCTGACTTCCACCATAGCTACGCCAGAGCGAGTCTGAGAGTAATCACTTCGGTTTGATGGTCAACCCAATGCCGAGGGCATCTCTGTTGCAAACCTATTCCGAGGCAAGTACGTGCAAACATCACGCGCATACAATTGAATACTGGAAGCATCATGAGAATGAAAATTGTAGTCAATGTGAATCAACATTCGAGACTCTTGCTTATTATTTCGTGGCAAGCCCTGTCAAGCACTCTGAAGAGTTGCTGGACAGCCTTCTCCTCCCCTGGTATCATCTGGCCTTCTGGCAAGTGTGCTCTTCCCGACTATGCCTCTCCAGCACAAAGAAAAAAGAAACAAACTATATATACATGTGCGAGTCGTTTCTCTTCTTCGCATTGCGACCCGAAGCTCATGCATAAAATCTCCCTTTTCGACGGGTACGGCCCATACATCGAGATCTTCCCAGTCTCTCCGTACGTACCTCTATGTGTGCGAGTTCCCTTTTGGTGTCCGAGACCAACGGCCAGACTCGATGCTGAGCACATGAAACTGAAACTGAAAAATAAAAATTCGCCGGGAGCCAAAGGAACAATTGTCCAGTCGCTAACGCGTGCCGAAATCCATCTTCTGGATGGATGAAGAAAAACTCGTCCCTGACCTATTCCGAACCTTTGTCATAGCCATGCCGCCCTCTAAGTAACACCGTGTCGAAGGAAACGTAACTCCAGTCATAACGAGAGCCTGAGCTCGTGAGGTGCCGTCTCTCACATGATGGCGCTCGCATTCACTGTCGGCTGGCTGATGGTCATCGGCATGCTGAGCGTTTGCAAGCTGTTGAACGATTGCGCCATGCCGTTCGATGTCGGCGGCGTCGAGCCATGGGCGACGCCGTTGAGCGACGCGGTAACGTAAGCGTTCTCGGAGTTGGGCGATGCCTGCTCCAGCGAACCGAGCTGGTCCTCGCCAGAATACTCTTCCTCCTCTTCGCCGGAGAAGTTGAGAGCAGCCTCACCGTTCTCACCACGGTCATGAGTACGCTTGTGTCTGCGGAAACATCAAAGTCAGTCCATGTTATGCGACGAGATTGTTTCTCCCCGAGTTGGTGGTTGAGTAGTGATGATGAATTCTGTGTTGTGGCGCGGCGGTTTGGACGTTGGTTTTCATCGCTGGGGGTCTCGCTCCACAATACATCTTTCTTGACAAAGGAAATGACAAAGGAAACGAGATGAAGGAAAATTGGGGCATACTGTGCTAGGTTGTCTGATCTGGAGAATGCCTTGCTACAATAAGGGCAGATGTAGGGTCTTTCTTGTGTATGTGTTCTCACGTGTCTGGAAGGTTTGGTCAGATTTCAGGCAGGTCGTTTTTTTTTTGTTGGTTGATCACAAATAAAATCGAGTCTGGTTCTTACCTCTTGAGGTGTTCTAATCTCTTGAAGAGACGACCACACGTGGGAATAGGGCAGGAGTGGGACTTCTGGGGGTAGGGACCAAGTTCCATGACAGTCGCGGAGCGGGCTCTGCGAACGACGCCGTTGGGGCCCTGCATGCCAGGCCGGGGCGCGCCGTTCATAGAACCATCACCAGACATATCATCGTGTTGGAGGTGGGAGTAGTCTGGCTGCTGAAGGGACATGGGGTTGAGAGCGGGGCTGCCCTCGACAGTGGACAGCGGAGTGCCGTGCCGAGACAGGTCCAGCATCTCCTTGTGCTGCTGGCTTACCATGGACATGGCGGAGCTGCTGTAGGCAAGGCCGGGTGGGGAGTTGTCTGCAGATTCATCGCCTTCAGCCACAGGACCGACAGATGCAGAGACCGACCGCCGGAGATCCGAGGGTCTGTGCTGCTGCTGGTGTTGTTGGTGCTGGTGTTGCTGTGCGGCAGCCTGTGCCTGCGCTTGGGCAGTGGCAGCGGCAATGGCTGACATTGACGGCGGGATGGATGAACGCCGCCTCCTCTGCTTGTAGGTCGGGGATCCTTCAATCACAGAGTAGACGTTGTTCGAGCCGTAGGCCCTCGAGAACTGAGGGCCGGCTAGGTTGGAGGGGGGGAGCTGGATCATGCCGTTGAGGCCGTTGACATTGCCGCCCATGTGGTCGGGGATGGCAGTGTAAAGACCCGTCTCCTCGTTGGCGATGTAGGCAGGCTCCGCGGCCATGCCCAAAGCCTGCTGGGGTGGTGTGATGGGCTCAAAGGAGATTCCCCGGTTGCTGTAGTCCTCATACTGAGAGGAGACGAATGATGGGGCGGGAGAATACTCGAGGCCGTAGGCGGGCATCGAAGTGTGTCTCTGATGGCCTTGGGTGATGGGAACGCCATTCTGGTTGTACTGGACGCGGGCGAAATCGGGTTCCCTCTTGACCATCTGCTGCTGAGGCATCTGTTGAGGCATGCCCATCGCTCCGTACGGAACCATCGACTCCATACCATCCTGCATGGGAGCAACTGATTGAGGAATCATCTGCGGGGGTGGCATGTTGTCCATAGGTCTCATGATTGGCGAGGTGGACTGGGACTGGGAAAAAGTGACCTGTTGCGCGTTGAAAGAGGAGGAGTTGGCCTGCTGAGCCTTGGTGAGCTGCTCGTAAAGCGACTGAGACGAGTCGTACTGGAATGACAGAGCAGGCTCGCTGACGGCGACAGTGGTGGCTTCCTGACCCATCTTCTCTCGCTTCAGATCCCGCTCGAGTGCGTCGAGGAAGAGTCTGTCGTGGGGTACGCTATACCAGTAGAAGACCTTCTGCTTCTTTTGCGTCCGAATGCAATTGTTCTTGTAGAGGAAATCGAGGAAGGGGCTCTTGGGCTCCTCGAGCGACGCATCAGTTCCCGACTTCAGGTTTCTCAGGTCCGAGAAAATGCCCTCCTCGAATTTCTTGGAGTTCTTCACTGGACGGCCAAAAGCCTGGAATCTGAAGGAGAGACATCTAACGATGTCGGTTCCGGAAATGTGGAAAAGGTTGTTCCACAGAACGCAGGAAACGTACTCGCCGGTGGGGAGGAGAAATCTGCGAATGTACTGATCGGGTTGCCAATCGACAGGAGCAGAAATGAGGAAGTATTTCACTGCGAGATGTGTCAATTGAGAAGTCCCAAAATTGGCGTTCCAATCTTTGACTTACGGTTGTCAACCTGTTGCAGAGCGACCTGGGCGTCATGGGGTAACGCCTGCTGGGCTTCGGTGCTCAGCATGAAGGTCTCTGGTTTTTGGGGAGCCATGCCCGCGGCGGCATGTTGTGAGTACATCCTGTTGGATCTGTGATGGGGTTTGACGACGGGTGTCGGTCGCGTCTGACCGGATCGAGAGCGAGATCGCGCGGGTTATTCGCCTCGGCAGTGTTGCAGAGGTGACGGAGAGTCAAAGAAATGTTGTGGAGTTGTCCTTTTTTTTTTTTTGCGAGACGGAGATTCGCAAAGCTGATTGAAGGCGCTGCCCTGATGGATGAGCCCGGTGATGGGAATGTTGCTAGTTTCTTTTTGTTGGATTTTGAGACTTAAATCGAGTCCAGCCCGGAGGAAATAACTTTTTTGTTGGCACACAGCTGTAAACCAGCACGACCCAAACTCGACCTCAAGCGAATGATGGGTGATTTCGACTTCGCAGATCAAGACCGTCAAGGTGCTGCGAGGGGATGATGGTGATTGTTTATCGGCGCCTTTGGTCTCGGGGTGGAGCCTTGAGGTCGAATGAATTAGGGGTCGTTGAAGACGGGGCGTCAATTGCAAAACAATAAGGTAGAAAAGCTCGACGAATGACCCTGCGCAGGAACTGGTTGGCGACTAAACAAGCTTGGTGATTGCTGGCGCGATGCGATTCGCGATGATGGACAAGCTTGCGACAGGCACTGTCTGAAGTGTCGATGGGCGGGATGATGTGCCTCGGGGGTGGTCAGTCCTGATGAGATGGGAATAGAAACGGGGGTGGGAGGTATGTGCGGCTCCGACGAGGAGAAGGGGAACAAGGAGGAAGGAGGCAGAGGGAGAGAATGGAAAAGAGAGATGGGAAGAAAAGAAGAGTCTTGTAAGAAGAGATATCAGAAGAGTTTGGGAAGGGGGGGGGGGGGGGGGGGGGGAGGTATGTGCGGCTCCGACGAGGAGAAGGGGAACAAGGAGGAAGGAGGCAGAGGGAGAGAATGGAAAAGAGAGATGGGAAGAAAAGAAGAGTCTTGTAAGAAGAGATATCAGAAGAGTTTGGGA